GTTGTGTATATTTTCTTAGGTTTTTTTTTATAAAGAAATTCAGTTTAAAATGTATCAAAAAGTATCTAAAATAAGTTTATGGAGAGGAAAGAGTGATATTACAGTTTTTCTATTATTACAATCCTTCTGAAAATAATATATACGTAACAATAAAGAAACTCCTCCTTTTCTTTAAGAACATCTATGGAATATATAATTTGAAATATTAGTTTTCATAACAAAATCTTTTCTTATTACTTATTAATCCCTCTCCAAACCAGGCAGGCCTTGCAAAACCCTTTCACTGAATACGAAAAACACTCAAACATTGCTGAATTTTGACTATCAAGGGCCTCCTGCTATCACTCAAGTTATTATCCCGTTTCAAGGGGACTCCAATCATCGTACTCTGAAGATATCGAAGCACTCTGGACTAAGACCTACTAGTAACTAAACCGAAGACAAATATCATACACTTATGTATATGCATGCATGTAAGCATGAGGGGATCTCCGGACTCACTCATCCACTATTCATATGCAGTCCAGCGGCACTCGTGCTGTGAGAGTGTGTCTGCCGGTTTGTTTGTTTGTTTATTTGTTCGTTTTGTTTGTTTGTTTGTGTTGTTTGTTTGTTTGCTGAACGAGTGGGCGAGTGCGAATGCGAATGCGAATGCGAATGCAGGCGCAGGCGTTTGCGTAAATGAATGATCCCAGTCGAGTCGAACGGCGTAGCGGGTCTTGAGTCTACACGGGGGAAAATAGTAAGAATTTAGTGATTAAATATTAAATAAATATATATTACAAAAATATAAACAACTTCTTGATTATATATTAAATTTAACACAATAACTTGTTGATGAATTTTACAAAATTATAAATTTCTGCATTGAGCTTTTGTTATTTCTCTATTTTTATTTGATTAAAATAATATAATAGAATAATAGTAACAATCTGGCGGTTAAATTAATATTTAAATAAAAAAAGACAAGATTTTTTTCATAAATATTTCATATTTATTTAGTTTTTTATTGAATCTGTCGATTAATTATTAAATTTAACACAAAAACCCATATACATTTAATAATTCTTTCTTAATATTAAAGTTTTTCAATAATTCTTTCCCATTTTACTCTATATTTATATAATTTTTCTATAGTGCATCATTCCCGTGCACGCATGGCTGCTATATAGCACTTGCCACGCCTCCCCCTTCGCCCCCCTCTTGAATGCCAAGTGTGCTCGCCATGCATGCGTATGAGTAACGAGAGTGAGAGTGCGGGTGAGTGCGATGAAGTGGGTGGTCGAGGAGGTTGGCTGAAGAGGCGCGGTTATGGTGGGTGGTGCTGCTGCTGCAATACCGTTTGGGTAGGAGAGGGGGAGGAAAAGCGGTAAGCGGAAAGCGCGGGGCAACGTCAAGAGCCCTGGTGTTCAAGTGTTTGATGTATTACAAAATACGTATACGCAACCGCAGCCTACAATTACAATGCCAAGTGTCGGTTAGGTATATTTCTCACTCGCTTCCACTTCTTCTCTCTCTGTTTATAGCTCCCTCATGTCCGTTAAATGAGTGAGTGAGTGTGTGTTGGGTGTATGTGTGTGTTTATACGAGGGAAATTCTTCAAAAGTTGATCATAAATTTGTTTCCTTGGGAGCTAAATTTTGTTTATATTTATTTTAAGAGTTTATGAGGTCTTGGAATTAATTTAATTTTTTTTTATGTATATTATTTAATAAATTTTTTAATTTTAAAAATTTGTTTAATTAATATATTTGCTAAGAAAAATTATAATAATAGAATTCCTCAAATTCACCGCATAAACTTCGTCTCTGCAAAAAGTGTGGCAAATGGAAAATAATTTGTGTTAAAGAGTGCATTTTATTAATACCAACAGCGCTGGCTTCTCTTTGCTTTTGTTGCCAGCATATTGATAAATTATGGCATATAATTGGCCAAGACACCGGCTCGTCTGCCACTTTCACTCTTTCTATATTGAATTTACCATAAGTGGCCATTTATTTTGCATATTTGCGTTGAGTGGCACACTTCAAAGTTGCCTCTTCTGCTGTTGTTGTTTGTTTGTTTATGTTTTTTTCTGTAGCTACTTTATGGTTATTGTTTCTCCATTGGACTCTGCTGGCACTCGGCGTCGTTTCAGTTCAATTTATGAGTTTATTGAACAGCTATGCGTATGAGTGTGCCTCTAATTGGCACTTCTTGGCGCATGTCATCAGCTGTTGTTAATGTTAATTGAGGCAGTCAACCATTCGAATTGCGAAATGCATGCAAATAATCGCAGAGCCAGTGTATTAGAACAGTCGTTGCCGCTATAATTGCAACACAATTTGCATAAACATTTGCCTCGGCCTGAGAAAACCATCCTGCGGCGCGGCATCCAGTGACTGTGACTGCTATGGTGGGTCCCTTTTAAATGGGCGGCGTGTGCCCAATTAACGCAAATTGCAAATGCAAAGCGCCAGCATATTCGTTTTTGTTTACAGTAGATAATAGATACAAGGAACGAGGAAATATAGTACTTCTTAATTTAATAATTGTAATAATAACCAACTTTTAATATTGTTTTCTTTGTGAAAATGGTTTTAAGGTTTATAAAAATATTATTAAATTGTACAAAATTCATATGAGATAGTGTGTCCACTTTCTCAGAACCTTCACTGTAGTTTGCTGTATATGTTTGCTGGTTTATTGCGAGGCGCCAAACGCGCCTGTTTGCCTTAGATAACGGGTTCTGGAACCATGTTGCAGTGCCGGCACCATGCAGCGAAGGGAATGAAATTGGAAAGGAAGAAGAGGAGAAGGAATAGGAGGAGAAAGAGTAGAAGGAGAATGAGTAGGTGTAGAAGGCGTAGCCGTAACAACTTCCTATCGCCGGGGCGGCATACAGTGCGTATGCTTAACTTGATTAGCGCCAATTAGTCGACAGTCGTCTCACAGAAAAGCCGCGAATTAGCGCGGATTTTAAGCTGTAAATAATCTATGCGTTTTTAAGCCCTTTGGCGGTTTAAGTCAAAGCATAAATTAGGAGTTTTGGAGATTTGTTTGGTGGGATTTAATATTTTGGGTTGTTTTTGGGGGAAAGTACATGTGTACTATAAGTCTTTTTGAGCAAAAAGTAAACAACAGGTCATGTTTATACATTTCTGATATGGGAAAATATTTTTAAAAATGCAGGAAAATTAAAAATATTAATTTAAAAATTTATATAGTAGATTTTTCTAGCTGAATTTATAAAGTAATTTGTGTTTTTAAGCAAAACTTTGTTATTTTGTGGAAAAATTCAATAACAGACAAAGTTACTATATTTCCGATAGAAAAATAATCGAAGAAATTTAAATAAGTTAAAAATAAATAAATTAAAAATATATGCAACATCTTTTTAAATGAATATATCCCAATTTCCTTCTTATTTATGTCCCTTAATCCTCCTAAATTTATCACAAACCCTCATGCTCTCTGTTTATGTTAATAAAAAGTTAAGTTAAGTTAATAAAGCCTAAAATCTTTCACCCTAAAGAATAGCCTAAGCCTGCTCCTTTCCCCCACTAATACGCCTTGGTCAATTATGGCTTAAAAATGTATATCCTGGCAGCTATAACAAACCGATTGTGTTGGCATAAAAAACCAATAAAATTTATCTTATAAATTCGTTTAATGAGCGGACTTTGCTTTCTCCTTGCCCTTGGCCAACTGACAATTCTCAGGCAATGCGACTAAAATTCGATAATAAAGAAGAAGGAAGCTTTGGGGAAAAAGGAATCCCATGGCTGCAGACAGAACTTTGCCTTTCCCTCCTCCTGCCACCTTCCTTCCGCTTGTCGGCGCCCGCACAAAAGTTCTTAATCAAAATAACTTAATGATTATATTTGCTTGCAATTCCACAGTTGCTCACTCCTTTTACAAGTTTCCCTTCTCTTCTGCTCTTTTCCAGGACTCGTCCCAAAACTGGGCTAAAGCCGGACCCAAAACCAATTCGACGCCGACGCCAATTTTAACTACTGTTGGTGGCGCCAGCAGCGAATAGCGAATAATTGAATCATAAAGGACGCAAGGACGCGGACGGGCCACCGGTATCGGAGCTGCCAGGCAGACGGCAGACGACGACGGCGGAGGATCAACAAAGCCGAGCAAATAATTGCTGTATAGTGTGCACGGAACGAGGTTCACAAAACTCCACCAGTGTTCCACCGACGGGGGAGTGGTGGTGGTGGGGATCCCAACATTTGCAAAGAAGTCGGCTGCAGGGAAATGACAGCCGTCCTGCTTTAATTAAAGCCGGGGCGTGGGCGTGTGGGTGTGGGCGTGGCGCCGCCGAAAGTGTGCTCTGCAATAAAAACGGAGGAAATTGAAACGCAATGTGGCTGATGCCGCGGACCGTGGACAACGCAACAAAGTGGACGAAATTGCTTTTGAAAGAGCACGGCCAGCTAGGCAGCACCACCACCACCAGGCAGGCATTAATTTATGATTAAATTCACCTGGAACAACTTGCCTTTCACCGAGTGAAATATTAGACTAAAAACCAAGCAAAGTTTTAAGTATACTGGAAGGAGTAAAAGGAGTAACAGGAGGAGTAAAAGCAGGAGTAGCAGGGGGAGGAGTAGCAGCAACAGCGGGAGAAGGTGTCATCATCTTGTGCAAGTCGGTTTTGCGTGCCGCAGGCATTCCAACAGCCACACATGAACACGTCGCTGTGACAGAAGGAGGGACGAGGAGGGACGGCCAAGTCGGGACCCCAGCAACGCAGCATAATTTCGTCAACTGCAGCCAGGGTGAGCTGTCGGCGGCAGAGCGCACAACCCACCATTCCCCGGGACCCAATCCAAAACCAGCCCACATCATCATCATCATCATCAGCAGGAGCAGGAGCAGATACAGTAGCAGGAAAGGCACAACCGCTGTCACATTCAGCAACTGTTGTCATCTAGGAAAAGTATCAGAAACAGGACACAGGAGCAGCAGCAGCAGGAGCAGGAACCAACTCAAAACCCATTTCCTAGGACCGCGCCCCAATGAATCTGCTGTGCTGCTGTTGTTGCAGTAACATGGCACCAAACCAGCGCGTCACACGCAAATGGGAACTGTTTGCCGGACGCAATAAATTCTACTGCGATGGATTGCTAATGTCCGCACCGCACACAGGCGTCTTCTACTTGACGTGCATCCTGATTACCGGCACCAGTGCGCTCTTCTTTGCCTTCGAGTGAGTATAATGCCAACCCTTGCTCATTTCAAGCGATTGTCCAGGTTTACACTGGTCATAAAAAGAGGGAAGTTTTGTGTTTAAAGTGGTTTTTAATTGCTTTTATTTTGATATAACTTTTATTATATTTGATGGGATTTAATTTGTTGTTTATATAGTTAGTTTCAGTGCTAGAAGTATTCTATCTCAGTGTTAATATAGTTTATGAAATTATTTCTCTCAGTGTGACAAATTGAGCGCCTGTGCACTTGTCGCTCTTGTTCCCCCTCTGGGCTGCATTGTGTGCAAAATGTATACGTTGCTAATTAAGCATTGCCCGGTAACCCTTCCGGATCACCCTGAATCCCCGGCGCTTGCCCAACTTCAACGCCCCCAAACCCGGCTCATGCTTGATTTCCAATTACGCCCCCACATTAATGGTCTCTGACTTTGGACTCTTGCTCTGGTTTCATCAGTATCATCGGGTTTCTCGTCCGGGTCCCGACACTGGGTCCGGTTACTGTCTGTCTGTCGTGCGTCTGCCGTCTGCCCTTCTGCCCTTCGTCTCCGTATCCAATGGCATGTAATTATTGCTGTGCAACGTGGCGTATGCGTTATGCTTGGCCTGGCAAAGGACACTGCTCCGGCTTGGCTACTTTTTCCAGCTGCGAACAGAGACATCGTTGGATCCCGTTGAATTACGGGTGAATCCGTGTGGAGCGGATTGGCAAAAGGGGTTGTTGGACAAATAGTTTGCAGCTTTTGATTAGTCAATCCGTCCGGTTGTGTGGCATTCAAATATGTTCCCTCCCCCGAGCTTCCTCTTTCAGACCACATAACACTAGTTTTAAACAGAATTTCCATTTCGAATTCAACCATCCGGTGCACATTTCTATTTCCTGATTATATGGGTTTTTGTGCTAAAGACCAACTTTTCGCCTATTTAGCTTTTTGGTGGTACTTTAATGGTTCCAAAATTTAAAGTTTTTAAATTATTAATGTTGCAATTTTAGACCACAGACCTCTGAATGTTCTTCTTTTTCTAAGAAGCTTAGAACCTTTCTGTAAAATGTTTTGCCTTTTGAAAAATTCTCCTGGTGAAAAGTGAATATGGCCAACAAAGACATTTTTCTTTTGTGTTGCTAAGTAGTCAAAGGCATTCTTTTTATTTGCCAAAGAAGATTATACTGAAAATCAAAAAGTGCAGCTTTTTCAAATGGAAAATCTAACTGAAATCGGAAAAGAGGAAATCAAAGAAAAGAAATCGAAAATGAAACATTTTCCCAAAAATATCTCTACAACTTTCACGTTATTCCCATAATAATAATCCATTGATTGCCTTTTCCTAGATGGTCTTTTACAACTAAATAAATACCCGAGAAGTGTGTTTAAACTAAATTCAATTTTGACCGAAATAACGTATACGTCACGTAGTACAAATACAAATAAAAACGGGCATGTTAAAGGGCTGCAACTCGCCTGGCACACACATACCATACTGACAGCGCGATTAGACAAAATTATGCTCTACATTTTCTGCACGAAATCATTTCGGCACCAAATGTGTGTGTGTGGCTCCCACAAAGAAATTGAAATTCCCCTAAAGGAGGAAACAAGTTCTATACCTTAGATCTTGTGGCTCTGTGCGGGGCTTCTCCTGCTCCTCCTCCTCCAAAAAATTTATTTGCCGCTGAAAAGCGGCGGCTGCAGCGCGATTTTATTTTCATTGCTTGCTTTGCATTAGCGCACAGTCGAGTGGAAGAGCGAGGAGATGGAGGAGCAGGAGGAGGAGTCCCCTCCAGTATGAGTATGGATGGGCATTACAATATCTGCAATGCCTTTGAGTGCTCGCACAGTTATTCCTGCAGATATTTTGCACACATCCTGGGAATGCAGATAAAGAAATTGAGATTTGGGTAAATCGTAGATGATGATATAAAATTTATAAGAGGTTTCTTTTAACAGTTTCTAGAATTATAAATATCTCTCATAGATTTTTTTGCTATTATAAAGCTATATAAAAACCTACTTGAAATTTAAAATCTAATTAAACTTGAAGGTGTGTAAAAATATAAATATAAATATAAAAAAAAACTGTTATACTGTTATACAAAAAAGGAAATAAACCTCAAATTGTAGTTATCTATACCAATTTCTCTTCTATATTCCACTCTATCCTAAAATAAAAACCTCTAAGTAATTTGGTAATGGAAATTCTAGCATTTTTTGCCTTTGTTAAACTAAAATATTCAAGACATTACCATAAAGTTAGCGCCGACGTAACTGATTTTTTCACCTACCAATTTGTATATTACCTAGATTTTTTCTTATTTTTTTCACATACATAGCTAGTTTTTAAGGCTACAAATTTTTATTCCGCCTGTAATTCAGCCCGAGGGATGTGTGAGAGCAAACTCAAATTGTGTTTCGTTCGACGCTCCACGGCAATGCAAATCGCTAAAAGGTAGCACACAATGCACAAACCTGCCCCTTTTCCTTACCCATTTTTACAATTTTCTATTCTCTATTTTCTATTTTCTATGGCATTGTCAGCGATTTGCCAGCTGAATGCGAGAGAAGCACTTTTTTTTGTGAATGCATTCCTATTTAAGCTGCGAGCTCCTCGCTCCATGGAAATCGGCGTTGTCATGACAAATGTATTTAACTATTTTCGGTTTATTCTGCTGACAACTGTCCCCGAAATGATGATGACGATGATGATGCGCCCACACCGTGCGTCCGCCTCCATCTGGGACTTGTCACACATAATTGTCACTGAGCCATCCTCCGGGTCCTTTGTGAGTTGACAGCGAGTGAAAGTTACTGGTGCTGGCGACTTTTGCTATTCACAAATCGTTGGCACGCATCGGGCATTAAGAGACAATGACGGGCATAGGCATTGTCCTGTAACCCATTCCATGCATCATTCCATCGTCCCCCTTGGGCAGCAATCCCCTGCTCGGTGGCTCATGATGGCTCTTGATGCCGGGAGTGCCTCATTTCGGGGGCATATTTGCACGAGGGCCCCACATTTGGGGGCATTGCCAAATCACCGGGGACATTTGCATGCATTTTTGAGTGGGGACAGGACACAGGACACTATGGCAGCCCTCTAAATCCTACACAGAATCCTCTGGCTTGTGTCTGCTTTTCCAGTGAAGGCTTTGAATTGATTTAAGGAATCAATTTTCATTGTAATTGTAGTTTGAAATTCAAGAGGATAAAGGATCCTTGTTGAGGTTTTATCACTTAAATATCCCTAATTTACTAACCCATCTTTTGTTTGTTTCCAAAATTTACTGATTTAAGGAATCAATTTTCATTGTAATTTTAATTCTAGTTTCAAGGATACTTTTTGAAGGATACTTTTTGAGACTTTAACACTTATTTATACCTATTTTATTAACCCCTCTTTGGTTTATTCCCAAAATTTACTGAAACAATCAAAGGCAAAAGCAAGATGTTGCCTTAATAACCATTATGACAGAACATTAGATTAATGATTTTCCCATTTTCCTTTCCTTTCGCAGCTGTCCATTTCTGGCAGAGCGCATCAATCCGGTGATACCCATTGTGGGAGCGGTTCTTTACTTCTTCACGATGAGCTCCTTGCTGCGCACAACCTTCACGGATCCGGGCGTCATACCGCGAGCCTCCAATGATGAGGCAGCCTATATCGAAAAGCAAATTGGTACGTTACTTATACGCCCCGTGGTGCCACAGTCGTCAGAGTCAGAGTCATAGTCCTTGCGTCCAACCAAAAGGAAACGTGGCCAAGGTCGTTTGCCTGTTGCCTGAATATCTCGCCTCGCCCCCTTAAACACAAACACTCTCACAAATGTATATATATATATATTTGTTTTCACTTCATTAAGTCTGTATGTGTGTGTGTTTGTGGAGGGGAAAGGCTGCCGCGTAAAAAGTAATGAGCGTGGCCTGACATAGAATGTGAAAATAAAATGCGATGGCGAAAAATAAATACAAAAACAAAAAAAAATCACAGGAAAAATATTTATTCCGTATATAAAAATCATCATCAAAGGCAAACGCTGCTGCGTTGCCTTTGCACTAATGAGTTGCCTTTGTATAAAATATTTAAAATGAGAAAACTTTTCCCCTTCTATTTCTTTTTTCCATGTCAACAACGCACGCTCCCGCTGCTGTCAATGATGATGCTGCATTTCCTCTCCTGGATATGGTTGCCATACTACAGAAGTGCCAAACTCACTGAACAGCCCCACATATCGACCGCCGCCAAGGACCAAGGAGGTCCTGGTCAAGGGCCAGACGGTCAAGCTGAAATACTGTTTCACCTGCAAGATCTTCCGGCCGCCAAGGGCCTCGCACTGCAGCCTGTGCGATAACTGTGTGGACCGCTTCGATCACCATTGTCCCTGGGTGAGTGGGTCACTTAGGGTGTGAGTCAAGGACCTTCCTTGTTGGCAACTCGTTAGCGGTGGCGCAAATTTTAATCACTTCCCCCCAGAAGCAGTCGGGAAATGGGAACTGGGAGCTGGGAAATGAAAGCTGGAAACCTGGTGTTGGGTGTCCCCAATGCTCGTCCTGACATTGAGCCTGGCCCAGCGCATTAGGCGGAGGCCAAAAAGTGGGCCAACAAACAGAAAGCCAGAATGAGAGAGAAAGTCAGCGGCCCCTCGCCAGTGACTTTAACCCAATTCCAGCGGCAACCGCTGAGGTTGCTAATTTTTTAGTAAAAATAATTTCAGCCAAGAGCGCACGTCATGTTTCCAGCTGAAATGTATAAAAAAGCGCACTCGGACTGGGCTTAACCAATCCTTTGCTGCTTTTTCGTGTCTGTTTTTTAATATATTTTCTTCTTCTTTTTTTTTTGGTGAAGGGGAATCCCCGCGAGCCATGCGCTGATGCAACAAGAGCTGGCGTTGGCTCTGTGGGTGTGTGTTTGGCCAGAACCAAGCAAACAAGCCACACTGGCTTAAGTAGCCGCATACTCATATTTACGTAGAGTGTGCGAGTGTGTGTGTTTCAGGATATCCTCAGGGGGCCCAAATCAACGCGCACACATATATACTTGTAATATTATCCTTGCTTACCCTTACCCTTTCAGTGTTGGTTTTTGATTCAGGGTTGGGTCAAGTCCCTGCCCTTAATCCTCAAAATAATTATAATTGCTTACTTGCAGTACACCTGTAATTTCATAGGCGACATTATTGATTTGCAAATTGCACTCACCTTGCTGTTCGTTGGGGGGGGGACCCTTTTACCAATCAATTTAAATTGACCCGCAAAGCATTTAGTTCGCGGAAGGTCAGCAATGCCATTAAATATTTGCAGTGACTTGAGGTTTCATTTGCATTCTGCATTTGAAAAAGTTTTCCTGTGACCCCCTTTTTTACTGGGTTCTTAATAGATTTTAATGTGGGGAAATTGCTTTCTCCTTGATTTTAACTGCTTGCCCCATCAATTTGCATTGACCTCAAATCGTTTTGTCTTCTAAGGTTACTTGAATTATTAAATATTAGCAAGGGATAAGGGGATGTCTTCTATCTTTGTAGATATTAAACCATTTTAAAATCATTGTAAATAACGAAAAATATCTTAAAAATAGTGTTTATTATGCCCCAGCTATACTCTACCTATACCAAGTAATATAGATTAATAGGGTATGTGAGATAGTCTATACCACCCAAAACATAAGTGAGGTAAGTCCCCTTTTAAGTTAGTGTTGCTGCCATGGCCCCTCTTCCATGACTGGGTCTGGGGCGTAATTTAAGTCCCCGGAGGAGTGATGGCAGCTGGCTGCTTGAAGGTCGACTTGGGCCTTTTGGGGGTTTTTCAGATACTCGCGTCGTGCGCGGTTGTAAAGGATACACAGGTGAGGGAGGGAGACCTGAAATTAAGGCATTTCTGGGTCGTAATTTCGGTGTTGTCACACACACACACACACATCTCGTGAAAATGCAATTAACCTTATTATGTTAGGGCTCACAACAATGACTTGTAACTGTCTCTGCCTTTATAACCATGTTAATGTACTCTCCCTCTCTCCTTTGTTCTTTTTAATTTTCAGGTGGGAAACTGCGTGGGCAAGCGAAATTATCGGTTCTTTTATTTGTTTCTAGTCTCATTGGCATTTTTAGCTGTATTTATATTCTCGTGCTCTGTGACGCATTTAGTTTTATGTGAGTACCCAAGGAATTTAGACATAAATTCAGATAGTTTATAGTGTTTATAATACCACCGACAGTGATGAAAACCGAGCAGGAGGTCTTCGAAGTAATCAAGAAGGCGCCCTTCACTGTGATTGTTGTGTTCATTTGCTTCTTTTCGATATGGTCCGTGATCGGCCTGGCCGGCTTCCATACCTATCTGACGACAAGCGATCAGACAACCAATGAGGATGTGAGTAAAAAGAAAAATATATATAAGAAGTAAATATAATACTTCTTCCCCTACCAGCTCAAGGGATCCTTCTCCTCCAAAGGCGGGCCTCGCACCCAGAACCCCTACTCCCGGGGCAACATCTGCCTGAACTGCTGTCACATTCTGTGCGGACCCATGACGCCCTCGCTGATAGACAGGTGAGCAAAGCTAACCCTTTTAAGAGTCCTCCCTCAAGTAACCAAGGATTAACTTTAGACGCGGCATTGCCACCGATGAGTTCATTCAGCAAATGCAGCATCAGTCGAGTCCGCGGCATGCCCTAAGCGATGTGCTGAGTGCCTCGCACATGGTCACCACCTCGCAACCCATGATGGGCGGCGGTATCGGTGGTGCCGGCGGTGGGATCAGCATTGGAGGGGCAGAGCTAAAGCCACGCTTCTATGACGAGGTAAGGGGCAAACCCACAATAAACATGGGACAAACAAACCAAAAAGCGCACTCCTTCATCACCGAAATCAATATCTAAATGTCTGGGCACTCTGCTTGCTTGATAATATCTCCTTATCTCCTTATCTATTAAATCAAAACTCTCTCGTACGATGAACTTTTGTGCACATCATTTTGACAATCTGTAATTTATACTTCTTCTTTTTGTGTTCTATGCAATGTTCTTTTTTGGTAACTACTCTCGATCATACACCACAACAATCTCTACTGATACTACCTACTACCGAACACAATCACACATGACCAGTCCAATCCCTCCTCCTCGACACTGGAGGGTAATGGAGCAGCAGCAACAGCAGCAGCAGGCGCAATCAATGGCCATGGGAACGGTCACGGGCTTGGGCATGGAAACGGATTCGATCATCCGCCGCCCAGCTACGACCTGGTTCAGAACGGTAAGTCCCGCAAGCAGCATCAGCAGCGCTGCTCCCTGCAAACCCTGCTGCCCGCCAGTGCCCAGCAGCAGTTCAAGGCTGGGAAGCACAAGCACAAGCAGCTCAAGCAGCAACATCATCATCATCAGCAGCTCAAGCAACAGCTGGTGGCCGCAGAGCTGCAAATGCAGTATCAGCAGGATGTGGGTGGTCCCTCCTCACCCTCTTTGCTACCCAGATCACCGGCCACCTCCTCATCCTACCGTCTGAATCTTAAACGCTCGCTGCACCTGCCGCTGACACCGTCGTACGATGATGTCCGTCACTCGCCGCTGCCGCTGCTGCATCATCATGTGCACTCGCAGCAGACCACCGCTATTGGGAGTGTGGCAGCAGCGGCTGCGGCGGTGGCATCCGGAGCTAGCGGTACAGCAGGAACTGGGACTGGAACTGGTGGCAGCGGTACCTCCTCGTCCACCACCGCGCCCACCTCGGTGTCGGCATCGCTGGCCACCAATGCCGCACCCGGTCCTCCTCCACCGTTGGCCCCGCGACGACCGTCGACGCTGCAGCTGCAGGCCAGCAGTGGAGCCATCTCTGCCAGCAATAGTACACTGACCACCATACATACGTCGGCGCCACAGCCGCCGGCGCCAACGGATTTCAAGTATTATTCCCCGCAACGCAGCACCGACTCGAACCTGATGCGGAACTACCCCTTCCCGAAGGCGGCGCGCGGGATGAGGCGGCAGTCCACGCAGTCGGTGGACTCGCAGAAGGTGAACATTGCGGGGTATCAACCGCTGCCCATGCGGAAGCCCTACAAGCACCAGGAGGTTATGTTCGAACTGAAGTCCCCAACAAATCGTCTAACGATACGCGAATGCGATTTTGGCGGTGGCGGTGAACCCTGCGACGACGATCAGTCGATCAAGGACAGCCAGATCTTTCGTGTTAGTAAACGAAATCTTTATATGAATCACCGGTCGCCGTGGAAGGAGCGCGACCGTTACTCCAATCTCTACGAGTATTCGTTCAACATTGATCTCAACTCGATCATCGAGGATGCGGCGGGCAGCGATTCGTCATAGTACGAAGCAGCAGCAGCAGCCCGCTACTCCGTTGGCCCCCAGTCCTGGTCCTCCGCTTTGGTCTGTTCTGTCCGTTTGCGGTTGGGATTTAACCTTGACATTTTCCCGGATTCCCGGATCATCATCCTCCTCGATCGGTTGTTAGGCGCTGTACATAAGGCGGGGCCCTGGCCAGCCCGCTTCCTACTGCTGCTTCCACGCTTTTGCTAAGATTTAGAACTTGGATTTGCCATCTAGGATTTGGTTTAGGATCGTACATAAAGAGGCTTTAGCTTAGCTTGTAATAGGTTTTTTCGGGAATAGCTGGTAATTTGCATTTTAATCAAGGCTGTAAACTGGTTTTCCAACCGAAACTCTGAGAACTAGTTCGGTTTTTTTGAAATTTTTAGGGAATTTAAGGAAAGGGATAGTGGAAAATTAATACAATTTTGAGGGAATTTAAAGTAAAGGATATTGAAATATTAATTAAAATTTCAAGAAATTTAACAAGAAGGATTTTGGGAAATGTATTAAAATTTCAGGGAATTTAAAGAAAATTACATTTTCATTGAATTTAAAGAAAAGGATATTGAAAACTCAAATTTTCATGGAAACAACAGAAAGATATATTGGTAAATGGTTTAAAAAGTTCATTAACCATTGGCTTAGCTTTACAAAAATTAATATTTAATATTATCAACTCGTTGAGCAGCTTTAAACTTGTGTAGACTTGTAAAATTAGACAAATTAGTTTAATTAAAAAATAAACATTGGCCAAAGGAAAATAGTTGGTGTGAAGGCTCGAAGGACCAACAAGAAATTGCAAGGTTTGCAGCCTTGATTTGTATTTTTTGAGAGAAGTCTGTGACTCACTTGGCTACCAGAATGCCACGCTTTAGAAGCTTAGAAGTTTCTGTTTGCACCCCATTTTTTTTGTAGATTTTTTGGTTTTAAGTAGATCTTGTGCTCCCTGAAAACCAACTTGGTTCATAGAGAATTTTGCGTTTATATTAGCACCCAGTTTCCCAGGCTACAAGAGCGCCAGAACTCTTCTGCTGCTTTCCAGAGGCAGCAGAGGAGATCTGGAGCCAAGGGGCCGCAATGCAACCCGTGTGTATATTGTAACCACCTTGGTCTACGTCCCAGCGCCGCCACCTCCAAATAGTGAAAGACACCAACTAACTAAATAAACCAAGTAACCAACTAACCAGCCAAGTAACCTACTAACCAGCTAAAACCAGTAACCAACCAGTAAACATCCCTCACCAAGCATGCTTGACTCTCTCTCAGTTTGTTGGCCTTAGTAAAAACGCTTGAGTTTTGATTTGTCCTTGTTTGGGATCCTGGTGAGATCGCAGTCACTTGGGTTGGGATTTGAGTTTCTTTTTTAAATTATTTTGGAAGGTTTCAGCCAAGACAAAGAGTTTATAAAGATTATTTAATAAATTGCAATTAGAAAACGAAGGGAAATACTTAATAAAAGCCAAAATAACTGCCATTTATTGAAGCAACAACAACAAGAACAAGAAGAACATTTTGTTAGGACTTTTTTCATTTTTACAATGAAAATTAAAATTAAATGTAAAACATAAACTAAACAAAGGAATTCAATAAGAATTTGATAAACTATGTATCAGTGTTAAGTCGCAAGATGTCATTTTTAAACTTAAAAAAAGAACAAAAAATACGTCAAATTGTTGCTAAAAAAAACGGATATATCAAATATCGAATATTAATCTTGAAAATATGGGAATTATGGCCAAGTGACTGCTGCAAATAATAAGCACTAAAAGGAATACACAAGAAATGCATAGAAATTGAAAAAGAATACGAAAAACAATATTGAAAATATTTATACCTAGTGGTAAAAGTTAAAAACATATTTCTCGGACGGCAAAGGACTTTTGGGGAGGTGAAAAAACAAAGCGTTTAGCATTTTAGGTATTTAAGCCAGCTTAATGAATATATTTTATATATATTCGCGGCTCACTCGCCGCCTCCAAGGCTTTAAATCTTGAGCATTAACAATATTATGAGTTCCTTTTATAATTAATTGCAAAAGTGTAATACGCATTAGCCAGGTAATTGAAGTTATAGGTAGTTATATATATATATATTATATATATGTGAAGGTCGCGTGTTAAATGATGCAAAAAGTAAATTTATATACTTATATACATATATGTACGGTTAAATGTTGGGCAATAAAGTGTATCTATATATATATATATATAGCGTATGATGTTCAGAGAGATCTATACTAATACCCCCCTAAACAGGATATGGAAAGGATCGTGAGACCTACTTGCGACCACATTTGTCCCTTGAACCACCGTCCCATCGACATCGACACTCACTTCCCCCTTTAACCCTAGGTTCCCCGCCTTATTTTGGTTTTGAACTGGCAAAAAGCGCGCTCACCAAGCTATAAACCCCTCTACCTCTTTGATTTTTAACTCGCACACTAATGTCAAAACTCTTTCTGTATCTTTCAACTTGACTGTGGAACTAAAAACTAAACAAACCAAAAAAAATTAAAAACAAAACATGCAAATTGTTGTGTTTGTTGCCACTTTTGTGAAACTAACAAAAAAACTAACTAAATAACCAAAACAAAAACTGCAATTGAGCGAAAGTTGTCGAGGGCCGCTTAAGACTAGAGTAAAAATGCATTTAAAGCCTTGATTGGGTGAGTTCTCTCCTAAACCTAAACCTCTCTCTCTAAGAAAAAAACAAAAAACCAAAAAGCAAAAAGCATTTAATTGTTGTAACATATGTACCAAAAAATATAATGAAATTAAACCAAAGCTTTAGAGTTTCATACACCGCATATATAATCCATAATGTTTGAGTTTTGAGTTGATTTTCCTGTTGCCGCCAGTCAAGTAGCTACTCTCATTACATTTGCATCCTTCAAAAATACAGGATAAACACACATAATATACACTTCATCCCAGACATTATAAAATCAAAGTTAAATATGGTATTTAGAGATTATGTATTGGCAAGCTCCCGAGTTGTAAACACACTTACTAATTGTACTCACAAAAGCATGCTTTAAATTGTTCAATTGGCACTGAATCGAATCGAAAATCATTAATCATTAACCATTATCCTTTATCCTTTAATTAGCTTTTATTTAAGTTAGCCTTTTCATTTGTCAAACAGTTTTTCAGTTATTTATTGGTTCAAGAGCTTATCCACTGATGAGTTTCCAATTAAGTTGATTTCTCCCTCTCCTCCGGAAGGATGTTAGGCATATCCTCTATTCAATTACAACGCGCTATTATTCCACTTTTAATTAAATTACATTTTTAATTTGCCACCCCCTTTTCAGCATTTATGATTATTTTCTGCATACTTAAATGGTTTTATTTTTCCCCACACAGCTACAACCCAAATCAAAACAAAACCATCAACAAAAAAATATAAATAAAAAGAGCAATTAAAACCACTAGATAAAATTGCTCTAAATTGAAATTGGTATTTTGAAATTAGTTGGCAAATTTGTTGTAATGAGCATTTGAATATTTTACATGCATTAATTAAACATACAAAAAGACCGCGCTAGTTATTGCCATTCACTAATCACGACCCTTCGGGGTCACGTCCTCTCTTTCCCCTCTCTCTCTCTTTGTATCTCGTTCACAGGTAATTCCAATAGTCTAGCTCAGCTGGTGGACAATGAGATTCCTTTGGCCCAGATGGACATGCCGGCTTACACTCACCAGACAGCCACACAGTCGCGGCAGTACCGTCATCGGCATCACAAGCAGCGCCAGATCTCGAATGGCGGCACCGTGAGCTATGAGAATCAACTGGCCACCGCCAGCAGCGAGGATGAACTGGACGATCCGGATGTGGTGGTGGTGGGCAGCCCCGAAGTTGTGGCCGCCGTGGCAGCCATTGCCTCCAACAAAGCGCGGGATCTGCGCAATCGCAGCGGCAGCTATAGCAACCTTTTTGATGCGGACTTTGAGGCTGCCCTGGTCAACTCCACGCTGGTGGACAACCATGTGCGTGGTGGGGAACCAAGTGCTACGGTTTCTGGGAAACCCTCGGCTGGTGCTGCCCTCTTGGCGGCCGCCATGTCGGGCAAAGCCACGGAGAATATGTACAGCAATGTGCCTCCAGGGGGGGTCAGCAATGCTCCTCAAGATGCCACACTCCATGTGTACTCCAACATTATCGATGAACGCAAGCAACAACAACAGCAGCAGCAGCAGAGAGATCAGGTTAATAATGTCTTGTCTTCCACACTCTTGTGCGACGATCTTGACCTGGACGATCCTGTAAGTGCCGCCTCCTTTGTGGCCAGCCACTCCCAGCGAAAGTCCGCAGGCGATGGAGCCGAGCAGGTGAAGTCGGCAGAGCGACTGAGGATGCTGCATGACACCACCATGATAGACACGGCCCTGGATCTGGACAGCCTGGATGGTTCCAGCATGGGCAACAGCTCGCAATCCTGCCTGGTGAAGTCGTCGGGCAAACCGAGTGCTGCCTCCTCCAACAATCCCATAGTCTGAGCGGCCCTGATACCCATTGTCCTTGTACATAAGTGTAGATATTCGATTGCCAGGCGAAGAGTATTATTATTTTTTTTACCTAAACAACCTGTACTTTATTTACCTAATTACCCAACAAGTGTGATGTGGTGGTTCAGGGGGGGCGGTAGAGAGAAAGGAGAACCTATCAGCAGGCAGATAAAATATTACCTTAACGCGTTACGCATTCAAAAAGAAACAGATAGATATCTATGCATATATGTAGATGATAATAACTGAAGCATTTACGGATATATGTATACATATGTATGATACAAAACGTGGTGAACAATGATGTTAACAATTCAATGGCATTAAAACGAAGGACGAAATAAAGCAAAGGGAAACCAATACTAAGGAGAGACATAATACGCATATACAATGTATGGTTAGTTATAGTGTATAATTTTTGTATTTAAGTTTTTACAAGCAGCAACAGTTCAGAGTTTAAAATAAAAAATTTGCGAAAGGAAATCGAAGAAACAAACGAAAGCCAACTAGAAATATCCTGCAATATATGTACGTGAAGTTGAAATTGGAAGAAAACGAAGATGAAATAAGGACGAGAAATGTTAAAAAGCAACAATGTGGTGTATTAAATGTTCATAAAATTAAAGTTAAGTGTATTTTCAAGGTGTAAAATGTTATATGACATCAATTAAAAAACGAGTTCGAGATTTGGACAAGCCTCCACTGCATGAAAGGGCAAAATGTTAAGCGTATGTTATGCGAAACTAACAAAAACTGCAATTATACAAAGAATAAAGATTTATAAATAGAGAAAAACCAGAAAAATTGACTTTTTAAGCTTTGAACTTGGGGTTTATCAACCGCCAAACTCCTATCGATGTATCGATAACAACTTGCGGCTCTTCTATTTGCTGGCTTTTTAGTAAAAGCTCGAATTTGGTCACACTGCCATGGAGAAGAAAACAACTTTTTCGAATTGTCTGCAAATAATTCCAAAAACCAGCTTTTTAAGGTGATTAGTGAAAGGAAACACAATTGAAACCAATAAAATGTAGCAATTTTAGACCCGAGGAGCTCATCACACATCGTCATGTTGAGTTTGAGGCTCACAGTGGAGGCCTAAAACGCACACAAAACGAAGTCAGTGCGGCAGAACTCGAGGAGCTTCAGCGGGCACAAGGTGAAATTAGTTATTTAAATATTAATTGATATAATTTTGTATATGTTTATCCAATTTACAGATAGCCTGCGAGCTCAGCTGTCTGTGCCCCGCATAGAGAGACTTGGAGGAAGAGCCCTGGCCAGGTGGCAGGAAAAGCAACAAGTGGCAGAGGTCATACGCAAAGATGGTAAATTCGAAAACTTTGGTTATAGCAACCAGGGGAAACTCTACCTGGAATACTATGAAGCTCTATTTCTCCTAGAAGTGGTAAGCTTACAATTTACTTTATTCACAACAATTTAATTGTTAAAAACAAACCTTTTTCAGGGACGCCTTCAACTGGAATATTATGAAACTATTGTTTCTGTTGAGCAAGCCTATGTATTGCTCCTGGGAGAATTGGAAAGCGAAAAATACGAGCATTATTTGGTTTATTCAGCTTTATCCCGCGCCGGCTACATAGTTGTAAAGCATCAACCTCAGCGGTTAGCTCAGCCAGCAGTTACCAGTGAAGATTGCATTTGGGCTTTGCTAAAGGCAAAAGTTCAAAGTCAACCAGTACCGGAACACATTAAGGATTCCCCCTTTTACACACTCGTAGAGAAGAGAATGGAAGATGTGAAAGATATCATTGTATCTCAGAAGATAGAGGCTTCTCCAGTCAGAGAAGAAGCCATAGACTTTCATTTCGACACCCAAAAGCGAAAGGCTCCTGCCGAGCCTAGCAAAGAGCCAGCCACAAAGAGAGCAAAGTTCTGCCCAACTGGCCAAAGTCTGGTGGATCAACTAAAGAACGAAACGTCTTATGCAAAGTTTGAAAAGTTATTTCAAAAGTTTGATATTGTGCAGCTGGAAGGAAAAGATTATACAACCGATGAAAGCATCGATTGTCCTCTAAAAATAACCTTTGATCTGCATCTGCACAACGAGGGCTTTAAGAAGAGCTCGCCTAAGGCGCCTGCCTTTAATGTCATCATCCTGCCGCCTCGCTTTGACTTTCCCCATCACAAACAGATCTCAAACATCCTAAAGTTTCACACCGCCCCGCTGCTGGTTGTATCGGTTAGCGAGTCCAAACAGATACAGGCTTTTTTGTATCATATAAGTTGATGATGCCATTAAAATGTACGAGTATGCTTAACTTGTCATATTTTTTAATTTTTTATTTACTTATTTTCCCCTAAAAATCTGGTTTGTTTCCAAATTATGGTGTCCAGCCATGGTAAATATTATCAAGATACTTATTCTTACCAGCCAAATTTCATGAATTTTTTTATCAGGATGTAAAAATGGTCTGGATAATAGGCGGTCCGGGCAGCGGCAAGACAACGCAGGCGCAAAATATTGCCAACAAATATGGCTTTGTGCACATTGAACCTTGCACTTTGGCCAAAAAAGAGGTTCGATTTACTGGGATAACTGATTTATATAAAAAAAGATTCATATAACAGGTGTAATTACAGGGAAAACTTGACGAAAAGGTAATGGAAGCAATAAAAAGGGGATATCATGTGCCCTTGAATGATATTTTTCCGTTGATCTTAAATAAAGTACATAGTGCCAAAGCCAAGGGCATTGTCATTGATGGGTAAGCAGCATTGATGGTAAGGCAAAGTTTATAAATAGGAACAGATAATACTTTTTACAGATATCCGGAAAACCTCGAAGAGGCTGAACTCCTGGAAGTGGGTCTGGGACAGCCAGACATAATCATAGCGTTGCAGGTTGATGAGATTACTAGCATACGACGATCCCTTAAGACAGCGCGAATCGTAGATGGTTCAGCTTTAGAGGAATATATAATTTCGAGCATGCCGGTTATTAAAAAATACAGAGATATTACAGCGTTGGTGGACGGCTGTCCAGATTCCCATAGAGTCTTAGATGTGATTCAGTTCCATATTGATTCCCTGAGACGATGCAAACGATAGAGCTAAGGTTCTTCATTTAGGATGTTTATATTGGGAGATATGAGAGATGTTACTAGCTGAAAGAGTGGTGTGAATGCAGTAACTACTGGTGCAATAACGCCTGCTGGCCTTGTTCTTATATTTGTCTGAAATAAGGAGGCAAAAATGAGGAATAAATGAAGGCCTTGTGGCACCAGTAGCTTTTGCAAGCGCCCACGGAAGTGATAGTAAACTCTCAAGAAAATCATCTTTTAGAGAATGTAGAAACCTTTTTGTTTTCTAAATTTTGAAAACTACCTATAAAATATATACTCCCTGCTGTTTCTGAAAGGTATGTATCAAAATTTGATATATTTTTAATGAAATTAAAGAAAGAAAGAAGAAATTTGTCTCCAACTAATTGTAGAAACCTGCATGTTGTCTATATTTTAAAAACTACCTCAAAATAATATACTCCCTACTGTTCCCAAAAAGGTATGTTATAAAATTTGCTTAATTTTTAATGAAATTTAAATTTTAAAAATTAAATTATATTTGCAGAGAAGCAACCAAAGACGACGGAAAGCTCTCGGTGCCAAAAAAAGCTCTCGTGGCGCGTACGAAAACCGTTAGCCGAATACAACCGAATCGGATCGAATCGAATAGAGTCGCGTCAAGCTGAATCGAAAGCCTTTTTCATTCAGCTCAGTTCAGTCAGTCATCACTCTCAAGGCACGCAACACACCGAGGGTGGTGGTGAAAAATCCGTCGGGCTGAGAAAACGAATCTGTTTTTTGGCGCAGGCTGAGAAAAATCAACCCACAAGCAAGCATCGACGGAGGCGGCAACAACGGGTCTCCCCATAAACTACCGACAATCTCGCTATTTCTTCAAAGACCAAAGGCGGTCCCCGTATATATCTGGTATACATCATCATGGTGAGTGTGTCCGAGTTGTGTGCCGCCGTGTTCAGAGATTTTGTAGTAGTTTCGTTTCTGCTTATTGCTTAATTTATTTTTATTTGTTTGTTAATTTTTTTGATTTAAATCTCTCGGACTGGTGGGTACGTTTTCCTCTCTGCCCAAACTAGAACTACTTTAGTTTTCCAACTCGACCTTGAGCCACTTGCACTGCACTTGACCTTGCACACCCATCCCATCCAGTGCAGGGCAGGGCAGGTTGGAGGAGATGGAAGCTTGAAGCTCTCCAAGCTCTGAATCCCCGTCAGCTGTTTGCTGTTTATTGTTTACTCGCCTCTGGGCGGCTCGGCTCTACCAATACCAACTAATTCCAACGATTACGTGCCTGTGAAATTCCGCCAGAATACAAAGCACACAAAACAAGCTAGTAACAAATTAGCAACTCAACTGGCTCTCCGGGCGAATGGTCTAAACAACGAAAATAAAACCGAAATTTCACATTCCAAGAGCAACAGCCAAGAGCCAAGACCCGGCGAATTTTGACGTCAAAATCCCGATTTGCATATATTTATGACCAGTTGCCCGAAACACACAGGAATTTCTGGCGGGGCTTGATTCATTAGCAAGTCCGCCGAAGCCAGTTAAAATGTGTTTATTGGCGCTACCCGAACTAGACAGTCATGCCGGTTTTGCGTCGTGTCGCATTATTAAATTGTCAAAACAAAGAGACAAACCTTTTTTTAAAACAAAAAAAATAGAAAAAGAAAGAGTCACTGTCAGAGCTGAAGTTTAGGCTTCCATAAAAATTCCTCGGACTCGAGCTAAGTAGTTATTTAGTTCCGTTTGAGCAGAACGCATGTGTTTTTAGTGGCTCTTTTGATATTAATTAAAGTTGGAGCGTGATAGTAATTATATAGTTTCAGGAGAACTATTAAAAAGTCTTTGTTTAAAGTAGAATTTGCATTAAAGGTAAAATCCTATATCAAAACTTTGATAAAAACGTTGTTTAAAGATGTTTTTAAAGCTTAAAGTTGAGTTATTAGAGATACTTATCTCTTTAACTTAAAAAGTCTTAATAAAAAGGATATATCAAGGTGTATTTGTAGTCTGTAAATAGTAGAGAACCTTTAACTTAAAACAGTCTTAATAAAAAGGATATATCGAGTCATATTTTTAGTCCACAAATAGCTTCCAAAAAGATATAAATATATTAAATATAATTCAAAGATAATTATCTCTTTAAAAAGGATATATCCATTCGTATTTATAGTTCTTAAATATCAAGCAAAAATCTATAAAAGTATTGAATATAATTCATAATAAACAGGATATATATCCAGTCTTATTTGTAGAACCTAAAAAGCTAGCAAAAAAATATATATAAATAGGTAACCATTGATTTCTTTGAATACAAACCCTTGAGTTCCATTACAACAATAATAATAACAACCCACTCCGCGGGAACCAAAACATCTGTTCAATTTACCCTGCCTCAGGTCAGTGTTAAATTATTAACTAATTGAAATCCTTGGAAATGACATTGAAAAGTCACTAAACTAAACTACTAAAAATACACACTCAAACATTACGTAAATGAGCCTCAAAAATCATAAATTCTCACACGCAACGATTAGAGACTGCGTGGAAAGAGAAAGGCCACCACCGAAGAGGAAAAGCGTCAGGGAAAATATAGTAAAAAAAAACTTAAAATTTATGCTCTAGAGAACAACATAAAGGTGCTAGAGAAACAACCTGTACAATATCAACCTGCCAAAATTCATTCAATTTGTTTGTCTGCTATTTTGTTCACTTATATGTATATATAATTTTTTGCTGGGTGCGACAATGCGGAACGGGCGAATATATATCAGCGGGGGCCTCGCCATACTATATCAAACGCCGATCCGCACACGCAGCTACACATGCTATATGTGATATGTGGAGAGCAAAGCAATTGTTTACAATAATTGGGATTTTTTTCGATGAAATCAAACCATTAATATAAGCAATTGTGTGAATGGAGAAGAGGTGCCAATTGCCCTGAATGAGTTGAGTTATCCGATGGGTAATAAACACAGCTACGCAGCAGTGGCTTCTGTTCAAGATCAATGTCATGATCATTATCGCCTATAGATTGTTTAGTTAGAATGTAACACATAGCTTATAGATGGGAACTTTATTGCTTTGGGTTTGATTTGCTTATGGCAAAGTGCCCAGAAATACTAATAACCAAAACATATACACATTAACCAAAGGCGAATTCGAACATTTTGGTTCAATAACACTTGTAACTTTGAGAGATATCTAACCCTTCCCCACCAACTGTCTCGATTGTTCAGTTATTTATGTGTCACCAAATGGCCATGAAGAAGGAGGCCGAAGAGAAGCTCAAAGCCGAGGAGCTCCGTAAGGCTAAAGCCGCTGTAAGTAGTCCTGACAGAAGCCTTAAAGTCAAAGGGCAATCCATATTACTTGATGTATGATGGCATGTTCTGTCTGGCCGCCGCTTCTCCACCAAAGTTTAGACCCAAGAATTGTGAAAAATATATCCCCATAACCCCACTAAGCTTGCGTGTACCAGTAAATCTTAACAGATCTAATTTTAGTAGATGTTTTTGCCTGCCTTGTTTTTGATTTTATTTGCTAATGATAGTTCCTGTATTTACAGTCTGACATCCCCATTATCTGGATCTTGGGCGGACCCGGCTGCGGCAAGGGCACTCAGTGCGCCAAAATTGTGGAGAAATACGGATTCACACATCTGAGCACCGGCGATTTGCTGCGCAATGAGGTAATTGTTCAGAAATACTGGAATTCTGGGGCAATGTCTTGGTTGTTTTTGTAAAAAGAAAAAGCTTTTATTATAGGAAATTTTATAGATTTTATATATGTATCATAGAATGTAGTTTAGTTTTGTGTGTTTACATTTACAATTTTGAGATATTTTTAATAGATTTCGTAGAGGAATAAGTTGAGGGACTTGTTAAGATTCAGATTTAGATTCTTTAATAAAAAGTCCTGTAAAATATTAAACTTTAATTCTTAAAACCATTAAATCCTTCAACAATTATTCTACTAAAAATCCCAAAATTATTCCAGGTCGAGTCTGGCTCAGACAAGGGTCGTGCCTTGCAGGCTGTAATGGCCAGCGGTGGACTGGTCTCCAACGATGAGGTGCTGTCCCTGCTCAATGATGCTATTGGTCGGGCCAGAGGCGGTTCTAAGGGTTTCCTCATCGACGGCTATCCCCGGGAGAAGAACCAAGGGGTTGAGTTCGAGGCGCGCGTTGCTCCCGCCGATCTGGCCCTGTACTTTGAGTGCTCCGAGGACACGATGGTGAAGCGCATTATGGCCCGTGCTGCCGCTGCTGCTGTCAAAAGGGCTGATGACAATGAGGCTACCATTAGGTCGCGTCTGAAGACTTTTGCCTTGAACACCAATGCCATCCTAGAACTCTATAACGAGAAGACCCTCACGGCAAGTCGAGATTGATATCCTAAAAGCTATATAAGTTATAAATATTTTCTCTTAACCTTAGATCAATGCCGAGCGCGATGTGGATGACATTTTCCTGGAGGTTGTCCAGGCCATTGACTGTGTGCTTAAAAATAAGCAGAAAGCCGCTGCCCTGTGCTAGTTGAAGGCGAAATCAAAGCCAAAACCAAAGAGTTGGCAATGCAAACCAAAAATTAATAAATTAATGCACTTTTTAGCGCGAATCTCACAGGCTCAAATGAAAGCAAAAAAACACCAAATAAATTAGTTCTAAATCATTAATATGTTACCATATGCAAAGGCCTTATTCTTCAAACTATTGCTTTAAATAAAATACAAATAGAAATGGGAATTTCCCTTTTTTCTGATTCATTAAGGGATAGTTACAAAGTTAATTGAATAATGAGTGTGATTTACTAGCCTCTGCTTAGTTAGATTCGTTTTTATATAAAATGCAAATCATATAGGGTTTGCAATTAACAAGTCTCGTGCTAATTATTCACAAGCTAATTGAAAGCTCCAAGGGCACGTGTGCCTAGGAAAACATTCGAATAAGAATTTGCCTTGAGAGCCACGTGATTTATAGCTGAAAACTACAAGCTCATTTGGGGTTGACTGAACCAGTTTGCTATCAGCATTTAAATTTGTGGGCGTCAAGTAGAACAGATTGAGCCTAATTTACGTTAGATTTTTGCACCAAATTTATATTAGTTTTATCTCCAAAGAAGCTTCCTCAAGTTGAAGTCTCTATTAAATAGTTTTATTTGCAGTTATTCCCCCTGTAAAACCTTATTTGTTTATCCTTTCATTTATTTACTGCTTTAAAATGATGAAGACCTGAACTATATAAGCATTTTATTGAGGAACTTTCCAAAATCTCTGAATACATCTCCGGTTAAACATTAACAAGTTGCACCCGATTAACTGCTTTGGCCACAATAAATTAAACTGAAATTTAAATTTAATTTGGAGCGAGTCATCATGGGTTTAATTGATCGATCGTTTCTGATTTCTGATCTCCAAGTTCCCCTTCTTAAATCCGAGATGATATCAATTTTTTGATAAATCCCTGACTTGACGTCATGAGACTTTTGAAAGCAAAATAGAACTGACACAATTCAAAGAAAAGCTTGGAGTCTCTTCCTCCAAACTGGTAGAAATAGAATCGTCCATCCATCACGGAACTAAATACCAAGTCGAGCGTCATCGCTCAAAGCTCCCCTTCGAACTGGAGTGGCTCCCCGAGTTCGAGTTTTGAGTTCTTTCGAGTGTAAAGTCAACACAGAAATATTATGTAAAGTAAGTGGTTCGTTTGGCCAGCATAGCATCTATGTATGCTACGGATGCCTCATAATTGTTGTGTGCCTTTCGTAAATTATGTAAAACTGTGAAAACCCAGAGGCAAGGTAGAAAACGAAACAGTTAACCGTCCAGAAATTATCACCTGGCGACGTAAAAGTTTTTATCTGTCGATTATCGCTGGTCGAGATCAGATCCCCGAACTGGCGGGAATTCCAATTCCACAAAAATCAGCATGACTAAACAACAGACGACAGAAAAGCCGAAGCAGGTTTTTTGTGTGTGCTATTATTATTGTTATTTTTGTATATTTTTGATTTCTTGTTATTTTTGTTCATTTTCATATACAATTTCTTTATATTTTGCATCGCATTTGTTGCTTTCTTTTTGTTTGCGGCCCAAGTTGAAGTCTTTTTTTGGGGCCGCCGCTGAGGTCTTAAAACTAAAATAAATATAAATGTTTAAATAGTTAAAGCTAAGAACAATGTACAGATGAGGATATATCACAAGATTGGAGAAGTTCTTTAAACATAAAGCTATCAGGATTCAGTCAGAGGGGGGGACGAGCTCCAAGGACACACGTCTTAGATGAGATTGTTATCACTGTAGGGATGCTGGTGATGTTGCTGCTGATGATGTTGCTGGGTTCTCAGGTACTGCTGCTGCGGTGCACTGCGTCCCCCAATCTTGCTCTCAATCCAGTCCAGGTAGTGAGTGACCCTGGTAAAGCCTCCAGGTATGTTAGTTTCACAACCATCGGCAGGTCCAAAGCTGGTAATGCCGACCACCACCTGGGTATCCTTTAGAACCAACGGTCCACCGGAGTCACCCGTGCACACTGTCTCATCCTTCAGGCCCTTGGCACAGATCACTCCAGCGGTGACCACATCGTACTCCTGGGCGCACTCTGCATTCGAGATCACCTTCAGCTCGGTGTACTGCATCGAGTCCGAGTTGGTCATCTCCACCATGGCACCCCAGCCGCTGGCCACCACACTCATCCCAGCGAACTGATCTTGGCGATATCTGCTGGGCAACGAAGCAGGCTGAATCCTCGAGGTGAAAGCAATGTCCATGGGCAGCTTGACCAAGGCAATGTCATTGGCCGCCGTCTCCGGATTGAAACGTTCGTGGACAATGAACTTGTTGGAGCGCAGCACCAGTCCACCCAGCTGCTCTGTATCCTCCACACTCTTGGTGCCCAGATATACATCGTAGTGGGTCACTCCCATGGTGCAATGTCCGGCGGTGAGGATCCAGCGTCTGTCCAGCAAAGTTCCACCGCAGAGAATGCGCTTGCGCCACAGCTGCTTGCCAATCAGCATCACCTGGTAGGGGAACTTCTCGATACGCCCGAACTTGGACTGTCCCAGGGCATAGCCTTCGGTTTGGGCGGGCGCCCATGTGAGCATCAAGATCAGAGCCAGGCCCAGCAGGTGGGCTATTCTGTTGTAAATCATTTTGTTTGTGTTCTGTTTGTTGGTTGCACTTGTCACTGGTTAGTAGTCTCTTCGATCTTCTCAAGATTTAGTCACTTTTTCTGTTCTTTTTTGTCTCTGAGTTCTGCGCGCTTTGAAGGTTCGCTTCAATCTAAATCCATTCTGACGGAGCCGTGATTTTTTATACCTCGCCGCTCGCTTGCGCTCAGCTAAAATATTTCGCCGGCTAACTGGCGCTGTTTTTTGAGATTCCATCTCGGTTTGGAGCAGCTCTCTCCACCGCGCTCAGCCTGACTTGGTGGCAGGTCGGCAGACTCTTCTCCGGTAGCCTGTGTTGTTATGACAGCAAACAAGTCGTAAAATCTCGTTTATAACGCTGGGGCATCAAGAGATAGTCAGTCGGCCGATTTTCGCCAGGCAAAGTTCAAAATTTTTGTTTTAAATAGGAAACGGAAGTGGAATTGGGTTATTTCGATTGCGTCTATTCCCGAAATATCATATTTCGCTTACGAATAATTATGACTAGGTCTCTCAGCTCTTTTGGAGCAGGTAATTTCATAACCTGGCAGCGAGAGAGAGAAAACCGAGTTGATACCAGACAATAGAACAGGTATTCCAGATGGAGCCAAAGCCCCTCTTGGTGGGTTGGATTTTTTGGGGTGACAAATACGATTTTAATTATGTATAAACTATTTTGGAATTCTGATTAGAAGACTCGTTTTGTTTGTCGTTTTCCTTTTGGTTTACGAAGCTCTAAACCTCACTACTCCTCCTGGGTCTTTGGTTTGGAAATGTTTCATTCAACTGTGAAAAAAAGATGGAATTTTTTGTGTTGAAAGTTGCTTTTGCGCATTTTTTTGCAGCATTTTCGTGGTGATCCGTAAACAACGGGGACTCCGGATTTTTGTCTGATTCAGTGGCGCCATAAGAATTTCGATATTAATAAGTTATTCATTTACGCCTCAAAGTCCAACCAAAAACAACAACAACAAAAAATGCTGCTAATTCCAAGCGAAACTCTCTGGCGAATTTAGGTTTAACTGCGATGAATCAAGATCGCGGTTTGTTTATTATAAACAATACTATATATTAGTATGCAGATTGACGCTCCAGATCAGAATCACAACAAAGCTGACTCAATGTTTTTGTTCTTGAATTTTTCCTTTGTAGATTTTCCTGTTTTCTTTCCACCTGCGTAAAACCAAAGACAACTAAAAATCACTGATAAATATTTGGAATTTGAAGTTAATTTGCCAGGCGCCAGGCTGCTGGGGTTGTTAATGAAAACAACGGAGATTAGCGATCGCTTTAATTTTATTTACTTAATTAGCAGTCGAATTGTAAAAATAAAAACACCCAACGAATGGCTTTGTTTTTTTGACGAAAAGAATCCAGTACGTCAATGAGATCTCTTCGGGAGGCGGGAGCAGCAGGTAAGAGTATTCCCTGATTCGAAGGGGATTTCTTTTCCCCAGTTCCCTAATTGTTTACATTACTTATTCGCACCAAGTCAAAGTCTATAAATATAATCAAACACCCATAAAAAAATAGTAATTGGTCATGAAGGTGTGAGATAGTGCTGCCTGGTGTAATCGAGTTTCCTTGGGGAAACTGCTTCACCTGGAGCCCCAGCACGTGTAGGACATATAACTCTCGTTTTGGGTGGTTCTTCTTTTATTGTCCAACCTAATCCGCCAATTAGTTTTCAGCACATCGTCAAAGTTTATGGGACAAGTTCTCGTCTCAAAGCTGGCTTTGATTTTGATTTGTTTAGTGAATGCATATTTCATTTTTCCCTCGAATCATACGAATAAATTACCTACAAGAACCGGCGAGATTTATTCGACAATTAAAATTTAAATTTCTCAAGATGTAAATTGATGCAAATGAGGGACCGGGAACACCCAAAAAAAATAAAGCCTTGTTTTTCGACCACAAAGTTCAGCGGCTCGCATATCGCTGGCGCCATAAATGTTGCTTACCTTGCTCGAGAAAGTAGCTGACCTTGACGGAATTCGGAATGGGAGTTCCGAATCTGGACGAGGCTGGAGCATCATTTCTGGCTAGAAAGCAAGGGAAGGATCGGCAGCGGTTCCACGTCTAATTTCGCGCATGCGGAGTGCATTGACCAAGTTCGGGGGGAATCGGCGTATCGTAATGGCCATATCAAATCGGCCATTGACGTCAGCTAAACACCATTTGTTATGTACACAGAAAGAAATCATCTCGAATGGTATGTTAATTAGCTCTTAAACTGGATCTTAGGCCATTCCCAAGTACTTGGATTAATTTATAAGCATTGGGGCTATAAATAAAGTTAACTGAATTAACAAGAAAAAGGTTATTCAATAATGAGTATTGTATCGAGTCAGTTCTTAAAATTTAATAATATTTCTTATACTTCTTCATGTAATGAGTGACTTTTTTAGGGTATTTTAATTTCAGTCAGAAGCTTGAAATGCACTGAATAAGTCATTTCCGACCCTATAAAGCATATATATTCTTGATCAGCATCAACAGGGGAATCTATCTAGACATGTTGGGACGGGAAATTTTTTTTGTAATTTTTTAAAATTTTTTAAGGGGTTACATCATTAAAATTATCAAAAATTCAAAAAAATTTTAAGGTTCAAAATTTTTAAATTTAATAAATTGATTTGTTAAGCTGTTAAAAACTAGCAAAAAACAGCTTTCCAAATTAAATTTAAAACATTTTTGGCTTAGTTATGATATTTTTAGATATTGATTAAAAAGAACAAATAAAAAAATACTATCTTAAATTTATTTTTTTAGGAATTCTTGGTAGTAAATGGAAACTACATACTTCGACTTCCTGATGTTAGCTTCCTTAAATTTTTTTTAATATTTCTGAACTTTGTTAGCCTGATATAAGAGTTAGTTTACTTAGTTTCCTACCCTTTTTAGCCTCAACTTTAAGTTTAAGTCACTCTTTTTAGCTTCAATAATATCTAAAATTTACCACATTTTTTGTATATTTTTATATATTTTTCTCACCATATTTGTTTTCTTAATTATTCACATTTCTTTGCGTGTACGTGGGCCTTACAAATTAATTAATGTGCCGCCGAATGAGCTTTTAATATGCAACGGCGTAGAACCAGTAGTCGCTATACCACTTTTCGCCAGCAGTAAAAGTTCCACTCCCCCGGCCCCACTTCCTCCCGAGGGTTTTCAAGCTTCAAACGTTTCTCGGTCAGAGTTTTTTTGGACAAACTAGATCCGGTTGGAGCTCATTTTATGCTATAGAACCCAGTGAGCGAGCCAGCGACCGCTTCGAGACAGCAAACAAAAAAGAAAGAAGAAATTTATGGCGATGGGGTATTCCCAGCTCGAAAATACGAATACTGGGCCACAATAACAGACTCCCATGACGCTGGGGTAGCAAACAAAATTTGCTGAAATTCATCAAAGGCATTTATCATTAGTCGAGAAAGAAAGATGATCGCTTGATCGCCGGATAGCTGGATAGCCGTTAGCCAAATGCAAAGAAACTTTTTTGGCGCCAGCTATCCAGACGGCGGCAGCTTAAGTATCTATAGTATGTTAGGTTTTTATTATTAAACTCAGCGGAGATCCCTTAAAAAACTAGTTTCCTGGCTGCAGTTCCGACAGCTCTGGAATTTCCAAAAAACACGTGCGAAATGGCTATTCGAAAACCCTAAGAAAGTCATCAAAACAAACAGTTTTTATTCAAATGGAATTGGAATCTCGATCCGGAGGAGTCGAACAATACGTCAAGTTGTCAAATTAAATTTGCATGCCATTAATATGCTGGCAAATGAAGCGCAGCCGAAGTCGCTTATAAAACTTGATATGTTTTGCCCACAGATAAGGAATTGATTAAGCTGGAAAACCGCCTTTCAAACTCGTAAAGCTCACGCCCAAAAAATCAGATTCTGACTGTGCTTTAATGGAACTACTAGTAGTGGGGAACTGGGAATTTTTGGATGTTTCGGAATTTATGCGTTTGGCCCGGAGACTATGTGAATTATGCTGCGACTGTTGGGAACAGCTTATTGGCGCCGAAATAATTAATTATAAATTGACTGTCTCGACACTAATAAGCCATTGGCATTTGCATATAAATTAGAACGATTAGAATGGACGAGAACAACAGCCTCAGAAATATGTATCAAGAACGCAAAACCGATACAACGTGACTTCTGTATTATCCTACAAATGTCTAATAAAGTCAGAGTATTTTGAATCATTGATTAGAACTAAGAATTAAGATAAGGTGATAAGATAAAGTGATAAAATGTGTCTGGGAATCTCATAAGGAATTGATTTTTGAAAAGGATTTTGTGGGAAAAACGGAAATCTTTTCCATTAGAGTTGCAATAATTCTTAGGAGTATTTTGATTCTTAATATAGTTTTTAATTAAGAAAATTTGGAGAGAGAGATAAATGTGTAGCTTAAATAAGGATAACGTTGTGGGAGTCTCATAAAGATAACATTTATCCTAAAGATTTTGTTTGAAAACAAAGGGAATATCTGAAGAATTGCAACAATTCCTTGAAGAATATTTAAAATTACTTATAATAATATTTAAAAAATCAAAAATAAAGCCAATAACTCTAAGAAATTAGAAAAAAATTTAAAAAAATAATGTTTATACTATAAGTATGTACATTCGCTTTGTAAACACTTCTAACCACAACAACTTGTGGTTTTTTGTAGATCACAAATAAAGATCTTACTTTTTATTACTCAATCTTCGAGGCACAACATTTTTGATTGGTAAACAAAAGAAACCTGATGTTGATCGTCATTTATAGTAATCTGAAGTCCATTCGGAAAGCAATCATAAGTGGGCAATCGATTCGTTTATAAGCAAACATGAATATAAGCACGCGCTCCAAGCTCAAAGAGCGCTCAAAACTTGACGTCATATCGGATTTTCTTCAATCCGATGATTCACTCGTCTCCAGAGCCATTCCATAATATTTGAAACGTCATGGTTGGATTACAAATTCATATTTTTAGGGCGATTACTCAAAACCTATTCGGTGTCTTGGGCGTCTGAAAGGTCCCAGACTTTCTTAAGCCATCGCCGGCTCACTGTGACACTGCAAATAAATATTATTGTAAAACTGCCGTCGAGTGGCATCGAACTCAGATTAAGGCACGATTTCGTTATTCGATTTTAGCCCGAATAAGGCATTCCAGCTTTCAATTAATGAGATTAATCGTAAATAAACATTTACGGTAAGTACATTTTCAGACTGCATCTGTCACACGGATAATTTAGAAGGCGCACATGTAAAAATATAATCATTTACGAGGCATGCAAATTGCGATCGCCGGTTACGATTTAAATTACAATTTACGGGATTTCCTTAAGGCCGAATAATCAGGCAAGATTTAAAACCAGTTGTCAATGTCTCGTGCAAAAGTTGACACCCAAAAGTATGATTTTAAAATCTTAAGGAGATCCCGATTATTAATATATTTAAAAGATCCTAGAATGTTGGTATTAATTTTTTTAAATCTCTCTGATATTTTCGGAAATTTCGCCATTTATTATATAACAATTTGTATATAAAAAGGTCATAGAAACAATCAAAATAAAAGATATTTAACTAGCCACTACATATAGCCATGAAATTACAATGTATTTTAATACAAGTTAAAAAAGAACAAAATTTAAATCGAAAAGCCTTTGTCTTAAGTTTTAGTTTTAAACTCTCTATACCTTAAATTTTTAATTTTTATTTTAAATTAAAATAATTAATTATAAATTAAATTTTTGGTGCTATAATAAATTTATTTTTTTGGTGCTATTTTAAAAAAATATATTTTTCTAAATTAAAATTTTTTTCTAAATATTTAAAACTTTTCTGAATTTTTAACATTTTTTTTTTTAGATTTTTTATATTTTTTAGAATTTTTTTTAGAATTTGTTAAATTTTTTTAAATGTTGTAACTGCCAAATTTGAATTTGAATTTAACTGTCAAATTTGAATTTAACAACGACCAGTTTCAGTGTGCCCAGGTGCAGTTGTAAAATAACACCTAAATATAGATTCAAAAGGTTTGAGTCTCCGCTAACTTGCGCCGGCTTCTAAATGGTTTGAAACTTGGACTTTTTATAACAGTTTATACCAGTTTTCAGTTGCTTGCTGCTGGTTTCTGTTGGCCTGTTACCCCAGTTTGGAAAGCGGCCAAATCCAATTGAAAAATTTGCTCACTTGCATCAGTGATGCTCATCTCCATCAGTGATGCTCATCTAGCTATATTGCAATATTGGGAGGCTATAAAATCGGGCTTAATGGCAGTGATGCTCATCTGGCTATATTGCAATATTGGGAGGCTATAAAATCAGACTTTGCATCAGTGATGCTCATGTAGCTATTTTGCAATATTGGCAGGCAATATATCAGGCTTAATGGCAGTGATGCTCATCTAGATATATTTCTTTATTGGGACAAAATAGATAGATGAGCATCACTGATGCAAAGTCAGTTTCAGTGTGCCCAGGTGCATTTAAGCAACATTTTAGCCAAAAAATTTACAATATGGTCACATCTGGTTTGAGTCTTCGCTTACTCCAAGATCAATGGTTCGAAACTTGGACTTTTTATAACAGTTTATACCAGTTTTCAGCTGCTTGCTGCTGATTTCTGTTCGCCTGTTACCCCAATTTGGGAAACGGGAAATTTGCATGGAAATGTTCGAAATTTGGATGGGATGTTGTTGTAAAAAGGTTGTTGTTTCCATAAGCTGTTGTTGTCGGCAATAAATAGGTATAAATGCATAAAATGAAATATAACAGTTTATACCAATTATTATTTTTGCCCAAAAGTTTTTATAACAGTTTATACCAGTTTTCAGTTGCTTGCTAGTGGTTTCTGTTCGCCTGTTACCCCAGTTTGGGCAACGGCCAAATTGGATGGAAATTTTTGCTCACTCATGCTCATCTGCATCAGTGATGCTCATCTAGCTATTTTTTTTGCATTATTGGTAGAAAATTGCATGTCACTAGCTGTCAGTGATGCTCATCTAGCTATTTTGCATTATTGGGAGAATATGGCATCTCACTAGCTGCCAGTGAAGCTCATCTAGCTATTTTGCATTATTGGGACAAAATGGAGAGATATGCCATGCTCATCTGCATCAGTGATGCTCATCTAGCTATTTTTTTTGCATTATTGGTAGAAAATTGCATGTCACTAGCTGCCAGTGATGCTCAACTAGCTATTTTACATTATTGGGACAAAAAGGCATCTCACTAGCTGCCAGTGATGATCATCTAGCTACATTGCACTAATGGGACAAAATGGTATCTCACTAACTGTCAGTGATGCGCATCTACATATTTTGCATTAATGGGACAAAATGGCATATCACTAACGGTCAGTGATGCTCATCTAGCTATTTTGCATTAATGGGACAAAATGGCATCTCACTAACTGTCAGTGATGCTCATCTAGCTATTTTGCATTAATGGGACAAAATGGCATCTCACTAACTGTCAGTGATGCTCATCTAGCTATTTTGCTTTGATGTTTCCTTCATTTTCCACCGCAAGAATGCCCTTCTATTGAGCTTATTTAAATTATCCCACCCAAAAAAAACCGCATCCTCCTCATAACTCAAAAATAACACATTTTTTAAGGTTTATTATTTATTTCAGCTTTAAATAAATAAAAGAAGAAAAGGTGAGGCATGTGGGAATGTCCTGCTCCTTCTCGTCCTGATCCTCCTTGCCAACGCTCTCTTTCTCGCCTTCGGCACCCGCATTCAGTTCCTTACAGCTTGCTGCAATTAAATTTAAAAAAAGGGTGCGATTTATTTTGAAAAATTTTCGGAAACAAAACTAATTTCAGGTTCATAACTCAGGCAAAAATGCATGAAATTCAATTCGGCAAGCTGTTCAGAGTTCGTTTTTCTAAGCTTAAGAAAGCTGCTTACTCAGTTTTAATAAAATACTTACCTGTAATTTTAAAAGAAATCTGTTCTAAGTTGGTTATTCTAAGCTTAATAAAACTGCTTACTCAGTTTTGCTTAAATGCAAAAAACTAATTTTCAAAGGTTCATAACTCAGTCATTTTTATACCCTTGCAGGGTATTATAATTTCAGTCAGAAGTTTGCAACGCAGTGAAGGAGACCTTTCCGACCCTATAAAGTATATAACCCATATATATTCTTGATCAGCATCAACAGGGGAATTTTTCTAGATATGTCAGGAAGAAATCGATTTTTTGGCCATTTTTGCAAAATTTTATAAGGGGTTACACCATTAAAATTTTTGATTTTGATAAAAAATTGAATTTTCAAATTTAAATGAAGTATGCAGATTTATTAACTGTAGAAAATCTTGCACAGAACAGTTTTCCGATTTAAAATTAATGCTCTTTTGGCCGAGTTATGATATTTTTAATTTTAGAAAAAATCAAGAACTTTTTTAATATAAAAAATCCGATTTTATAATACAAAATAATATTTTTCTAAGTCAAGGAATCATTTCCGACCCCATAAACCATATATATTCTTGATCAGCATCAACAGGGGAATCTTTCTAGACATGTCCGGAAGAAATCGATTTTTTGCCCATTTTTGCGAAATTTGATAAGGGGTTACATCATTAAAATTAGCAAAAATGGCCATTGATTTTGATTTCTTAAAATTTTAAATTTGGTATGCAGTTTTTTTAAATTAATAAAAACTAACACAAAACTGCTTTCCGAATCGAAATTAATGCATTTTTGCCTTAGTTATGATATATTTTAATTGTTACCTGCAAGGGTATACAAACTTTGGCTGGCCAAAGTTAGCTTTCTTTCTTGTTATTATTAAAATAATAATAATATTAATTAAAATACTAAAACCCTAGAAATTTATAATGCAGCGCATTTTTCTTACGTCAAAGGAATACGTTTTTTGTGGATTACGTTCCTACGCACAGCAAAGTTTCACACCTATTTTGTAATAGAATGCAGACCGAGGTTCGAATATCAGGTGTGGATTTTTTTAGGGGGTTATTTCTACTTTTTAAGATTTTTTAGGAGGAAAGCCATATTTTCATCTGGCAACACACAAAAACAACGAAAAACAAATCAGCACGCGCACACAGAGTCGCTGTTTTTTTTATAATTTTTTACTGTACGGCTTTTATTGATACGGACTCCGGTTATTTGGTGCGGCGAGCAAAAACAGACAAAGTCAGGTGAGTTATAGAGCACTTTCCCTGCCTCCTTTGCTGCTGCTCCGCTTGTCCGCCGTCTCTCCCTCTTCCTCCGCGATTTTCCCTGTTTCTCCGCTGCTTCTCCGTTGCTCCGTTTCTCGCCCTATTTTTTTTTTTTTTTTTTTTTTTTGCGTAAGTTCAGGTCTGTTGCAAACTGTGTCAACTAATTACGGAGGAGCAACTGATTAAGCTGAGTGTCGAGCAGAACTCTGGCCTTATCGACGTTCATTTATCACCTGGCGGCCTTTGAACCAGCGCGCAGCACCAGCACCCCTCCTGTTCCATTGTCGTTGTCAATTCGGGATCGCGATCCGCTCCAAGACTCCCTCTCCAGCAAGAGAACAGAAATCTGTGTCTGTCTGTCCACGTCTGTTTGCGCAGAGCTTACCTACGGCTACGGCTCTTTGATATGCTAATCTCGGCCAGGCCCACGCGTATCTGGGAGTTGACAGTTTCTGTTTCGGTTTTGCTTGCGTTTCGTAATTAACTTAAACCGTTTGTGCTTGTACGTCTTCCCCGCCAGAAACGCCACGCAAATCGATAACACACCCATCGCCCACACACATCAACACAGACACCCACGTGGACACGGATACGGATAAGGAGACGGAGGGAGTAGCACCAGCAGCATGGGTCAGACACTCTCGGAACCGGTGACCGCCAAGGAGTCGGCCTATTGCCAAAATGCCGCCTTCCGCGTCGGCTCCAGTTGCATGCAGGGCTGGCGCATCAACATGGAGGATTCGCACACACACATACTCTCGCTGCCGGATGATCCGGGAGCGGCCTTCTTTGCCGTCTACGATGGACATGGCGGCGCTACAGTGGCCCAGTATGCGGGAAAGCATCTGCACAAGTTTGTGCTGAAGCGGCCGGAGTACAATGACGATGATATCGAGCGGGCACTGCAGCAGGTGAGTCACGTGAATGAACGGGGGGGAAAAGAAGTGGATCTATATGTGTTGCACTCACTCAGGTGCTTATTTTAAGTACTCCCTCCCGGGTATATTAAATGTCAGAGATATAGAGAAGATCGAGGGCAGGGCTGGGGCTACATTCGAGTAGCCTATACTCGCTGCTGGCTAGGAGGTGCTGGTGCTTCTTATCTGTTTACCCCACCTGGGTGTATTAGGTAGATCTAGTTTAGTTACTTTTTGGGCACGTTTTACGAGTAAAACTTGAGGAAAACAATGTCGTCTTAATGGGAAGAAAAGCGAGTGGAATTATCTAGGGATAAGTTTTAAAGCTAGGTGATGCTTTTTCCTAGTGAGCTCTATTTTTATCTACCTTGTTTCCTAGATCATAATAAGTAGTTATTTCTTATCCATTTAGATTTATTATTATTGCAATTTTTCAGTTCGAAACTCTCTATAAGCAATGGATTATTATGAGTAGCAAGCACAGTCTTCCAGGTTATATGTAGCTTTAAAAGTTCAACTGTATCTATATAACGTACTTTTTATCGTATGTTAAAAATATATTATCTACCAAATTAACCTTGGAACCTTGTATCGGTAGGAGGTTCCGAAACCTACTTTTATGGGATAGCAACAGTTAAGTCTTTAAGGGGGTCGGGTATTTTAGGTTTGTGTTTTTTTTTTTACACTTTTTTTTATTATAAATTTTCAATATTTTAGAAATATTTGGTCGAAGTTTCACATCAATCTTAGCACTATGGACCAAGTTATACGTAGTGAAACGGTGTTGTTCGTTCGTTTAAATTTTAAGAAATTCGTCATAACAGTTTCTATATCTTTTTAATATTTTTCAAAACAAATATTTACACATGAAATCATTCCTTTTTTATTAATAATTTATTATTATATATTACTTTTTTATAGTTAGATTTTCCCATTTCTCTGCTTACCTATTTAGTACTCAATTACTCATTATAATGATGATGAAATTTTGCAGGGCTTTTTGGACATTGACTACGAGATGCTCCACAATGAGTCATGGGGTGACCAGATGGCCGGCTCTACGGCCGTCGTTGTGCTGGTAAAGGACAACAAGCTTTACTGTGCAAATGCCGGCGACTCAAGGGCCATTGCCTGTGTGAACGGTCAACTGGAGATTCTATCGCTGGACCATAAGCCCAACAATGAGGCGGAATCAAAGCGAATCATTGAGGGCGGCGGCTGGGTGGAATTCAATCGCGTCAACGGCAATCTGGCACTTTCCCGGGCACTTGGCGACTTTGTGTTTAAGCGAGCGAACAAAAAGCCGGAAGATCAGATCGTCACAGGTGAGAATCCTCCTCCATTGTTCCAAATTATTCATTATCACCTTCTTATTCTGTTTGTTGTTGTTGTTGTTGTTGTGCAGCCTACCCGGACGTGGAGACGCGCAAAATCATGGATGATTGGGAATTCATCGTGCTGGCCTGCGATGGCATTTGGGATGTGATGAGCAATGCGGAAGTGCTTGAGTTCTGTCGCACGCGCATCGGTATGGGCATGTATCCGGAGGAGATATGCGAGGAGCTGATGAACCACTGCCTGGCGCCCGACTGCCAAATGGGCGGCCTCGGTGGCGACAATATGACCGTTGTGTTGGTCTGTCTGCTGCACGATCGACCCTATAGCGATCTGATAGCCCGTTGCCGGAATAGTAATGAGAATGAAGCCACCACCAAGGAGGCAACGCCACCATCGCCCAAAGGTTGTGGTGATAACTCGGAAGATGCGGAAACCGATACGGAAACAGAAACGCAATCCAATCCACAACCAAATTCCTGTTCGAACCCAAAGTCCAAGGATGATGACGATGCGAAGAAGGATCAGCAGGATGCGCTGCTGGCAGCGGCCGAAATGCAGCTGAACTATATCTACTAGTGTTGCGCCTTACAATTAACTTAGGGTTACTCCGCAAATACCGCTTAAGGTCTAAAGAAAAAAACAGCAAAAGCAAGTGTTCTTGGTTAAGTTTTTTATATGCCCAAACACACACACCACACACACACAGTCCTTGCAGAAAAGAATGAAATTGTAATTGTAATTGTTTTAAATGTCCTTTTCCCCCCTCCCTTGATGCGTGTATATACATATATGCCTTCTCTCGTAACTATATATTTCTATGATTTACTACTACTGATGTTTTGTGATGCCCCAAGAGCAAAAACAAGGATAAAAACAAACAAACAAACAACAAAAATTGTATTACTCGTTTAGTATTTATGCATGTACACCCAATACTACTTGTCCAAAAGTTATTGGGTCCTCAGATCTTTAAGAAAATGAGTGAAGAGCGAAGAAAAGAATAAAAAATAAAGCAAAATGTTTTGTAGTGCCCAAAAATAAAAGTGTCTCATTTTTTACCCAAACATTAGCTTGTAACTCAATGATTTTAATTGGAGAGCTCCCTCCCCAGGCACTGACTGGTTTTTAAGCTAATTTTTCATTAAATACTGGAATTTCACGTTTTCATGTTTAATTTTGATCCGAATTTTGTTGCCCAGTGAAGGAGTTATTTCTGACCTTATAAATTATATATATGTTCTTGATAAGCAACAACAACAGTCAGTGATTGCCAAACGTCATATATATATTCCGATTGGGCATTAAATCTTATTTAATGTATAATAAATTATTCAGAAAAACTAATTTTTCTGAATTTTTTTTTTTAAATTTTAATTTCATATCAATAAAATTTTCAAAAAATCCCCAACTTTTTATTTTTTAATTAACAAAAAATAAAATAAAGAGTTTCTTTTTAATAGCTTTCCAAATTAATGTTTTTAATATTTTTCGGCTTAGTTTTGATCAATTTAAATTGCAAAATTCAAGGGTGTACAGACTTCGGCTCCCCAAAGTTGTCTTCCTTTTCTTTTTTTTTATATATGAAGATGCAAAACTGTAGATCCATTAAGCAATTACTGTGACTCTTGCTCCTCTCGCTGATAGCCAGCTTTATATGGTTTCTTCTGTTTCTGTATTTCTGGTGTTTATTTTCCCTCAGCTATCTACCATATATTACCCTCGCTGTTTGTTGTTCTCTCTTGGGTGTACCCTGTATCCAGAGGGTATATAAAGCCTTTTGTGTTAAAATATTGTTATTCTTGAAAAATATATAAAAAATATACCGTTTTCATATTTTTTTTTATGCTTTAATTTCCCAAAAATAAACATATAAAATGATGGGTAAATATTTAAATTTTAATGCCCCTAATTTCAGTCAGAAGCTAAAAACGCAGTGAAGCAATCATTTCCGACCCTATAAATCATATATATTTTTGATCAGCATCAGCAGCCGAATCGATCTAGCTATGTCGGCTTGGGAAAAAAATTTCGAAAATTTTTTCAAAAAAATGAAAGGGGTTACATCATGAAATTTTTCAAAAATTGATGAAAATTTTAATTTTCTAAAATGTTTAATTTAGAAAGCAGATTTATTAATCTTATTAAAACTAATTCAAAACAGCTTTCCGAATTGAAATTGTTGCATTTTTGGCTTAGTTATAGATTTTTTAAACTTTGATTTTCTTAAAAATAATCAATAAAAAATTAAAGAAAAATTTTAAACTCTTTTGCGGATTTGTTAAACAAAAAAAAACTAACACTCCAAAGAATTAATTAATTTAATATATTTTTGACAATTTCAAGTAAAATTGTAACCTAAAAGGGTATAGAAACCTATACCGAGTTTAGCTCCCATTCTTGTTTATTTTAAATTATATATAAAACTGAGTGTGACTGGGTAGTGATGGTCATGAAATGCTGCCCCTGTTTGTTATCGTTTTAACTCGCAAATATAAATGTTATTTATGTTTTTTTTTCGCTATTATTCATTACGAGTACAGGTTTGCTCTGCCTCCGCCTTCTCCGTCCACCGTTCGTGGTTCTACGTACAAATTGTTTCAGGCTTAACTAAAGTTCTTTTTTTTTTAATTAAAAAAGACAGAAATGAATGACGACGCTTTGGTTGTTGTTTTTTTCTCAGTGTTTGTATTTTTTTTTTCTTTTTTTCGTTTTCCTTTTTGTTTTTATTATAATAATATTTTTATTTTAATATGTATGCCATATATTACACATTCAATTATTATGTATAACTGCTGTTTTGTTTGCTTGCTTCGCTTGCTGCATAGAGAGAGATATTATTGTATTTTTCTTTATAGTTAGTTTTATAGTTTTGTTTTATGTTTTTTATGTTGATAAATCATATGCAATTTGTTTTTGTTATATATAAACCCTTTCGCTTTTGTTGTAGTTGTTACTTTACAGTTGTCTATCAATGGGGTTTTCTGTCGGTACAATTACATAATATATTTATATAATGAGTGTATATGCATGTACTTGATCTTTGTCTCATTATTTACTCCTCATTGTTACAAATTTTCATTTTTTCGATTTCTATGCTTGTTAAACAGACAGGTTTTTGTTTGTTGTTGTTGTTGTTCTTGTGTTATGTTTGTTTGCTGTTTGTTGTTGTTGTTTTTTACTAGTGATAACAATGTGCGTAAGCATTATTTTTATGTTTTTTTATAATGGTGATAACTAAAAGCAGTGAATTTTCAGGCAAAAATAAACACAAAAGAAACAACTAAAAAAATTAAGGAAATAATAAGAAGAATCCATATGTCGTGGCAGTGCCAAAAAGAATGAGTAAAGGGAAGGCTGCCCTCCCAACGATATAGTATATATATATTAGAGGTTTACGCCGATGGTTAAAGGCATCGGCGGCGGCGTAGAGGTCAAAATGACTCGGCGGCGGCGGCGTAGTAGTCAGAAAGAACCGGCGGCGGCGGCGCGTCAAATAAGGCAAAAAGGCCATTTTAATGAGTTATTTATTTTTTTTTAAGTTTTATAAAGAACAATGACACTGAAGGCCGCGCTGAAGCTGCGCCGATGCCGCACCAGCGGCGCGCCGCGGCGCGCCGTTATTTTCATAATTTGGCGGCGGCGCGTCAAATAAGGCAAAAATCGGCGGCGGCGGCGGCGTGGCGCGGCGGCGTATATGTCTAATATATATATAGATATAGCTAAAGGTATGTACAGTGGTCTCTCTGTTGTCAGGGTGGCGAGCATTCCCTTTAAATGAAAATCGAACGGAAATGTTAATGATACTTCTAAGCCGTGTTTTTAGTGTGTTTTTAGGAGATGGATTTGTAAGGGGGGAATACATATATAATATATATATAGCTATTGTAAATATAACAAGGTGTGTGTGTGTGTGTGTGTCATATATGCGCTGCTGCTTAAGTATACAAAAATAAATAACTTAAGAACTGAGAGGTTTTACAATGTAACAATTTAATTTAATTTATTGTATTATTACTTACAAATTATTTAACATCAACAATGTTCTTTTTTTGTTACTTTCTCTAAGCCCTACTACTCCTCTCCCTTCTTTTCTCTTCTCTAATCCCCCTCCTCCTCCTGGTCTGGATGTCGCCGCTGCGGTTGTGTGTCATGGTCATGGTCAGGGTCTCTTGGCTCATTCCGTTTTATTTGTTTATTTGTTTTTTGTCGCACACAATTGATCGATTTGTCTCAATTGCCTAATATCACATCTCATTCACTCGGAACTCGCGACGCGACACGACCCACTAACCGCTGGCAAGCTCCACCCTCCAACCTCCTGGCCACGTCGTACATCCTTGACCATTGATTCACCTAAAGCAGTCCAAGTGTGCACAGTCCCAGTCGGAGGCTCAAACTGTACAGTATAGTTAGTGTGTGTAAAGAGTCTGTCTGATGTCTGTGATGAGCACAACAAAAATCATTTGAGAACTATCCATAAAAAAATGTACCATGTGTGATGGATGGATGCAAATGTTGGGATTATAGTTGGGGTTTGGGGGTGTCTCTATCTCTAACTCTGTCACTATCTCTGGGTATTTCTTCTCGAGTTTTTTTTTTTTGTTTTTGGAGGGGAAGATACAAACTATCAGGAATGATGCTCAGAAATCGTTGTGAACAGCGATTTCTGTACGGGCATCCCTGCGGTATATAAGCTATGAATTCATTATAGTTACATTTTGTGTGTGTGTGCGGAGGTGGGTAGAGCGCATCGAACCACTGAGCCAGGTATTCAAATTTGTGGATGTGTCTAGGAGTAACTCTTGAACAGATCCCGGCCAGAGTTTGGATGTCTTAGAGGCAGTTGTGTGTTTGTGTGGAGTATGGACGACTTGGGACACTTGTTCTTGGGTTCTTGGCTCAGTGGTTCAGACGGTATGCCCGCCCTCTCGTATGTTACACAGTTTTTGTTAAATATATATATTAGTTAGTATAGGCACTTAGCATATTCGATTGTTTTCATAGAAACAAAATATATGTGGTGTATAATATATTGATTTTCAGTTTTTTAGTTTTCATTCTCTTGATTTGTGTTTAGTTTTTACATTTTAAATTTCATTTTGGTTGGAAGTCTTGCGTTTTTAGAGTTCATTTTTCATATTCTCCCTCTTCTTCATTTTTTTGTTTTGATTTTGGATGAAAGTTTTTTGGGAAAACATTTTTGCTGGTTTTGTTCACAGTGGGTTCCAAGTATTTTCAATTAAATTAATAACAAAAAATAATACGTTTTTAGTGAATTAAAATGAAAATGATTTCAAAGTCATTTTTTGTTCTCAAATAAAAGGGAATTGATGAAGAACTTAAATATAATGATTGTAAGTTATGTTTGTGTGGGTGTGTGTGGGTGGGGTTTGGGTGTGGGTGTAGATGTGTGTTTGTGAATATCCATATGTGTGTGTATACCTAAACTTAATTCTTATGCCCTAAACGTAGTGTTTTGTAGATATCGTGTACGCTCTTAAATATACTGATTATTACTTCTCTTTGCCTTTGCTTTTTTCTAGTCGCCAATTGATTCCTTATTTTCCGTAATGCTTCAAGTATTTAATTTACATGCTTCCATTTCTTTGAATTTAAATTTGAATTTTTAAATTTTAAATAAATTAAAAATAAAAAAAACCAAAACTCCACTAAAAATCATATTTTGTGCGTAAATTAAAATCAAGAATTAAAATGTTACATATATATCTACGGTGAGCATCAATTATAATTGGGGGAAAAGGGATCTAAAAGGGAAGCAGCATCATATTTTCCAAATAGAATTTGTTTCTTTTTAAATGCCTATTTTTTGTGTGTTGTCCTAAACCTCTCATAGAATTTCCGTGTTTCTTAATTTTTTTTATGTAGTTTATGGCACCTTTTTTGTTTATAGTGTATGGGTGTGTGAGTGTGAGTGAGTGTAAAATACATATTGTAGCTTTGTCCTATTTACAGAAATTACTTGTAGGAGTCATCGTTCTCGTTGAATATTTAACATTAGTTACGTTTCCTATGAGCTGAGCTGCTGAGCTACGGGTTTTGCAAGGATTAAGTTTAGTATTTTAGTAATGCATCTTCTTCTCCTCACCCAACTCTTCCTAATTCATTTCGTTATCGTGTTGAAATATATATAGACGTCGTGTGAAACCATCAAACTGAGAAAATTGCCTTCATCATGTCTGCTTTTTTTGTTTTTAAGTTTTGTAAAGAAATGCAATTTTAAAATGTATAAACTTATCTGCCCCTTGGGATTTTACCATAGAAAAGGGGAGTCGTGTGTGTCGTATGTGTGTATGTGGGGAAGGAAGATATAATATAGCTTGTCTGAGGGTTCCCTTAAGTCAATAACTAAGTACGAGTATCCCCTCAATCAAGTGACGTTAAAATGTTTACAAATAATGCTTCAAAACAATCGTATATATATATTACATATATATCTAAATAATAGGGACTAGCTGAGGAGACATAGCCAAGTATATAGATAACATATACACGCTACGCACTCGAATCTGTGGCGAAAAATGATGAGAAATTATGGATATACCTAAACGTAGATAATATATAACATAAAATCAACGTGAGTTTGTTCATTGATCAGCAAATAAAACCTAATATATGCTCCTGTTGCTTTACTTTAGTTTAGTTTTGTTTTGTCTTGTCGTTCGATGCTGCAAGTTTGGCTAACTATGCTCAGAAAACTTAGAAACTATTCACTCTGTAATCGTAAAGATAGCTTAGGCATATATATATATATTATATATATACTATATATATTCATCTCTCGTCTCGCCATCGTCGTAGCTCCTCTACTGCTCTTCTGCTTCGTTTGCATTACCCTTTTGAGTTTAGGTAACATTAGCTTAGAGATTAACATTAACTGGTAACTGATTATATATATATATGTTTATATACACACATTGGCATATACGTATATATAGCTGCAGAAGGGGTGTGCACCATTCATTCATCATCCTCGTCCTTGCCTACTAATTATGATAACTGGTCCAAGCATAGCCCACTGCTTCGTTATTTCTCTATCCCCTCACTCTCTCGCAACGGCCACAGCTGAAAATAAATTGAATACATTATTAAGCTTGTCAAGGATAGGATTTAAGCGTGGTCTCACCTTTTGTATGCCTCCTTAGTTAGCTTGTAAATATCTATATATAGCACTTATTGATATATAATAACAAAAAATGATCTCGCTCGATATTTACACATGGAATTTCATTTATGTACAACAGGCGCACACGGAGATGCATCTTCCCTGCTAAGGGGTATCTGTCAAGAGTTGCCTCCTTGCTTTTGGCAACGCGGTTCCTTTTGTTTTTTTATTTTTTTTCGTTTCGTTTTCTCCTTTGACTCCCTCCTTAAGAGCTGTTGTTGTTGTTGTTGCTGGCCCTGGACTTGCGGTTGCCGCCAGTCCCTGAGCCGACATTGGCATTGGTATTGTTGTGCTCTATTCCAGAGCCATAATGTTGCTGCTGCTGCTGCTGTGGCTTCTCCTTGCTCTGCTGGCGCACTGAGGCATTGGGACGATTATCTGCCAGAATCAAGTACATTAATATAAAAGGATTCTTATCGTTGAATCAAGTCTTCATCTTACCTTTCTCTTTGGAAGAGACACCAACAACAACGGCATTGGCACCTCCACTACTGGCTTTGCCAGCTGGCGAGGCGCCGCCTGCAGCACGTTTTTCAACTGAAGCCACCACTGTTACGGCGGCCAGACCGCTCTTTTCAACCGCCGCCACAACAGAAGCGGGATCGCCAAAGATTAGATCCATCTTGTGGCTACCGGTGGGCGATAGGGTGCCAGTGGATCCGCCTGAACCAGTTTCCTTGCCATCACCGGAGGCGGCGGCGGCGGCCTTGTGAACTTGGGCCACTTGAGCATAGCTCAATTTGCTGGCTGTGGCGGCAGCCGATAGATTTTCCGTGGACGTTGAAGTGGCCACGCTTTTGTGTTTGGCACTATTTGCCAACAGATTCGCCTCCTTTTTGGCATGCAGAGCGGCCACAGCGGGCGGCTTCTTATGCTGGCCGAGGCAGCACTCGGCAAGGGTTGTGGTCAGACCACTCTCCACCACGGTGCAGGCGCCAGCGCCCGCGGAGTACTCGTTGTGTCCAGCCAGCACCGACGGCAATGGCTGCTGCTGCTGGACGTAGCCTTCGACCAGTCTCTGCTGCTGCTTTGGATGCACTTCATCCTCAGTCTTGTTTGATTTGTCCAGCTGCTGCTGCTGCTGCTGCGGCGGCGGCGGTTGCTGTTGGGCTCCGGCGGCCACCTCCTCCTTGCCGCTGGCATTGATATTTGGTGTTAGACACTTTATCACATGGATCGAATTGTTGTTACTCGAGCTGTGCTTGGTAACGTTCTTCGTATTGGCTCCCTCCTGGAGCTGCAGCGCATACTCTGTGCCCAGGGCGGGCGTGGGGCTGACAGGTGGATTACGCTGCTGATAGTTGTGGGTCAAGTGCGGAGGCTGATTTTGGTTCTGCATCTGGTGGTGCCTGTTATCCTTGCGCGCCTTGCCCTTGCCAACGCTGATGCCGACGCCGACGCTGCCGCCAGTGCGCACCACATCCGACAAGCGATTCTCAGACCAGTTATTTGCCGAAGAAGTACTGACCAGTTGAGCACTACTGTTCTCCATACCCTGGTGATTGCTGGAGCGCTGCGGCTGCTGTTCCTCGCCAACGCCGCTCTCCACACTGCTGCTCAGCTGCTGTTGCTGCTGATGGTGCTGTTGCTGCTGCTGCTGCTGCTGGTGCGACTGCTTTTGGCCTAGACCTGTTGACGAGGAGGACGATGTGGTCGAGTTATGCAGGGAGGCGCTGTTGGTGGCCTGAGGTGTATGCGGTGCGTTGGCCGATGTGGCTGGCAGTGGTGGAAAGGCGGAAGCCTCCAGATCAAACTGCGGCGGCTGGACAGGAGCTGATGGCTGTTGCTGTTGTTGCTGCTGTTGCAGTTGTTGCTGTTGCTGCGTCTGATGCTGGTGCTGATGCTGGTGGCCTTGATAACCCAAAGAGCTATGATGAAGGCCGCCACGATCATTGCTTCCACCGGATAGGCTGTTGCTGCCAGATCCTCCGCCGCCGCCGCCGCCACCCGATCCACCGCCTCCAGAACCACTGCCACCGCCGGCGCCGCCACCTCCACCGCCGCTGCTGCTAACGCCCAAGCCACCGCTGTTGCCCACATTGCTGCCAATCGAGTTGTGATGATGATGGTGATGGTGATGATAATGGCCAGAGCCCTGCTGCTGTCCAGCAGCACCGGAGGAGGTAAGGTGGTGCTGCTGCTGTTGCTGCGAGGAAAGCGTACTGTGGTGATGATGATGATGCGAGCCGCCACTGGCCATCGACGAAGAGTGCTGCTGGGCGTGATAGTGAGGATTATAGTTGTTGCCCTTATAGTTGCCACGGTGCTGGGGCGGTGGGACGTCGTGGATGGTATTGTAATGGCTCTGGCGCTCCCGATGGGAGGCTCCCCCTCCTCCGCCTCCGCCGCCGCCACCACCACCACCATCAGTGCCTCCCGACGACTGTACATTGCTGGCGGTGGATGAGGCTAGAAGATGCTGCTGGTGTGGATTTGAGGGAGAACTGCCGTAGAGCTGAAAGGGATTAACAGATAAAATAGGTTGAGATATTAATCATTTTTAAGGATTTTTAATTTAATGATTTTTGGTCTTTTACACTTAAGAAAAGCATTAAATTTAAACTATTTTTCGGATCAATAAGCTTTAGGAATCATATTCAGTTTGCTTACCCCAACTCGCCCGCCTGGGGAATAGTTGAGACCACCGCCTTCCTCATCGCGGCGACGACGACGTGTTCGGTTTTGCCACTGCAGCGGCTCCTTGCTAATCGTAGTGGCCAGCGATGAGGAGGAACTCGCCGACATGTTGCTGCTACGATTCACCTGCTGCATGGCATTTGAGCCATGCTCCACCACGGCGCCGCCGTCTCCGGTCTCCTGCTGTTGCTGCAAATCCTGAGCCTGCTGCTGCTGTGGTTGGGTTTGCTGCTGCTGCTGCTGCACCACCAAGTGGTGCTGAGCTGGAGCTGTGGACACATAGGTAACTTGCGGGGCGCTGGCAGCGCCAGAGGAAGGCAAATGATAGTGTTGCTGCTGCGATTGTCCCTGCTGCTGTTGCTGACCCTGCAGATGATGGCCGTGAGCGGGCAGAACCTGCACCTGGGCGTAATGATGGTGAGTGGTCACCCCGCCACCATAGCCCTTATCTAGGTTCTTTTGCATGCCGCCTGCAATGGTAAATGGCACCGATAAGAAGCTTGGTCTGGAAAGAATCCCCTTGATAACTTACCCTTCCAATTGCTCTTGATGGGATAGTGGCGGGTGGAACTGTTCACCTGGACCTGCGTCGGCTGTTGAGACGAGCTTGTGGGCTGCTGCTGTTGTTGTTGGAGCTGAATCACTTGCTGCTGCGGCTGTTGCTGCTGCTGCTGCAACGATGCCTGCTGCAACGGATCCTGCTGAACTATGTTCGCGGGAACCACGCTCACCATACCACCGGGAATGGCTCCCGCTATTTGGATGGGCACAATGCTGCCGCCTTGGATGTGCGACTGCGTTTGCTGTGAGTTGCGCGGCGGTTTGCCCCTCGACTCGCTGCGTGGTCCCGAATTAGCACCGGCGCCGACATTGTTGGGATTGCCGCCGCCGCCGCGGTGATTATTGTTATAGCGTCCACCGCCGCCCTGCGGCTTGGACGTGACCATGGTTTGTGCGGTGGGTGGCGGCGGAGCCGGTGTGAAGCTGGCGGCAACAGCTTGCGAAGTCAAGGGATTGGCAGTGGCAAAGATATTGCCGCCAATCTCATAGAAATTCTGGCCATGGGGGGCAGTGGTGGCCATAGTTCCTGGCGGCCAAGGACCAGCCACCAAGCTGGAATAGAATTGATTCTGGGAAATCGGCTGAAAACAAGCGAAAAAGATTACAGTTTAGCATGAAACTTTAAGGTTGGAGCCAGAAAAATAAAATAACAATCCTTCAATAAAGCTGGGAAAAATCTATGATCAATGTCAAATCAAATTTTTTCGATCTCATTGAAAATAACATCGATTAACCACTGGTTATTGCAAAACAGAATCGATGCATAGATCAAAATATAAAGAATCAATTTAATCGACGTGACATAGGGTTTTATTTTCCATCTTTCTAGCCTTAAGGCCAAGTATACTCACAATCAGTACGGGATTGCTGTACGGAACTGAGGTGGGAGCCGCAATGGTTGCCCCGTTTGCATACATATAGCGCTGCGGCGTGGCAGCATAGCTAACGGCGGCAGCACCAGCTCCGGATGGATCAAATACAGCCGGGGCAGTGGGCGGCGATGTGAGACGGTAACCGTTCTTCATATTTGGTACAGCTTGAATGCGATTTATAAACGACTTGGGCTTTATACGCGCCATTATCGGCTTGCCGTGGAACTCCTTAATCTCTTCGCGCAGGTACTTGAACGCCTTCTGCGCAGCGTCATCAGTCTCAAAGGTGATGTACCACGAGCTGTTGGCGGCAAATTCGCAGGAGATGGGCTCTGGGCAGGTCTCGTTGTTAAACAGAGCCTAAGAACAAAATAACAAAATCGAATTAGTTTCTTGTTTTATAAGCGAGAGAGAATGAGTCATCCACCTTGACTTCATCGACGGGCGTGCTGTCCGATATCTCGCGCAGAATGATGATGCAACGCTTGTGATTGGGACGCACGCGCAGGCCCTGCTCGTCCACCTGAACGTTGGGTGATTCCCGCAGCACCTCGGTGATGAGCTTGATGTCGTTGGTTAGTTTCTTAACCATATTGAATCTTGCCACTGTCCAAATGGGCACATACTGGTCACCGTCCATCTGCGACAGCAAGTAAGTATCGTTGGCCAAGTTCTCTCTGTAAAATAAAAAGTATTTAAATGGCGAGCAAGGATGGGAAAGACTTTGCGAGCACCCACCTGGAGAAGTAATACTCGAGCTGTGTGGCCAGCATCTGCTTAAGCTTATCCAGCGGTATGTTAGGATCCTCGCCAGTGGCACCCTGCTGCTGCTGCTGCAGTTGATCGGCCGTGCCATTCGCTGGCAGCGTTACGGGTAGCTGCACGGGTACTTGGACAGGAACCTGGACCGGCAATACAATGTGCTGCTGCTGCGGCTCAAGGGCAACTAAATTCGTGTTGTTAACACCAGGTACGAAGGCGTCTGCGTAGACGACAGTGCCATCCTGGGTCTGGGCGAGTGCTCCATTCATGATGGCGTATTCGGTATTGTCGTTGGCCTCGCCACCGACTCCGATAGCAAGTGATGCTGCTCCTCCTCCTCCTCCCGCTCCTCCGGCAGTGCTAACCACGCCCTGGGCCTGTGGAGGCGCCGGCTGAAGGCCGTATTGCAGATGCTGGGCGGGATGCGGCGATGGCTGCTGCTGTAGGTGCTGCTGGAGTGTCTGCTGCTGTTGGAGCGACTGCTGCTGTTGGTGGGCGACGTGCGAGGCAAGGTGCTGCACCTGCACCTGCTGCTGTTGGTGAAGATGCGGCTGCTGCTGCTGCTGGTGGGGATGCGGCGGCGGCTGCTGCTGTTGAGCGGGCTGAACTGCTGCTGCTGCGGCGGCCACTGCTGCGACGGGAGCTACGGGTGGTGCGGCAGCTGCTGCTGCTGCGGCGGCTGCGGTTATCAACGGTATGTGGGCTGCGGCGGCTGCTGCTGGGGCTGCGATCTGTGTGGTGGCGCCGAACAGATTGGTGGCTAGCATCGCCGTCTCGACAGGAACATTGGTGTAGACCGGCGGCTGGATCTTGACTGCATCTCCGTTCATGTACACATATCCTCCTGCAAGTGGACGAGTATGTGAGAGTGTGTGAGTGTGGGCATAGTACGAGGATGTATGCGTGGTGTGCGTGGCGAGAGGGGGTGTGGTTTCAATGTGCGGTGTACGTGTGTGCATAAACAAGGTCAATTTTTTGTTTCTTTTTGTTGTTGTAGACGTAACGGGAAACTTTCGTAATCGGAGGAAGCTACTGCGAAAACTCTCTTCTCGGCACTCTGCCGATTTCGATACGATACGATTTCGATGAACGCAAATAAAAACAAACAAAATTCGATGCCAACATAATCACACACATGCGGATGTCAGAGGCGAAGTAGCGGTGAAAAGCTCGAGAGATGAATGTGTGTGAATGCAAGTGCAGTTGTATGAGGGGTGGCGGCGACATTTACATATGTATAGGTATATGTACTGGAGACTCCACTACTAACCTAGGTAGTATTCCATGGTAACGTATGTTGCAATTATCAAGAAATTCCACACACAAAGACACAGTCGGTTTTTCACTTCACTTCTCTTCTCTTATTTTTTTTTAATTTATTATTTTTTTTCTTTTTTGCTCTTTCGAGCTAGCCCACACACACACTCGCACGCGGCACACTCACACACAGCTCAGACACACAAACACACACACACACCAGTCACACACACACGCGTTGCCACCCAGTCGCGAGAGAGAGAGAACGAGCGAAGAGAGAGAAAGAAGGCTCTTTCTATTTGGAAAATTTGATTTTCACTGGGATATATTCTCCTACTTGCTTGCTGCTGCCCCGAAACTCGATTCTGCACTCTTATTTATTTATACTGCTGCGGCAACTGCTTTGGATTCGGATTGGGATTCGGATACGGATACGGCTCCTGCTCCTCCGCCCCTGCTCCTGCACATTTTCTTCAACTTCTACGTTGCCTTGTCGCCTCCTTCTTCGTTGCTATTTTTTGTTTCTTTGCTGCTTATGTTTCCTTTCTGCTTCTGTTTCTGCTGCTTCTTTTCTTTTCTTTACGTTTTCTTTCGGTATGAGTGAGTGTGGGTCTATTTTTTTCAGCTTTTTGCACACGCAGAGAATGAATTGAAAATTGAGAAACGACCGAGAGGCAATTGATTTTTTGACTTTTCACACCCAAATCGCAGCGCCCGCACCCGCCAGCGTAGCGTTTTTCGTTGCCAATCGCTTGCGAAGGTCTTAAATAAATTGTTAAGCTTCTGCTTGGTTTTTTTCACAACGAACTTGTCACGCGAAAAATCCAAAAATTCGACTTCTCATCGTCATAGAAAACTTTCGCCGTTTCGATAGGTCCCACGGTTGCATCCGATACCAAATATGAGGGATTTGAATAGCGATTAAAATTTATTTGCATTTACCACCTGGCTTTGTTTTACAACTGCCTACGCAGATAAGGGTACACGAAGGCAACGTCTTTTCCCTCAATTTACATAAATATTAACTAATCTCGTCACAGCAAGCATATGCAGGCCGAAAATACCGGACAAATACATCGCTACAGTTTCAATATACCGAAAAATATACCAGCCTACATCGGGGTGGCAGCACTGCAGCGTGCAAGAACATAATATTGCTAAGCAAATTCCTGTCCCCTTTTCCCCCTCCCCATGCCAACGATCTGAGTGCATAATTATGCCTTGCAACCCGCACTTACCACTTGCAGTGAGAGAAGTCCCGCGTGTTACCTTCCAGTGACTGGAGCAGTGCAGCTGCAGCGTCGCGGACCAAAACCACTTGTTAAAACCAAACGAAACAACAAACAATTGAAAACACCAAGGGTTCCACAGCAAACAAACTTTTTCGCGTGATTCAATGGACTAGTTCGGCGATATTCGCGACCAATTTAGCACTTTTTAATTGTTTCTTCCACTCTTTTCTCATCCAACAAAATGCAACACACGCAAAATATTCGCGCTCACAACTATAGTTGGCAAGGGAAGAGCTGTCGATATCGATATCCTTCTGCTGATATCGATAGTTTGGCGCTGGTACTATCGATATCACTAAGCTATCGTAATAACGAAAAACAGTTTAAAAAACATTATTAATTAGCCTTAAAACAAATCGCCTTGCAAACTGCAAGGGTATACAAACATCAACTTGTCGAAGTTATAAATCCGTACTCATTTTTACACAAAAATCTACATTAGCCGACCTCAAACTTGAAAGCATATAAATTCGAAGAATAATTCAACTTCAATTCTGAGAATCCCATTTTTCCATAGCATAATTAAGTAATTCTTAACCCAATTAAGATTTTCGGGTGTGTCTCAACCAGCATAATCCATAAGCTTTTAGAGCACAATTAATTACAACATCATGATCCGTTTTCGTCTCCATTATGCTAAGGCAGCGCCCACACACACGTTCGTTTATTTAAATTGAACATTTAATTTTATTTATAACATTGTTCTCAGTTAATGGTCTATTGCTTCTTCTGTCTTCATGTAAATGTTCTATATATCAAGAGAGTTTTTCAATTAAATCGGAACAAAGAACTTTAGCTTTAGTTGCTGTTAAAGGGTGTTAATGTTGTTGTGGTGCTTAAGAATGAAATAGTAGTGAGAATTCACACCGCTTTTTGTTCGTTTTTGTCCGCCTAGAAGCCGTGCACCTTGAGCTGGTCCGGCTTAGCTAGTCCCACCTTCGTCAACCATTGACAGATGTTCTCACGCTGATCGCCCTGGAGCTGGAGAACCTCACCATACTCTGGGTGCTCGATTACAGTGCCATTGCATGCGAATTCCTGTGGGGAGTTTCAAATATATTTTAATATCATTAAGTTTTAATTTTTCGGTAAGAAACTGTCGTGGTGGTAAGGTCTTTACTATCATAAAAAGGAAGTAATCTAATCTTACAAAGGGTTAGTACAGTTGCGGTCAAATTATTAGATTTAGGTTGATTATAAGACCTAATGGATCCCTCTGTAAATAAAAAACTTTCACCGAAAGACGCCGACTGATCTTTGTACATCAATTTCCGAGATTATTTGCTTGGCTCTAAACGGAAATTTCCGCACTCACGATCCCACTACGACACTATTGTTATGGTTTATACATGGTTTTCAGCTTTATAGCTTACCTTCTTGCAGGAGCGGACTATCTTCTTCAAGTCATACTCCGCGGACAGGCCCTGGACAGTGGTTAGTGTCTTGCGACCGTTCCTCTGCTGGATTCTTATATGCACTAGCCCGTCTTGAATATCATCATCATTGCCCTTGATTGCATCAGCAAAGGGGTCTGTGGGAAAGGGCAAGGAAACTCCATTGATTATCGGATGCAGTGATGAAAAGTAATGTAATGGATGTACAATGTAATCACACCCTTGCAGCGTGCTTTGCTATTGTACGTGTGCATGGGTGTACACACACACACACCAGCGCAGAGGTGGGGGCCGCTGCTCGATGATGACGAACACGAGAGCAGCCATTTTTATGTACATGTGTAACTGGGGCTAAAAACTGCACTCGCAGCACTTACCACGAGTGTTTAAATTCTGGATGGACATACGACAATAAAAACAAACCACAGCCGAAAACAAAAACTTTTTTAAACTATCTGTTGTTATCTGAACTTTTAATTTAACGTTTTAAGTGAGTTTTCGGAAATGTGTTTGTCTGACAAGTCTAACACAGGGTTGTCACTAGGGTTGTCTGTCGTGCGTTCAGCGTGTCGAGCTAGAGGTGTGAGAACTGCGATACTATCGATGGTTAATAATTGTATTATTTAAAAATATATATATTTGGTTGATTTAAATATGCTGATCTATCTAATAATAATAACTGTGACGCTTACATTGTAGATTATCTTTTCTACAAATCGCATTGAAAAGAATACTGGATTTAGCCTTAATTTGTTATCAATAAAACTTAAAATAATCATTTTTATTTTTGGGATTTTTTAATTTTTAAAACAAGTTAATTATAATATGAAAAATTAAATTCATAATATCGAAACTATAAATATACAAAATAATTGGCAGTTCCTCCTTACAGTTTTGCGCGCTGCCAACTCCTGCGACTATTGCTAGCGAGCCCGTGCAACCGTGCGGTTTTGGGAAGCGCAGCCAAGTTCACGCTATGCCGGGCTGCCATATTTCTTTCCTGCTTGTCTTTCAACGAGAAAAGGTGGGCATTTAGCGTTTTGTCTTGATTTGGTTAAGTTAGAGCCTCCCACAGCGTTCCAAGTGCACTGCAAATGCTGAGCGCAATGCCTGCACCACGTGTTGCAGTTAATTTGGCTGTTGGAGCGCCCAAGCGCGGAGGTAAATCTAGTTTTACCCACACGTGCAACATAGCAGCGACAATAGTGAATACAAGAACTAAAAAATGTGCAACTTTAAAGTGCCTGAAAGCCATGCCAGAATTTGTTACTAATGATAGTTTGCTATGCTGAAAACGGTTACTAATTTATTTCTTCCTTGTGATTTCCATGTACCTTGACTGCTGTTCTTTCTTGGAAATTTGATTTATAAGGTAAGAGCACATGTTGTAACTATTTAGCTCATTTAATCTTCGTTGTGATGAACGAATGAACGGAAGAGTACTTTGAAGACTATATTCATCACCCAAGACTGAAAGAAGCTAAAAAAAAACGCCTTTTATGATTCAACGTACAACAAAAACTAACTACTTTTTCATCTTTTTTTCATGAACCTCTGGTTTTGGCTGATAATCTGGTGTTACTTTTAAAGGTAAGTGAATATAAAGCACATACAGGTTATAATTACAGATTTTGTGATGAACGAATGAACGGAAGAGTACTTTGAAGACTATATTCATCACCCAAGACTGAAAATAGTCAAGGAGCTCTTCTAAATGAAAACCAAAAAGAAAGATCTCTAACTTTATAATTTTTATTTCATGTTTCCTCCCTTTTGTGTGGCTAAATCTGGATTTCCCTATAAAGGTGAGCCTATAAGTCACTTTTGGTACTTGAGTTTTGTGTAAAATGATGAACGAATGAACGGAAGAGTACTTTGAAGACTATATTCATCACCCAAGACTGAAATACCTTAAAATAAATAAATATTTGTGTGCCCGAGGAACTATTACTAATTTAATGTCTTTTTTTTTGCAGACGTGAGATGGCAACCTCTTCGCACCTCAACTGGTTGATCATTCGCAACAACAACGCCTTCTTGTTGAAGAAGCGCGATGTTAAGAAGCCCTTCAGCACAGTAAGTAAATGAATAAATATTTTTGAATAACCTAAAAGCCTCCAATGATGTTTCTACTTTAAAACTTTCACAATGATATTTGAATACAACATGATAGTAACTTTAATCTGAGCAAATCTTGGCTGCATTAGTGCCTAATTTTCATTAAAAATAATTACTCATTGCATTTTTCTTACCTTTCCAGGAGCCAAACAACTTGGCCAGCGTGAGCTCGTACCGCTACAGCGGCATCGTGCACAAGAAGACCCTCGGAGTCGTGCCCGCAGCCGACAAGAAGGGCTTCACCGCTGTGCTGAAGAAGGGCAAGTATGCCCAGCGTCCTGCCAAGAACACGGTGCGTGTTGACTTCAAGGCCGGTCCCCGCCGTTCTCTGAAAAAGCTGAAGAACCTGCTCATTGGCTCCAAATACCGCAAGGACCTGACCCAGGTAAATATTGGTTAAATCTAGGCTCTTAGATCACTTGTTATGATGATATTTTTTTAATTATGCTACACAACCAAGATCGCAGAATGATCCGTGTTGATAAACCTGTCTGAGGCTTTTATCCTTGATAGTTCTCTTTATTTTTTCACTGGCATCATATATTTAATTATTTGTGTTCTTGCTTTTGCAGGCTGCTCTCCGTCGTGCGTCCGCTGTCCTCCGCTCCCAGAAGCCTGCCCCCGTCAAGGGCAAGAAGGCTGAGCTGGCTAAGGGAAAGAAGCCCGAATAAAATGTGTACCAGATGGGATCATGCGGAGCTGTTTTCTACTCGAGAATAAAGAAAAAACGTTAAAAACACCCTACATATTTAATTGTGTTGTGTTGTGGGGGGAATATAAAGCATACTTTAAGGTTTTTTTTGGGTTTCGCCCGAGTATATGCGATATTTCTATACTTTTAATATTTGATTTGAGCAAAGTAAACTACATTTTGATGTGTTGAATGATTAAAATATATTTTATTTATGAAGTTGTGTCTGTCTTATATACGGTTCGGTTTTATTGAACTATAGTTCCTGGGTACATGGATGACGTTACAAATAGAAAGAGACCATGGAATTGCATTGAAATCTTCTACAAGACCATCTAAGATCATGTCAAGTCCTTACTAGCTTAGGTCTAAAGAAAAATATAGCTGCTGTTAAACTACCTTTACACATGGATATTAAATGCGCATATTGAGCTGGGCGCCATTAGTAGAAGTACTCATACTTCTGGGCATGATGCAGCATCACCTCCATCGACTTCTTGCCCTGCAGCACACCATTTCGCTCCATATAGTTCCAAATGGAGGCCATGAAAACACAGAACAAGATGACGCCAAACACTATAAACTTGAGCAACAGGAAGATGGTGCGCATGCCCACCGGTGCCGTGAACTCAACCAAAAGGACCAGGAGGACAAACAGGAAAGTGGCGGCACTGTAGTAGAGTATACGATCGGTGTTTAGCTGGAGTAATGAGGCATCGCACAGGGCAAGGGCTTCGTGGAGTGCCGCCGTCCGGGCGGCGGGCATTGATACCACGGAAGTGGAGCTGCCATTGCATAGAACCTCTGGCGTTGTTCCCTCCTCCTGATCATGCTCAGCCTGGGCATCGCCCGCACCAAGTTCACGCACTGCACAGGTTTCCTCGTCCTCCACCTGGCAGTTCACCTCAATGGTGGCCACTGCTGGAGTCTCTGAAATGGTTCTAGCCTCTGATACTGTTGGTCGGGATAACCTTAGTTTGGCCAACACAGCCTCGTGATCTGAGAAGCTGAACTTTTCACCGGGCACACGGTTGGGAAAAGGCAGCTTGTACTCGGCAATCTCCGCAACCACCTGGTCCCCGCCACGCACAAAGATGTGATCGATGCGAATGCCTTGGGGATTTCTTGCCCGAGCTCGCGGCGACGTATACGAATTGTGTTCGCACTCATTCGTCCGGAAGGTGTCCGAGGCGCAGCTATCGAGCATCTTGGAGGTATAGAGCAGCACCTTGTACGATATATCCTGCGGCTGGGCGTTCAGATCGCCGGCGAGGATCTGCAGCACAGAATTGCCCCTGGTGGCCTCGATAAATTGAGCAGTGTCGAAGGCCTGAATCACACGGTGCGTCTTGTACTCATCGTTGGCGTTGTCATACTCGGCATGCAGGTGGGCATTGTACAAGTGTACCATCTGTCCGTTGACCAGGATGCGGCACAGTCCGACTCCCTTGCCGCCGAACCAGTCAGCATGCTGAATCCGATGGAAGTAGCCATTGACGGACCACGCATGGAACAGCGTGCCCAGAATGGGGTACTTGGAGAGCACCAGCAGACCGGCACCCATTACCCCGCTGTGGAAGTAGTGTGTATGTGGCAACACCGCCTCCGTGCCCTTTTGCAGACGCTCGCTATCCTGCTGCGTCCACACCTCCTGCAGGGAGACGATGTCATATTTGCCGCTGGCTAGCTCCTTGCAAATAGCATCAATGCGGGGTCCACGATCGCTTGATACGTACGGAATGCCCCTGAAAAATGACATGTGTATATATAAAGTTATAATCTCTGGAGAGACAAGGTCAATGAATGCCTGGCTGGCACAATGGAAGCCATAAAAGGAGATGCCCATAGATGCTCACCAAATGTTGAGGGTCAGAATGTTCAGCTCCAGCAGCAGCATTGCGTCGGCTGTTTTTCACGTTAGCATGCTTACAATCCCATCCAAAACGAGCGCGGGGATTGGCGATAAGATAAACTTTTTAATTTTGTTGTTAAGATATAGCCTCTAGGGGTGGTTAAACCCTCGATAGATTTATGTTTTCTTTGTGTTTCTATCGTATATCGATAGTATATTTCAATTGCTTTGTTTTGGTATTTTTTGTACAGTATTTTTTAAAGACCTGGCATTGGTCACTTTATTGCCGCATCATGTTTGACAAGCAAATTCCAGTAATAAACATTTAAAATAAAAAACGCACTTAAAGCTACAGAAAAGCGGGGGCGCTATGTTTCTTGAGGCGCTAACATGATGCTTCAGCTGCTTATATTCTGCCTGGTGCTCTTCATCCTCCTTTATTGGTGAGTGGAAGCCTTCACAGCTGACCAGCTGACGTTCGAGAATCATAAAAAAACATAATTGAATCACTCTGCCCCATTTTTAGGGTCTTGCCCACGGTTATTAGCTGGTATCTGATCAAGCGGTTTCGGGTCAAAGTTCGGATTGGACGTATCTCGCTGCCATATCTGTCCCTGAAGAATGTGCACATCAGCAAGAGCGGTTTCTCGGTGGTAAATATCTCGCTCTTAATCATCAAAATTTCTCTAGAAATAAAGTCGTTTTTTCCCCTTAGCAAATCGAGGAGGTGTGCCTGCGTAGCAGCTTCTTTACCACCGAGGTGACCAAGCTGCTCTCCATCTATATACGCGACATTCGCATCAACAAGGACATACGCAACTGGCAGGATGTTGACTCGGACGACGACTTGCTCCAGCCACAGCCCGCCGCCAGGCCTGCGTTCAAGGAGGCCAAGGGTGTGCCGGACTTTCGGCAGACCAAAGTCCCGGCCAGCATCATTACCTTTGCCCAGTTCATGGCCGTCCATGTGAACAACATATCGGTGGTGCTGATGAATAATGACTTTGATCCCGGCTGGTTCCTGCATGCCACGGCCAAGGAGCTGCATTTGGATGGAAGCATCGTCCAGAATGCTCGAGTTCTGCTGGTGAATGCAGCGCTGAGCGAGGCGCAGGCCAAGATGCTGAGGCACTGCAGCTCTCGCCGTCAGTCACTGGAGAATCTTAACAAGATACGACCTTGCCTGGGCGAGGTTAGCTTCGATGTAACTCTAGATGCCTCGCTCTTTGCCCAAGGACCGCTATCCATGGATGTGAGTTGCCTTTTCCAAACATAGAATTTGATTTTATGGCTTTTTTCCTCTGATTAGACCCTTAGTCTGGTCATCAACAATGCCAAGTCCGTCATTCATGGCGGTCTGTACGAGTTCCTCAGCGAGGCCAAGCGCAGGACGTCTACGACGACGACGAGGCGAACAGCTCAGGCCTTACAGAGGCCAAAGAGCACCTACGACAATGACAACTACGAGAAGCTGGCGCCGATTATACCAAAGAACTTTAATTTTAGCATCAAGGCGGCCACTTTTTCCGCCGTCAAGGAGAACTCGCAGAACGACTTCAGTGCCAAGCTGCAGCTGTTTCATGTAAGAGTTTAACTTGATCCACTTCCTAATAGGTTTTAAGGGGGATATATTATATATTTTCAGATCACAGGCAAGTTCAACTCAAAGGTCACCGATGAGAAGACTTTACTGCCTTCCATGCTGGCCAAGTTGGTGTTCCAGCATTTGGACATAGACACCAAGTACGAGAAGCTGCTATTTGTGGAGCAATTCACCATAGATTCGGTGGTAAGCAGGGCTTTCTTAAATTGATTATAACCTTTAGCTGATATAAACCATTTAGTAATGTTAACCTTTAATTCTTATAAACCTTTTCATTCTTTTCTGTTTGTAATTATATCCAATTAACAGCTAGAGAAGGACATCTTCAATTTATATGTGAAGCTCAAGACATTCCAGATAATCTACAATCACAGCGAGATCTTTGATTTTGTCAACAACAATTTCCTGGCCCGTCAGCGCTCTAGCGATCGATCACAGCAGCTGCCTCTGCAGCTGATGCACAAGCAGAAATCTCTGCCAGATCACCTGGTCTCCGAGGAACCTGCCTCCGGCCTCCAGGCCAAGAACCGACGCGAGGGTGGCATCCTCGAGTGGATCATGCAACGCATTGTGGTCAAGGGCTGTGCGGAGTTGTTTAATGTCTCGCTTTTGATGCAGCTGGAGGACGAGAACATAGCCATGAGTGTCAGTCACACGCGATTTCTGCTAGAACAGATTGAGGAGAAGCGGAGCTCGCGGTACGACAACAAGTTTTTGAATCTCCTGCTAAATCAGCGTCAGTGGAGCATGGAACTGATGGTGGAGACGCTGTGGTCCAACCTGGGCAACTCCATCAATGATACTAATAACCTTAAGAAGACCCACTCGCCCGGGTCGCCTTTCTTTTTGGGCGTGAGTCTGGTCAAGCTGTGCTCGTATGCCAACACCACGAAGCTGGACATTTCCGTGCACACATTTCGCACGGAGTACAGCATGCAGCTGGCGGAGTTTGTGGTCAAGTCAATGGAGTGCCTAAGGCAGTATCGAGGCTTAGAGCCGAAGAAGACAAGCTTGGGAAGATCCAAGATGAGCTCCATTCAGAACTTAAACGATCAACCTTCGTCGTCGTCCTCCTCCTCATCCTCATCTACCTCCCTGCGCGTGTCCTTGAAGATCAAGGATATAACAGCCTACTTTGTAAACCATCACAATGCCTACATGCTGCTCAGCTTCTCCGAGCTGTACTTGTCGCGTGCCCAGCATGTGGCCACTCTGAAGCTGGAGGAGTTCCAAATGGCCATCATGCGTTCGATGAAGGCTTCCTCTTTGTGCCTCACCGACTTTGCGGATGTGTTTGCCACCTGCAAAACCATACGCTTGGAGCACGAACAGGTGGAGGGCACCCTGGGCAAGCTGTCCATTTATATACCCTGCAACACAGATGCCACCTGGAACTCCAACCTGCACATGCATCTGCTCACCCTGGTAAGGGACATGCTAGATCTGAAAACCGAGCTAGCTTTGCCCGCTTCCCCGGCCAAGAAGGGTGCTCCTCGTGGAGGATTAGTGGTGGAATTATCAGCAGAACGTAGCACCATTTTCGAGATAAAGCTTTCCGATCGCCACTCGGTCCAGATCTTTGTGGAGAGCCTCTTCTTCAGCCACAAAGAACGGAACATGATCTATGCGGAGCATGTCTTTGTCAAGATCGATGACCAGCACATTTTTACGGTCAAGGAGCTGGATATGCAGTCTGTGCCGCGATTGGAGGTGCTCACCCAGGAGCGTGTCAACTTTCCCGGCTTTCAGCTGCCCTCCAACCGAGTGTGGGTCACCACAATCGGCTCCTTTAAGGCCATATTTCCGTATGACCATGACTTTTACAATGCCATCAACAGCGAGTGCGTCTCCCACTTCAAGTGGCTCAAGTTGGTGCACAACTACAAGAAGAAACCCTTCACGGTGGACTCTCCGCTGCCCTGTGACTTGGTCATCAAGATCAAGGAGTTCCTGCTGGAGATCAGCGATGATCCCTTCGAAGTGAAGCTGCGGGACAACTATGTCTTGCTGGTCGATGAGTATCTGGAGAGTCTGAAGCGCAAGGCTTTGTTCGATAAAAAGATCGCCGAGCTGTGTGCGGAGCGTCTTTTGCTGCCCGCTGGCACCATCGAGAGTTTGTATGCGAATCTGGTGAAGAAGAACTCGGAAATCTACATACAACGCTCGAAGAAAATCAGGGAAAGTGGTCCCGTACGCACCAGGCTACTGGCTTGGATCATGACCGATGTGGAGATCATGGCCATGGCTGACACCTCCATACATGGCTATGATAATGTGACGCGTATGATGCGGGAGATTGATCACGAGAGCCCCTGGCCAGAGGAGGGTCTGGAGTTCACCACGCTCTGGTGTCGCGGCGTCAACATTAGCTGCTCTGAGTGGAAATTTATGCTGAGGTGGGTTGCAGCTTCTATTATATTTGTTCTTTCTTCCTATTTCCTTTCCTCTTTTCAGGGACTTTCCCCAGCCCATGTTCTATGTGAAAAGCATGCGTCTCTATGGCAACCTCTGTGGCGCCGAGCAGATGGGCTCCAAGCGGGCCAAGCGCGATGTCTTCATCGAAGTGGGCGAACCCTTTGGCACTGATGTCATCCAGCGCAGCATGCCCTCCTTGAAGTTCTACCACGACTTTGACTGCGAACTGGAGAGCTGCAGCTATGCCTTTGGAGCCTGCTGGGAGCCCGTGATGGCCCAGTGCAATCTGAGCTTTGAGAAGATTTCGGCCCCGTCCAAGGATCCCTCGCCTCCTTTGCCATTTTGGGACAAGCTGCGCCTGCTTCTGCATGGAAGGCTGACCCTGATAGCCAAGCAGTTTACCATACTGCTCCATGCCTCCCTGGATCCTTACAATACCACGGAGGAGATGGAGCTGACTTGGAACAACTGTGGGATTGTGCTGACGAATGCCAAGATCATGTTCAAGGGAGAACTAAATGTGAGTTTGGGGAAAGTCTCTAAAAGATTAGTTGGGGTAATGTATGATGTCTCCTTCCTTCCAGGTCACTGTACGCACGGCTTCCCGCTATGACGATTGTCGTTTGCTGCACTTTCCCAACCTGAAGCTAACCGTAAAGCTCAACTGGGTGTGCCTCGCCAATCCCAATGATCATCATGCTGTCATGCCCTGTGCCCCCAACAAGCTGCCCGAGTACTCCAGCAACCAAGTGCACGACTCCTTCCGGGCCTTCCGCTCTTTGAATCTGAACATTTGGATATCGTTTGAGACCAAGCCCAAGGCGGGTGAGGACCTGGAAGTGGATATACCCAGCCTCGTGTTGTATGGCAGCACCTTGCGTTGGTTCGAGAGCCTGCAGCTGATACTTTCGGGCGTGACAAGACCCACTCGCCGTGGTCCTGTCTTTAATAATGTGCGTCCCAGGAAGAAGCCCCTGAGCAGGCACTATAAGAAGGCCAATCTGCAGATGTGCCTGCACAAGTTCCAAGTGCTCTATTGGATGTCCCATGCCCTGCAGAAGGGTTTCCAGTTGAACGGTCGTCGTGTGTCCTTCAGCTCCGAGCACTCGCTGTCCCTCAATCCCATAGAAGATGGTCTTATACATCGTCCGAAGGCTGACTGGTCTACGATTTACATGAATTGTGAGCTCAACGATGCCGAGATCTGGCTGAAGAGCATTGTAACCGAGAAGCTGGACAGCAGCTCTGAGAACCTGGCTGCCAGTGCCGCCTCGGATGCTTTTAAGATTGTGCGCTTTTATTTTCTTAGCGTGGCCAAGGTGTCCTATGGTCGAGAGGCTCTAATACCCGCAGCGGCAGCCACCACAGAGGAGGAAGTTAAGGCCAAGTCCACCACTCCCACGCATAAGCTGGTGGTGTACGACCTAAAAGGCGCCTGGACCAAGAGCAATAGGGATGTTGCCTTCGCCTTATTCGATTCCTTCATGAAATCCCAGAAGCTGAAGAACAACCTCTCCACGGAGGCGGTGAAGAGCTATCGCAAGGAGGGTGCAGGCAACTCGGCTGTGCTCAAGCACAAGCGTAGCGATAGCACCATTACACTGTCCAGTTCCAGCAACGAGGGCTTGCCCAGTGGCTCGCTGAAGAAAGCACCCGCCCAGATCCATGCCACCGCCATGCTGCAGCAGCTCATTGCCGAGGCGGATCACAAGTTTAATGTGTATAGCGATGATCATAGCACTCAGTCGAGGGAGCTGCAGCTTCAGGGATTGCAGGCCTGCTCTGCCCAGGATATTATCCACGAAAACTGGTCCATAAGCTTGGTCAACTCCCAGGTCCTGCTCAAGGGCTGTGAGACATCCGGTTATGTGATTATCAGTGCCGCCAAGGCGGAGATATTGCAGCGAGAACATCGCCCTGTGTGGCGGGAGCGCTCCCTCATCTCGAAGACCACCTGGAAGGGTTTGCTGGAGTGCATGCAGTACTACGCCACGGTGAGTGCCGGCGACAACAACTCCCTGCTGGAGAAGGAGATCATGTGGCTGACGGTGGACAATATCCAAGACAAGGATGAGACGGTGATCAATAACTTGCCGGAGGATATCTCCCATTTGGTGGGCAGTGGACGTAGTGTGGGTGGTGTGGTCTCTGAGACAGTAGGCGCTTTTCTAAGCGATAATTCTGGAGAGGCACAGCCTGTTCAGCTGCAGCGCATCGTGTCCAAGTGCAAGTGCGAGTTCTTTTACGTGAGCTACGGCGATGCCATAGATCCGAATAATATCACAGAGGTGCCGCCGCCTCCCTCCGAGGAGCTGCTGTCGCCTTGGGAGAAGCAGGATGATCCCGTGGATGCCTTCACCCTGATGCATCATGACCTGGATGTCTGTACCAACTCCCTGCAGTATGCCATGATTCTGGACATTGTAAACAACCTCCTGCTGTACGTGGAGCCGCAGCGCAAGCAGGCGGCGGAGAAGCTCACCCGGATGCGTTTCCAGCTGCAGCTGCACTCCACGGAGGACCAGAAGCGGCCCATCCAGCAGAAGCAGACCGTGATTCGCAGTTTGCTAATGAAAATCCGTTCCCTGGAGAAGGACATACATATGATCAGCAAAGAGCGGGTGGAGGAGGGTGACACTCTGGAGCTGCGCGTGGAGTACGACCATGTCCAGCAGATGATCCGCGAGAGCAAGGAGGAGCTCAACACCTACAGCGAGGACCTGGACATGATGCTGCTGTGCTACAAGGAGACACAGCTGTCGCAGCTTAGCAAAATCCTAAACGTGCGCTCCGATGAATCTGTGACCATGGTGCGAACCAACGAGATCTGCTTCAAGCGCGCCCAGTGGCGGCTAACGGAGACGGATGGACAGATTGGCATAGCCGATCTTGTCCTGAGCGCCTTTTTGTACACCAAAAAGTCCAAGAGCGATGATTCCGTGGAGCATCTGCTGGAACTGGGTAACATACGCATGGAGAATCTTTTGCCCCGTGAAATCTATCGCGATGTCCTGCTGGCCACCGAGATACAGAAGGACATGCCCGTGGACACGCACAAGCGGGTGCTGCGCATCTTCTGTAGGGAAAAGGCGCCGGTGGGGGGAATATCGGTAAAGGAACACTTTGAGATCAATGTGGCCCCCATAACCATAGCCATCACCAAGAAGTTCTACAGCACCATGCTCAAGTTCTGCTTCCCGGACCGCGATGCCTCCGAAACGGAGGTCAGCGACGAGCTGGACGACAATGCCTCCACCAGTTCGGCATCCACAACGAATTTACAGGCTGTCAAGCCTTCGTCTTCGTCCTCTACATCATCCTCGTCCTCGACTAAACGCTCTGGCAAGTCCAAAAAGGGCGCCAAGGACTCGGAGTTCTATGTAAAAATCGAAAAGGACGATGTGGAGAAGATGAAGGAGCGCGCCGAGAAGAACAAGCTCTTCATTTACATCAAAATACCCGAGGTGCCGGTGCGCGTCAGCTACAAGGGCAACAAGGAGAAGAACCTGGAGGATATCACCGACTACTCCCTAGTCATCCCAACGTTGGAGTATCACAATGTTACCTGGACCTGGCTGGATCTATTGCTGGCCATGAAGTCGGTGAGCCGTCGGGTGATATTCTCGCAGGCCATCAAGCAGAAGCTACATATCCATCAGCGACAGCCCATCCTCTCAGCGGGGGAACGAGCCACGCCCCAGGAGGCAGAGGACAAGGCGGTGATGCTGTTTGGCAATCGGTTGCTGGTGAGGATTCTCAATAATTATTTAATAAATTAAATGATTTAATATGGTTTTTTTTCACAGAACGAAAACAAAAACCAGAAAAAGGGTGGAGTCTTCAAGTTCTCCTCCAGCGGCAAGTGAAGGAATCCCCAGGAAAGCCAATAAATAAAAGGATATTTAACAAAGTCTCTTTGCTTTATCTATGTATATTTATTATTATTATTGTGTACGTTCAAAGGATGTACGAAAATACAATGTGCTACGTGCTGTGCTGACCAGGACTCTTGGCAGGACTTGACTGCTTAACAGGAATGTCGAGTCGCCCGCTTAACAAATACGTTTCACACACACTTAAATCACACTCAAGTATTAAGCTACTGCAACTCTCTAAATATAATATATATAATATATGTTTGTTTCGTTTCGTTTGTTGTTAGCAATAAAGAAGGGCATGGAGCAGGCGTAGTTTACTACACACACCCGAGTTGTTTATACTTTTATTGTAAACTTTAAAACACTTAAGATTAGGCGGCTTTGTTTTCTACTTGTTCTGTTGCTTCAGAGGGGGCTGAAACGAAAAGAGGGTAAATGGTTACCATTCTGAAGATCTTGGTAAGGATTAGGGACCTTACCAGCACAAAGACTCTTTTGGGCAGCGCCCGCTGCACCAGCTCATCAAGCAAGGCATTCTGGCTTTCATTCTTCTGCGGATCCGCCTTGGTATTGTACTCCAGACTCAGTACAGGCAGCTCCTGCCAGCCCACCTGCAGGGGATACAGGTTGTAGACCAGTTCCTTCTCCTCGTAGGCCATTATGGAGATGTCCAGCTGGTAAAAAATTAAATTTAAGAATTTAAGATTACACAAAGAAGAGTTTAACCCACCTGCTTGTGCCCCGAGCAAATAAAGTTATCCGTCTTGCTGATGCTCAGGTTCGCTATCAGGTGGAGGACATGCGTGGTGGGATTCTTTAGCACCACCTTGAAGGCCATGGGCATCTTCACGAACATCTTCTCCTCGATGGTGCAGTAGATATTCAGCGGCGGCTCTGCTATATCCATTCCACTGATCACAAACTTGGACTCGTTCTCCTCCTTGCCATTGGCGCGTCGCCAACGGATGCAGAACACCCCAAAGATGGGCACAGCAGACGCCCGCTCTGGTTCCAGCGTGTAGACACCCTTGATGAAACCTCGACAATGTCCCGTACCCTGGACAGCTTCCAAGGCCTTGTTGTACACCAAGCGAGTGGTCTTGAGGTTCTCCTGGCCAACTCCTATTGTTGCCTCGCTAGCTTCATTGGCCTCCTCCGAATGCAGGGAGCTGGTCATCACACCCGCATTGGCCACCTGCAGGGCATTGGACACCGCCGAGTTGCTATTGATGATGGTCATGGTGGTGGGTATCTTGGCCACCAGACTCTTGCTCATGTAGGCACTGATGCCGGCAGGTGGCACAGGAGTGGCAGCAGAGGCAATCTCCTCGATCGTCGTTGGTTTGGGGGCTGGCCTTATAAACTTACTAGCCACTGGTTTGCCCTCCAGCTTGCCCCGATGATCCACATCCCGGGCAGTTGTCCAGTCCCTCAAAGTGGCATTCGTGCGGAGCACTATCACGCTCTCCAGCTGCTCACCGGCACTGTACTTGTTGGTGTATTTCTTTCGCTTAAAGCTGTAGTTTGATTGCACTAAATTGTGATCCTGGAGGAGGAGGATAACCCTTATAATCACCCTTATAGCTTCCCAACAAACCCTTACTTACACATATAAAGAAGCTGTCTAGTATCTCCACATCGTCCACGGCCATCACCTCTGTATTGGCTCGCAGCAGAAAGTTCTCCCCGCGATACAGCTGACCCAGAGGCTTCCTATCCAGCGTGTAGAAGCGGGCAGCAAACTTAAAGTCCCCATAGCACCTTACCGTCAGCACATCCTCCCTTGACTTCCGCAGCCTCGTCTCATCCAGGTACTCAATCTGCACGGGTGAAATCGTAGCCAGGCTATTGCTGGGCACACCTTTCACCTCGTGATCGGGCGTGGACTCCGCCGAGCTGTTCGCTGCTGTGCTGACCCTGGCTGCATTGGCTCCACCGGGACCACGATCCACATCCAAGGTATAGCTAAGCCTCTGCTGCAGCTTGATTTCCGCCTCCGCCAGGCTGAAGATGTAGAAGGTGGCCGTGTTGCTGCCATGGGCAGATAACTCTCCCACATCGATTTGGATCTGGGCATGAAGCTTCTGGCGACCCGGTGAGATGTCCGTGGTGAGGAAAACTAAAAGAAGTTGAAGGTATATTTATTAAGGGTGTTGGGTTAGGTATTTAATTTTTTTTATATTTTATTATAAAATCCCAATATCTAAGGAATATTGTGTCAACATTTTAAATCCGTTTTGGTGTTCAAAGCAGGGGCCGTAACCATTATAAGTTTTATAATAAAAACAAGAAAGAAAACTAACTTTGGAAAGCCGAAATTTGTATACCCTTGCACTTTGCCAAAGGACCATGGCATCGAATCAAAAATTGATCAAAACACAGCTAAAAATGCTTTAATTTAAGTTCGGAAAGCTTTTCTATGCTACTTTTTTCTATGTTAACAAATCTGCATACTGAATTTTAAATTTTAAGAAATCAAAAATTTTGGTCATTTTTGAGAATTTTAATGATGTAACCCCTTACATTTTTTTCAAAAAATTAAAATTTTTTTTTTTTTTCTAAGATGGCTAGAAAGAAGCGCCTGTTAATGCTGATCAAGAATATATATGATTTATAGGGTCGGAAATGATTCCTTCACTGCTTTGCAAGCTTAGGACTGAAATTATAATACTCTTGGAAACTCCTTTTCTGCTTCACTTGATCCTATCTTATCGCCAGAATATATTTCCTGCAGGTTTCCCCAAAGACAATCTCTCTCATTGTCTCCCCAGTTTCCTTTCTCAAACCCTAGCTTATCTCTTTATTGGAACCCACAGCAAACATTACCTCACAGAGAGTGGTGACGCCTCATTTCCTCCTAGCCCCCACACCAAGTTCATTGCCATGTGTAAACACCCGAGAGCTCACAAGGCGGCAGCGCAGGTGTTTCTGGGTTTTCTGTAACTGGCTGCTCATTGGGTAAGGTCAGTGTTGTCGCTGGCTAGGCTCTATAAATGTTTGTGTTATGTGTTTCAGAGCTCCAGTACAAAAGAGTCAAGAGATCGACATGCAAGCTGTGGCCCTGCTCCCACTGACAATGATGTGGTTACTTTGGATACCCGAAATATCAGCAGCGGCGTTGGAGGAGCAACTAGAGTTACAACGCAATCCCCGCGTAGTTGGCGGGCATCCCAGCGATGTGCAAAATCAGCCGTATATGGTGAATATCCGTCGACGTGGCAACTTCGAGTGCGGCGGCTCCCTTATCACGCCGCACTGCGTCCTCACAGCTGCCCATTGCCTGAAGAATGGGCCGCCTTCCGATTTTGTGGTTCGCGGTGGAGTCACCTATCTGAGCGACATGAGCAATGCCCGCTTTGTACGAAAGGTACTTCTACCCTCAGCCTACAGTCGCACCACCTTGGACCATGATGTGGCCATTCTGCAGCTCCAGCAGCCACTCCAGGCTCCCATAGCTCGACCTATAGGATTGGCTTTGAGCTCACCGCGTCCAGGGTCTTTTGTAAGGGTCTCCGGCTGGGGTTTGACCGACTCTAGATCCACGACGCTGCCCGAACAGCTGCATAGCGTCCATGTGAAGGTGATGCCGCAGCGGGAATGCCGGAATTTGTACCGTGGCTATCGGAACATCACCGCCACCATGTTTTGTGCCTCGGTACCGGGCCTAAGGGATGCATGTGCCGCCGACTCAGGAGGACCCGTGGTCAACTCGCTTGGCTTCCTTGTGGGCGTGGTGTCCTGGGGCAGGGCTCATCGTTGTGCGGCAGCAAATAGTCCCGGGGTTTACTCCGATGTGAGCTACCTGTCCGACTGGATACTTGATAACATGCACAGGCACTGCTAGGAATCGAAGCTGTGATGGTTAGCCCTGATCGTTGACGTCACTGAGAGTTGGAGCAAGAATGCCATTGAAGCACTGCCTCCCCATTGTGACCCGCTAGCTCTGTTTGCTCAGCTGGTTTAGCTTCATATTTCGGCGAATATCCGGCCATAAAAGCCAAGGCAAGGTCACCAGCGCCACAGTTCACAGCAAGATGCTCTGGCGCTGGGATTACCTGATCTTGAGTATGCTGCTCCTAGCCGAGTTCAGCCAGCTGGGCGAGGCGGTGGCGAATAACAAACTAAGGCGGAACAGGCAACTGAGAAGCGTTAAGGCAGGCCAGTTGGCAGCCAGAAGAACCACCAACCAGGCCAGGAACAGGAATACCAACCGATCGACAGTAGGCACCAAGAAGCTCAACCAGCAAAGGAAAGCAACCACAACCGCCAGCAAAAACTCGGCCAAGATCCAATCCAGGATTGTGGGAGGCACTACCAGCACTATTTCTACAGCCAAGCATCTGGTCCAGGTGCGTCGTGGCTCCAATCTCTGCGGCGGTTCTCTCATCGACGAGCAATGGGTCCTTACCGCTGCCCATTGCGTCAGGGGATACCCAGCCTCGGACTTCAGTGTACGCGGCGGCACCACCACTCTTGATGGCAGCGATGGAATCGTACGCTCTGTAGACTCCGTGCATGTGGCGCCCAAGTTCACCACCGCCAAGATGAACATGGATGCGGCGCTGCTTAAACTGAATCAGTCCATGACGGGCACTAATATAGGAACCATCACCATGGCCACCTCCCAGCCCAAGGCAGGCTCAAAGCTAAGGGTAGCGGGTTGGGGTGTCACCTCGGAAGGCAGCTCATCGGCCTCCAGAACCCTAAGGGCGGCCCAGTTAAAGGCGGTGAAGAGGAACAGATGCAAGAACCTATATCGCGGGAGGGCCACCATTACGAATTACATGATCTGTGCCACCGGAGCTGGCAAGGATTCGTGCAGCGGCGATTCGGGCGGTTCATTGTCCAGGAACAGCACCTTGTATGGTATTGTTTCCTTTGGGTATGGCTGCGCCAGATCCCGGTATCCTGGTGTCTACACAGCCGTAAATGCCATTCGTGATTGGGCCAACAACGTAATGGCCAACAATTGAGGTTTTTACACAAGGAAAGATCACTCAGTAAATTATATTTTTTAAATGTTTTGTATTATTTAGATCTTTAAAAATGCATTTGGCTCTTTTCTTTGTATTAATTAAAGATGTAAAGATGACTTTTTTAACTAAGAAAACATAGTTTTGATCTAAATGTATATTAAATTCCTTAATTGATATGAAAATATATTAATATTAATTAAGATATACCATATTTTTGCATCTTAATTTGATATTTAAGGCCACTTTTTGACCCTCATGAAATGTGAATATTCTCTTTTGTTTATAAAGTCTGAAGGACACTTGATGTTAAACCAACTGAAACTAGCTCAGAGGTCGTGCGATTAAATAAATATTTGTTAAATAAAGAGTTTTGGCAGTTTTGTGGTTTAAAAATAGAAATCATCATCGTTAAATGGTAAAAAAACAAGTTCATCATACTTTGGGCCAAAGAATATAAAAAAATAAACACACATGACCAAAACAGTTGGAATTTATCTTGACGCAAACCTTGCTTTTGGTCTTTTAAATTAAGTAAATTTCAGTCTATATATTTTATAAACAATAAGGCATTGATAGCAAACACTCTTCAGTCAACAAAACTATTGCGATGGAAAAGGTAAACAACACGTTTAGCTTATTATTTAGGCCTGTTTTCGCTAACTTTGCTTGTTTTTTAAGAAATAAAATAAATACTAAGCTGTGTGACAGACCTAGAATAATATATAATTAGATCACAGCTTAAGGATTACTATTACTAGGACATTTCCAAAGGGGTATCAACATTTAAATATTTATCCATAATTTTATTTAATAATTTTTGGGGAAAATCAAAGCTTAAAAAATCTATAACGAAGCCAAAAATGCATTAATTTCCATTCGGAAAGCTGTAGCAAGTTAGTTTTTATAAGATTAATAAATCTGCATACTAAATTAAAAAAATTAAATTTTGCTCAATTTTCGAAAAATTTAACGATGTAACCCCTTTCATTTTTTTGAAAAAATTAAAAAAAAATTTTTTCAAACAGACAGCTAGATCAACTCAGTTTTTGATGCTGATCAGGAATATATATGATTTATAGGGTCGGAAATGACTCTTTCACTGATTTGCAAGCTTCTGACTGGAATTAATATTAATTATAAAAATTAATCATAAATATATTCAAAATCTTAATAAACGCAGATTAATTTCCATCTCAGAAAGTAAAAACTATTGAAATTTGAACCTAAAACATTTCCCCACAATATAAATATTTAATTTAATCAAACGTTGATAAATATTTCTTGAATCTAGACTCACAAATCGGAAGTAATTCCTATGTTCAAGTTGTTTTAATAAAGCCAAAGTCTTATAATAAATATTAGATTGTAATGCCAACAAACTTAAACCAATTTCCGTTTTTATATATTTTTGATTCCATGTCAATTTCCGATTGAACAATTGTACAAATGTTAAAGTCTCCCCCAAGATTAACTTTCTATAAAAGCCATATCCATCTTAGCCAAATTAACCACAATGATTTCGTCACGCTGCCTGCCCTCGCTGTTGCTCCTCCTCATCCCCATCCTGGGATGGACTCCCTTTGCTGCCGGCAGCGTGGCGATAGAGCCCCGCATCATTGGTGGCCAGGTGTCCAGCATTAAACAGGAGAAATACCTCGTGCAGGTGACCACAGCCACGGAGCTGTGCGGCGGATCCCTGATCAAGCCGCGTTGGGTCATCACAGCGGCCCATTGTGTGTACAAAAAGAACAAGGCTGATTTCAAGGTCTACGGCGGTGCCTCCAATCAGGCAGGACCCCATGCCATTGTCCGCCAGGTGGATTATGTGGCCATTCGTCCGGATTTTAATATCAAGACCTTGAACATGGACGTGGCAGCGTTGCGTTTGACATCGAATATGACGGGAGCCAATATAGAGACCATTGGCCTGGCTACCCAACCCGTTCCAGCTCGCGCCTTGGTCAAGATTTCCGGCTGGGGACTCACAACAGCCGATGCCACAACGACCGCCACGCGTGTGCACAGTGTCATAGTGCCCATGTGGTCCCGAGCCTCCTGTGTGTCAGCCTTCAGGGGCGTCCATCGCATCACCCGCTCTATGGTGTGCGCTGCCAAGTTGTACCAGAGGGATTCCTGCGACGGCGACTCGGGTGGGCCGCTGGTCTATCGTGGACAGTTGGCTGCGATCGTGTCCTATGGCTATGGATGCGCCTCCTCGCTGCCGGGTGTTTACACCAGTGTCCCAGTCATCCGGGAGTGGTTCCTGCGCATCGTGAAGCAGCATTCCTAAGCGTAGTCTGTCTAGGGTTAAGTCTAATCTTTAAGTTTCCAATAAATAGTTCAAATTTATCGGGAAAAACAATTAACTTGGGGAATGCGGCAGGAAATAATGTCATATATAAGCTGGCTTCCAGGGCTAATGGAGCCCCATTAGATCATGTTAAAGCTTCTCCTGGGACTAGCTCTGCTGGAAGTCAGCTCTGGCACAAGGCTGGGCAAGATCTTTGGGGGCAATACCACATCCATTAGCGAGCATTCCTTCCTGGTCAATATTCGACGGAGCGGAGAGTTTCGTTGTGGAGGAGTCCTAATCTCTCCTAGCTGTGTTCTCACCGCTGCCCACTGCCTGGAGCGGCGACACCACCAAGTCCAGGACCTGACCATCCACGCCCAGCAGCAGTGTCTGGGCGAGCATTCGCCGCAGGAGCATGTGCGTCATGCCTGGTACGCCAGAGTTTCGCCTTACTACTGCCCCGAACAAGGTCTGGACTCCGATGTGGCTGTGATCCGCTTGAGCCGCCCTTTTGACATCTCCGGCAATGCAAGTCTCATCAAGATCGACTACAATGATCTACCAGAGCGGGCGAATCTCACAGTGATGGGCTGGGGCAAGATCGACAGCCACGGTCACAACCGGAACCAGTGCCTGCAGGCGGCCCAAGTGCAACTTATCCCCCAGAAGCGCTGCAACGAGCACGTGGGATCCCCCATGCAATGGGTCACCCAAAACATGTTCTGTGCTCTGGGTGAAAAAGCCAAGGATGCCTGCCAGGGTGATTCCGGTGGCCCGGTAATAAACGATGACGGACGCACCGTGGGCATTGTTTCCTGGGGCTATGGCTGTGGCAGTGGCTATCCCGGGGTCTACACCCGCCTAGGTAGTCCCTCCATCACCTACTGGCTGAAGAGATTCGTGGAGCGACATTGCTGGTGAAAGGAGAGCTCAGACTATTTTTTTAAATAAATGATAAATGGAGGAAATCTCTTCCGGAATTCGGAAATAATGGGCAGATCGTGTGGAAATATATTTCCGCATCATTATCACTTGGCAATTTGAACCCCCAATATGCACACTCCGTGGCTGTCAGTCTGGACATGCCATGGCGGGTCAGTGGTTGCTCCTCTGGTGTCTCCTCCAGTTGACATTCGTGTTTACCATCTCGGCCAGCAAAACCCGCATTGTGGGCGGTCAGGAAACAACAATCGATCAAGTTCCTTACTTGGTTTACATGCGGCAAGGTGGCTTCTTTATTTGCGGCGGTTCCCTGATCTCGATCAGAATTGTTCTGAGTGCAGCCCACTGCGTCTCAGGTGCTCGGCCGGAGGAGTATATGATTTATGCAGGAGCAAGTCGCCTGGATGAAGAGGCTCCTGTCAGTCGCCGGGTAGCCAGCTTCCACATCTCGCCCAGCTACTCAGGCTCCAACTTTGACATGGATGTGGCGCTGTTAAAGCTAGGGGAAGCCGTTCACCTGATGCCAGGCAAGGTGGCCATCATAGCTCGTTGTACTAATCCACCGGAGGCCAATTCCTATGCCAGGATTAGTGGTTGGGGAGTAACGCGGGAAAACAATCGCAATCCTGCTGCCCAGGTTCGCGCAGCCATGGTGCGGATTTTGCCGATTGAGGAATGCAGGCGATCCTACGCTGGAGTGGCTCAGCTCAGCGACTCCATGCTCTGTGCTGCGATAAGGGGACTTCGTGACTCTTGTTCTGGAGACTCTGGCGGCCCTTTGGTGTATCGCGGACAGGTTTGCGGAATTGTTTCCTGGGGTTTTGGCTGCGCCCGCTTGGCCTTTCCGGGTGTCTATACAAATGTGGCCAGCAGCAGGGTAAGAACTTTTATAGAGGAAACTCTGCGCAGGATTGGGCATTAAAATGACTGGGCAAGGAAATAAAAGCGAGTTTTGGAGAGCAAAGTTTAAAGTGGAAATATAATTTGGGGATAAATCCATTTAAAACAATCAAAGATATTCGTTTGAAATATCTGTTACCTTGTTAAAGGCTAAGTATTCCTGAATACCAGTCATTAAGGTTTGAAATCAGGAAACCGTCTGGATACATTGCCAATTAATCAATCAACTAATTTGTGGAATCTACAGCTCCATCGCCATTCCAAACTTCCTCCAACAAGGCCATTTAAAGTGTCGAGAACACCAATGATGATATGAAGCCCCATTACACAGCGGTTTTTATTCACTGTTGTTGGGTTTCAATTACCCATTCCCTTACCAACCAATTCGCTGATGGAATCGCTCGATAGGCGACACACAAAATGGTTTATTAAAATAATTATTATTTGCACAATAAACTAATGTGTACTGTTGTGCTCTGTAATGATTATTTCCTCAAAGGCATATAAATCGGAGCAAACAGTCGCCGCGCGATTCGAGTCGGAACTTCGAACGAAGAGAGGCGTGTTTACTCAGTTGGATATTCCGGCGACTCGGAAACTGGATTGGGTCAACACTACCGAGGCATGGAGTGAGCTGATGGCGGCTCTATGGCACCTGCACCTGCTGCCGCTGTTGCTCCTCCTCTACCTGACACCGTTACTTTGCTGGGCCGCCGGCAACGAGGCCAACAGCCGGATTGTGGGCGGCGTCCCAGTGGATATCGGCAGCGTACCCTACTTGGTTAATCTGCGCATCAGTGGCCGCTTTATATGCGGTGGCTCATTGGTCACAACCCAGCATGTGGTCACGGCGGCACATTGTGTCAAGGGAGTGGGCGCTGCCCGCATCCTGGTCGTGGCCGGCGCCACAACGCTCAGCGAAACTGGCGTCCGAAGTGGCGTGGAAAAGGTCTACACCCCAAAGGCCTACAATACACGCACCCTCAACACAGACGTGGCTGTTTTGAAGCTGAAGACACCGCTCAGTGGTCCCAAAGTGGCCACCATTGAACTTTGCAATGCCAGCTTCAAGGCCGGCGAACTAATCAAGGTCTCTGGCTGGGGACAGATCTCTGAGCGCAATAAGGCCGTCTCCATGCAGGTGAGAAGCGTGGACGTGGCTTTGATTCCCCGCAAGACCTGCATGAGTCAGTACAAGCTGCGGGGCACCATCACCAGCACAATGTTCTGCGCCTCGGTTCCCGGAGTCAAGGATTCCTGCGAGGGCGATTCTGGTGGGCCGGCCGTTTACCAGAATCAACTCTGCGGTATTGTTTCGTGGGGCGTTGGCTGCGCTCGGCAAAAGTCACCTGGTGTCTATACGAATGTCAAGACTGTGAGGAGCTTCATCGACAAGGCCCTGGCCATGTGATTAGGATAAATAGATGGCAATAAATGCTTACAAAATCTTAAATGCTTCAAGAAACAAAAAAAAAACAATTTGTTTTCTTCTAAATCGATTTGGCTGTTTGCTGAATATCCCGCCCGTAAAGTGTGCTTTCCGTACTCACCACTGTTCCGTAGATTTCCGGGTACACTGATGTGTACGCCCACATTCTGCAGATAGACATTGTACGGATTGCTGATGGTGATCACAACGGGATAGTATTCATTGACCAGCATTCGCGTGGTGGCCACCACGGCTTCCTGCTCATCCATGCCATTATTATTCTCCTGGCCATGACCGAGGTTCGTTTGCGTGTCCAGATGAAACCTGAAGTACAGAGACAAAGATCAGTAGAGCATTAAACTCACTGCTTGCATGCAATTGTCCCGGAAATTAGGTTCGACTTACGTGGGCGCAATGTAACAAATGGGATTGATCGTCACGTTGTCATCGAGATCCCGGCTGCGCGTGTGATGCCGGAACAATTGGCGCGAGTAACTCGAGCTCGAGGTGAGCAGGGCAGCCACCTGGTCGGTGCCCATGTGGGCCTCCAAACGAACAATGCGCAGCTGAGTGTTCTCATGAAACTGCTGGGCCTCCGTGGTGCAGAGCAGTTGGTAGTATGAACCAGGCTCCAATCTCATGTTCTTCTCAAAGGGTTGAGGCTGCTCCTCCACCTGTTTCTGCCGCAGCTGCGTAAGGCTGGGAAAGCAAAAATACTTGAGAGCCTCCAGCTTGTAGCTATTTTGGGGATTCCCCGCATCGGCCAGAATGACATGAAAGTGGCGCACTCTCAGCGGGACATCCGTGAGAACCCTACAAGTATGGAGAACATGTATCTTAGACGGGCTTTAGCAAAAGGGAGAGCTCCTTTACTCACCTCACTATCAGTTGCAACTGCACCACGTCGTCGTTGTTCAGCTGCACTCTGTCGAATGTGGCACACATCTCCACCACATCGCTGACCTTATCCAAATCGATTTGAATGGGTGACTTCACGCTGGCCAAAGCACTCGTCCACAATGCCTGCGTCTCGCTGCTCAGCTGAGTCTTCGGCATGGGCGGCATGCCCTGGAACACCTGCCAGAGGTTCTCTATTAACAGTATACGTTCCGCCTGCTCGCCACGATGGTGGCGCAGGGACAGAGCTTCAATGCTGCAGGCAATGTAGTCAGCCACAGAGCCCGAGAGCAAGGCACAGCGCAGGGTCTTCAGCAGAACGTCGGTAAATATGGTAGACCACTTCTCCTGCCGATAATCCGGCAGCATCAGCGAATACAAGCTGGCGGAGGAAGTCAAAGCACTTGACAAAGACTCGATTAAACGAAGAGAAAGAATTTTACTCACGTCAAGGCCTTGGCATGATCGCCGCTCTTAAGGTACTCCTCGGCCATGTCAATGGCTAGTTTCTTGCGAAACCTGAGGCACTTGTAGATCTTAAACTGGGCCATGGCCTGGCTCAACAAAGCTATGATCCCCGACGAGTGGTTAAAGCTGCGTTCCATTTCACACAGCTGCAAATTGGCCTGCTGCTCGGCAACCAAATCGCCCGTCTTGACCGCCCGAATCCCAAAGAACTCCGTGTACAGAGACAGAGAATTGGGATTTGGTGTGGCAGGCGCAGACTCCGAGGAACTCAAAAGTGTGGCATAAGCTAACTGGGCCGAGTCACGTCGCTTCATCACATATTCCGCCGCCTTGTGGTAATAGATACCCGGATGCTGGGTCTGCAAGGCGGGCAGGCCGTTCTTGATGGCCTCGCAAAAGAGTTCAGCGAAGACAGAGTGTCTGGAAGCAGATTCTAAGATGATTACTCAAATATTTAGAGGCTTGGCGGGCGTAGAAATTACTGCGTGCTCAGCCAGGCATGATGTTCAAAGGCCAGATCCTTGAAGCCCACACGGGACTTGTACTTCTCCACATGGATAATGAACTGATTGATGGCATCCCTCGGGGTCTTCAGCTTAAACATTAACCTGCAGATTTTGTAGTTCAAGAAACCGGCGAGGGTTTTAATCTCCAGACAATTCCCATCGTTTATCCGTATTTCGTCCAGATTGGCATAGGCCTGAAAGTAGTGCCTGCACAGAATAGAACCAGGTAATAAGTATTTTCACATTGAAAACGTATAGAAACCCACTTCTGTCCCGTGCTAAAGTCCTGCCGCATCTCCGCCACGAATCCAAGCTTGAACTGATGCCGTATCTTCAGAGAAGTGTGGGCTGCCGTCAACTGATCCCGGTGGTTTCGTATACGCTTAGACATAAGCGCATAATACGACTGGGCCATGTCCAAAAATGCCGATTCTAGCCGTAACGCGTAGCCCGTGAGGTGCTCCGTGTGTGGGAGGATGAACAACATCTTGCTGGTAATGCCACAGGCGCTGGTCAGGCTGGCTGCCCTTTCCGCCGCTAATAAATCCTCGCCCGGTGGCAATGGAGCTGCCTTCTGCAGCAGAACTAGGCACAGCCGGGTGTTCCGCTCCTGCAGAGCATTCTTCAGCGCCTGGACAATGCCGGCGCACTGCACTTGCTTCTCCGTCCACTGCAGGTCGTTCCACTCCATGTCCTGGAAGAGCACCACCACCGAGGGCAGGACGTGCAGATGCTTTAACATCCAGTTTCGCTTGAGTATGCCCTTCGGATGATACCACTCGTAGGAGGCGCGCTTGGGCTTGGCTACCGGGAACTCGTAGTTGGGCGGCAGCAGTTTGTACTGGACCGCCGCCCGGTCGGCGGCCTTGCGCTGCAAACTCCCACTAAACGCCTCCCAAACGGCCTTGTGCACGCCCACTCGCGCCGTGTCCAACCCACAGAAGCCAACCAGCGGCTGCGGGGTTACGAGCAGCTCCGATGGCAGGGCGCTGGCGTCCATCGTCGTCATGCTTCCGTCCGTCCGGCCGGGGCTGCTGCACAGAGATTGAGTTGGGATGACGGCTTCTTCAGCAACGGCCACTCCTCTCCTTGGCTCCAATGTGTGATGATCTTCTCCAGCTACGTTGTCCTCGGTCGACAGTGTTGCCAACTCTTGGCTCATAATAAGGGCAAACTAGCCTGAAAAAAGCTAGAATAGTCTGGAAGTTCTAATGGTATCTAGAAAATTGCTAGTGGTCTATAAGCTTTTCAAGCATATTTTTAATTAATATTAATATTATTAATTAGAACAACATTAATGTATCTCTCGTAATCCGTATACATAAATATAAAATTTGTATTTATCAATTGAAAAAAGTCCAGATCTAGTGCAAGAATGGCTAAATTGGCTGCACTGTCGGTAAAGTTAAAAAACATCGATAGGTGATTCCGTATATCGATATTTCTGATTATTTGTTAGCTATAAATTGCTAATTTAGCTATTTCAGCCCCCGAAATCCTGACACAACGTACTCTGGCAACACTGGCTGACACGTAGCTCATTCGTATTGTTATTTTCGGCAAGGTAAGATTTAAAATCACAGCTTGTCGAGCTCGAATCGGACAATTTCACACACAAACTGGGCAATTAACTGAGCTCCCTTTCTTTGCGATTATTGCAGTGTGCGACGCGTGCATCCAACACAAACTAAACACAAAAATGGCTCCACCACAGAGAATGCGCGTCGCCAACGAGAAGGCCAGCAAATATGTGACGATGCGTGGCAATGTCCCCAAATCCTCGGTGAGTGTGGGCTTAAGATTAAGCTAAAATAGGCTCCGAAAGTGCATACGGAATTATATAGAAGGAAAATGTATCTGGAGGCGATAATCAATTGCAAAAAGTGCCACGCCGTCATTGATTTTATTGCTGATGCGTGTGTATGTGTGTGTGTTGTGTGTCTGTGTGAGGAGGGCGGGGGAAGCTGGTGTTTGTGCGAGTGTTATCGGCTCTTCTGGAAATTTGATTAGATGTTCGCCATCGACTCTCGCCCCGCTAATTCCACTTATCTGCCATTGCATGTCACAGCTAATCTCTACATATTTCCCATTGCAGAAAACGAAAGAGGGTCAGTATCCCGTGGGTCCCTGGCTCCTGGCGCTGTTCATCTTCGTGGTCTGCGGCTCGGCCATTTTCCAGATCATTCAGTCGATTCGTGCCGCGTAAGGAGAGCTCTCCCTTCGTTCCGCTCCGCACAAGTCACCAGCTAGGATGGGACACCTTTTCGCAACTTTCCTATAGACTTTCCCCAACACTCACTCAGAACAGAACCGTAGCTGAATTTCCTGATTCCTGATGAAACCCCCGGCAACATGTGCAAATACCCATACAAATTTAACTTGGCTTTCCAGTTGATTTTCGTGTCTGCAATATGTATTTTCTAAACACAACATACAAACTTTAAGTCCATTTAACGCGTTTTGCATTAATTGTAATAATTGTAAGCTCCGCAGCCAACTGAACGTTATGTGCATTCCTGCTAAAATGTCTCCTACACTCACAGAAATAGCTGAACGAGATCCGGAAACCTGGATCCGGGCTTAAAGGCGATATATGTAATGCATTTTAAAGATGCTTCTCGATGCTCGAGTTCTTTGAATAGTGCAAAAAAAAAAAGTGTTTAAGCGTTGTTTTCTAATGCAAAAAGACGAGTAGAGAAGAAAACTATGAGTACATACATAACAATGAGGAATATATAATATATGATAATTTTTTTACCTAAAGAGAGTTGTTTATATTAGGGAAAGGGAAGGGTATTCATATTTCCAATTGAAGATTGTACTATAACTTTCGAGATAGAGTGAATTTTATTTCGGGCTCACTCACAAAGAAAGTTCCATCACTAATCTCTGTGCAGCCCTGGTTTTGCCTCTGAAACAGCTGATTGGACGCCTCGAAAAGAAACAAAGTTGAATTCTCTTAAAATTAACGCTTAAAAATGCATTTATTTGTGATTATTAAATAGTACACATAATAATAAGTTAATGCATCGCCTATTTACATCGGTCAACATCCAAATAATGTCAAAAAATAAAGGGAAAGCCAAGGCAGCCGCCGAAGCAACAAAATCAACGCCGGCAAAGGAGGAAGCCGGTCCAATTACAGTGGACAAAACGGGCAATATATGCATACAAATACTGGCCAAGCCAGGTGCCAAGCAGAATGGCATCACAGGAATCGGTTCGGAGGGCGTGGGCGTCCAAATAGCCGCTCCGCCCAGCGAGGGCGAGGCCAACGCCGAGCTGGTAAAGTTCCTCTCGAAAGTTCTTGGCCTGCGCAAGAGCGACGTGTCGCTGGACAAGGGATCTCGGTCTCGCAACAAGATAATACTCATCAGCAAAGGAGCCAGCACAGTGGAGGCCATTGAGCAGCTGCTGAGAAAAGAATCAGAATCGTAGGCAACACAAACTGTTCCCCCCCGTGAACCAAATAAAAATTCCTGGTAATTGATTTTTAAAACACATTTGCTTGTTTATTATTTGGTTTTTTGTTCATCGATCGGGTCATCAAACCTTAATTATACATTTACTCTCCATTCTTTATATTGTAGCTATCAACTAGATCGCGTGTGTATGTAGTCTTTAGGTTTTTACATAAATTACTTGGATTCTAAATTAGAAGTTCTTAAAACGACAACTGCTCTCCTGCTTTTGAATGTTTGTTACGAGTGTTTTTTGTTTGAGTCTGTTTATGAATAAGCGTATGTCTTTGTCGCTTATAACGCGGCAAAATGTTAGAAATGACAATACAAAATTTAACTCTGCTGTCAACTTAGTACGAAAGGTCGAAACGCAAGTAAATTGTGCATCTGAATGTGAGTGACTGGATGAATTTTGGTGGCTTGGGATGTTGTTGGGTGTGGGTGGAGTGTGCGCTTAATCGACCTCCTCCATGTGGGAAGCGTCCTCGGTGTCCTCAACCAGCGAGGGGGCATCGCCGGCGCTCTGGGCATCCTCGGTGGTCATTGGCTCGTCCTCGTCGATGCCCAGACCCAGCTTGATCATGCGGTAGATGCGGCTGGCGTGCACCTGGGGGCTGTCCAGCGAGAAACCGGATGAGAGCAGAGAGGTCTCGAACAGCAGGATGACCAGATCCTTGACGGCCTTGTCGTTCTTATCGGCATCGGCCTTCTGGCGCAGAGTCTCCACAATGGGGTGATCGGGGTTGATCTCAAGCTGCTTCTTGCCAGCCATGTAGCCCATGGTGGCGGTGTCGCGCAGAGCCTGAGCCTTCATGATGCGCTCCATGTTGGCAGACCAGCCGAACTGCGAGGTGACAATGCAGCAGGGCGAATCGACCAGACGGTTCGACACGACAACCTTCTCAACCTTGTTGTCCAGAATGGACTTCATCAGCTTGCACAGGCTCTCGAACTTGGCCTTGTCCTCCTCGCGCTTCTTCTTCTCGGCCTCATCCTCGGGCAGCTCCAGACCCTCCTTGGTGACAGACACCAGCTGCTTGCCCTTGTACTCCTTCAGATGCTGGATGACGTACTCATCGATGGGCTCGGTCATGTAGACGACTTCAAAGCCGCGGGCCTTGACGCGCTCCACAAAGGCAGAGTTGCTGACCTGGTCCTTGGACTCACCGGTGATGAAGTAGACGTGCTTCTGGTTCTCCTTCATGCGCGACACGTAGTCGGACAGGGAGCAGAAATCGTCGCCAGAGGCGGAGGTGTGGAAGCGCAAGAAGTCGGCCAGCTTGGCACGGTTGTTGCTGTCCTCGTGCACGCCCAGCTTGAGGTTCTTGCTGAACTGGTCGTAGAACTTCTTGTAGTTCTCCTTGTCCTCGGTCAGCTCCTCAATCAGCTCCATGGTCTTCTTGACCAGGTTCTTGCGGATCACCTTCAGCACCTTGTTCTGCTGCAACATCTCACGGGAGATGTTCAGGGGCAGATCCTCAGAGTCGACCACGCCCTTGATGAAGTTCAAGTACTCGGGGATGAGGTCCTCGCAGTTGTCCATGATGAAGACACGGCGGACGTACAGCTTGATGTTGTTGCGCTTCTTCTGGTTCTCAAACAGATCGAAGGGGGTGCGACGGGGGATGAAGAGCAGGGCACGGAACTCCAGCTGTCCCTCAACCGAGAAGTGCTTCACGGCCAAATGGTCCTCCCAGTCGTTGGTCAGCGACTTGTAGAACTCGCCGTACTCCTCCTGGGAGATATCATCGGGGTTGCGAGTCCAGATGGGCTTGGTCTTGTTCAGCTCCTCATCCTCGGTGTACTTTTCCTTGATGGTCTTCTTCTTCTTGGCATCCTTATCCTTCTTGTCGGCATCCTCATCCTCGCCAACATCCTCGATCTTGGGCTCATCGGTGTCCATCTCCTTCTCGTCCTCCTTCTTCTCATCATCAGCCTCATCGTCGCTCACCTCCTTCTCGCGCTCCTTCTCGACGAGCAGCTTGATGGGGTAGCCAATGAACTGCGAGTGCTTGTTGACGATCTCCTTGATCTTGCTCTCCTCAAGGTAATCGGTCTGATCCTCCTTGATGTACAGCACGATCTTGGTACCGCGGCCCAGAGGCTCAGAGTTGTCAGCACGCACGGTGAAGGAACCGCCGGCGGACGACTCCCAGATGTACTGCTCGTCATCGTTGTTCTTCGAGGTGACAGTCACCTTGTCGGCGACCAAGTAGGCGGAGTAGAAACCCACACCGAACTGACCGATCATGGAAATATCGGCGCCGGCCTGCAGAGCCTCCATGAAAGCCTTGGTGCCAGACTTGGCGATGGTTCCCAGGTTGTTGACCAGATCGGACTTGGTCATGCCGATACCAGTATCGATGATGGTCAGCGTGCCGGCCGTCTTGTTGGGAATGAGCTTGATGTACAGCTCCTTGCCAGAGTCCAGCTTGCTGGGATCAGTCAGCGACTCGTAGCGGATCTTGTCCAGAGCATCGGAGGCGTTCGAGATCAACTCACGGAGGAAGATCTCCTTGTTCGAGTAGAATGTGTTGATGATCAGCGACATCAGCTGAGCGATCTCAGCCTGGAAGGCGAAGGTCTCTGCTTCCTCAGGCATCTGGAAGGGATTGGGGTTGAATGCGAAGATTAGTTTTAATTCAGATTTGTAAATGGATTAGGAAAACTGAAGCAGCTGCTTGCGCTTCTCTCTCTCTCTCTCTGCTCTCTTCCACCACCGCATGCGTGTCTACGCAAATACAATGGTGGTAGCAAAAATAGCAACCTAGGGATGACGCACATTATACTAAGCACATTACATACATTTTCTAAATTAAAAACAAGCTATCAAATACATGTGTTGTTTTTTAATGACTTGAAGTTGAACTAAAAACCCAAATTAGAGAAGCTTTTAGTTTGTTCTAGAAACAAATTTAATATCAGCCCTTTTAATCTCACCACCACTGTATATACGAATGGCTGTGTGCGTGTGAGTGCACATTGAAAATTCGTACATAACCAAGTTAGCAATCGGAAAAATCTAGAAAGCTAAGAGAAACAATCTCCTTGACAACGGTTATTAACTTGAAACCAAATTAAAAGAAATAGTATTGAATATAAAGACTTTTTTCACCGACTGACGCCATTTCATTTGGCCGCATTGCTCATTGGCCTGCATGTGTGTGTATGTGAGACATGTGCAAAGTACGCCTAAATGTGTCCGTGTAAATGCAAATGCAAGAAAAAGCACATGTGGGGTTAAGGAATAAGAGTGGTTTTTAAATTAATAGACCCATTTTGCATATTGTTTAATTCATCAATCATGGAAAAGAAGTTTCCAGAATGTTCCCTGGCCGAAAAGCCGGCATTTTCTGCGAATGTATGCGTATGTGTGTCTTGAATCACCCTTAAAACGCCGCAAAAATTATTTAAGCAATGACAGCAAGATAGAGAATTAATTAAGAACGCCTAAATCTTGCATCACTTGGCTTCTAGAACTTTAAAATCAATATTCGGCAAATGGGTCAAGAACACTTCAGACCGTATGCGTTTTCTTGCACATTTTCTTTGTTTTAGATCACCGCATTCGATTACTCACCTTGTATGTTATTCTTTCTATTCACAGAATAAAGGTAAAAATGTATAAATTTTCACTTTGCTTTGTTGCAAGAATGAGAAATTCACAAACTTATTTCGCTTCGCAAACAGACGTTGACTGTCGACGCACACCGAACGAAATTTTTCAAGACTGAAACCGGCAACGCGAGCGCAGCGGCTTTTATAGAAAAACTGCCCCAGCCGACCGAACGTTCTAGACGCTTCTAGAGGTTTCCACACGCCAGGGACTACACTTCCGGTTAGTTTTTGCCCGCGGTGCGGCTATCAGTGTTGTGAACTGCTCGAAAAGTGCGCAACCTGTGCGGGCGAATTCAAAAGTTGTACTGAAACTGAATTGGAGAGGTGACTAAAAGTGGGGAAAAGAAATTTGGATCAGAGATTACTTGATTTACGAGTATAATATTTGTGGGGGAGAAGGCCTACTTAGGCAGTAGATGGTACCTGCGCATTATTTATTTCTTTATATAATTTATTTTTCTGTTATGTTTTCTGTTTAAATTAAAAGGTATATTTAATTGCTTAATAAATAAGCTACCCTGTGAGTACCGTCTAAAAAGAACTTCAAATAAATTTCAAACACAAGTTAATTGTAAATGTGGAATATCTAGGCCATATGCAATTACCATTTAATTATAATTATTTATTTTAGTGTTTAGTTTTTAAAGTTGAATTCTTACGATATCTGGATTGCTGGAATACCCCCAACCTGCAATATTCAGGGCTGAAACCCGTTCTTCAGTGGTGATGGGAATTGTGTCATATCGATAAGTTTTAAGACATCGATAACTTGGCGCAACTTCTTGGTATTCGTATAACGAACTTTTAAAATGTATATTTTACTGATTAACAACTGCAATCGACTTGGGAAAGAAAGAGCTGCCCCGAAAGGTAATTAAGAAGGGATGCTAATCGTAGATTCTAATAATACACACAATAAAAACCCGAAATGTGTTTTAAATACTTTATTGACATATTGATTAACATCTTCAATATAATATCCAGGAAAAAATAAATAAGCTCAATTGCTCAATTTAAGTGGCAAATGATAGAATCATCGGTGGCCTTGGTCACGCAAATCTCCTGAGTGGAGGCGTCACAAAAGTAGCCATCGGGGCAGCTGCCAGTGACATTGGTCGGCGTCAAGGCTCCAAAGCAAAAGGCGAACGTGGATCGGGAGGTGCAGGCAAAGGTGTAATTGGGAGCACACATGCCGCAGCTGTCTGTGTCGCCACAACTCGCTGGAGTCTCGCTACGCTGGAAACAGATCACAGGCTGATCCGTGCACACCAAACCATCGGTGCAAACGAAGGTCTGATTAACATCCGGCGTTTCAGCACCGAAGCACAAATGGTAAGCGGTTTGGTTAATACAAGCAGCTCCATTTGATTGACACACATCGCAGTCAGCCTGAATCCAAGCAATTGACACAGACACCAGGATAACCTGAAGATGGAAAGGTATCCTTAGTTAGAAGTTGAAGTAAGTGTAACGTTCAAGGGAAATATTCTCATTTACTTTTCCGTATATAATCAATCCCCTTATCCCTTTATAAAAACATCCTTAAAAAGGATACTTAGGAGCAGAGAATGAAATAATATTAAGCACTCACCAAACCCAAGAGCTTGTACATCTTCACTACTTTGCGCTTCTTTTGTGAATGATCAGCGAAATCCAAGGCAGTGGTATTTTTTTCTACATTTTGACAGAGGTGCCGAATTTGTTCTATGACATCGTAAAAGTTCGGAGCCTTGGGTTATGAGAATGCCTCAAGTTATCTTTATGGACAGACACTAAACAAACTTAAACGGAAACTGAGGGTGTGTGGACCGGCTTAGGCTCCTATAAAGAGAATTGGCACCGCTTCTGTCAGCCATCATAAGGTTCCCAGAAAACAGACAAGCACCATGCTCGCACATATCACTCTTAAGGTAAGTCAATTGACTGGCAAGTAATCTCTGAACATGGAACCCATTTGGGTTACAGATCTGTCTGCTCCTCTGGATTTCATCCAAAAGGGCTCATGGCCAGTCGGTTTGCTCTAGCTGCGAGTCAACCAATGGACAATATGCCTGTGTTAGCGAGACTGCCTACGGCTTTTGCTTCAATCAGGGAACAGTGTATAAGGATACTGTTCAAAGCTGCGAGGAAGGATACTACTGCGTCCTAGAGGGCTTCTGCGCCGCAATGGATTCAGCGGAAGTAAGATTAAAATTAGGGTTAAAGTAAGATAAGATTGTCTAAGTTCACACTTCTCTTGACACCAAATTTTTAATAGCCGGCCTGTGTGCCAGAAGATTCGACAACCACAACGGTTATTTCTACAGGTCGGTAAATATAACGAGCAAATAAGTTTTGGCAAAAGTTAAGTGGGTTAATGGCTTCTCGGCCGATTTCTCTTGCTTTTAACTGACAGATTCATCGACTGATTCGAGTACAGTGGAGACTACAGTCGATTCTACGACTCCTGATTCAACGACAGACTCTACGATTCCTGATTCCACAAGCCAATCTACGACTCCTGATTTAACAACTGACTCTACAATTCCTGATTCCACGACAGAGACTACAATTCCTGATTCAACTACAGATTCTACTATACCGGATACAACGACAGAGTCTACAATTCCGGATACATCGACAGAGTCTACAGTTTCTGATTCAACGATAGAATCGACTACGAATGAAACTACTGAAACAACTGATTCAACAACAGAGTCTACAATTTCCGATTCAACTACAGAGATTATAATTTCTGATTCAACGACAGAGACTACAATTCCTGATTCAACGACAGAGTCTACAATCCCGGATACAACGACAGAGTCTACAATCCCTGATTCAACGACAGAGTCTACAATTCCTGATACAACGGCAGATTCTACAATCCCTGATTCAACCACAGAGTCTACAATTCCTGATACAACGACAGATTCTACAATCCCTGATACAACGACAGAGTCTACAATCCCTGATTCAACGACAGAGTCTACAATTCCTGATACAACGGCAGATTCTACAATCCCTGATTCAACCACAGAGTCTACAATCCCTGATACAACGACAGATTCTACAATCCCTGATACAACGGCAGATTCTACAATCCCTGATTCAACCACAGAGTCAGCAATTCCCGATTCAACGACAGATTCCACAATTCCTGATTCAACAACTGATTTAAGTACTTCGCAAGCTACAGAGTCGACAACTGAGATTACTACAGGTTCGTAAAAGAGTATCTTATGGTTTCCGGTTTATATTATTCTTTTTTGACAGATTTATCTACTGATTCGAGTACAGATTCGACAACCACAACGGATACTACTACAGGTTTGATATAATACAGTACCAAAAAGTTTATGTTTTAATGAGTCTCGCCTTGTATTATATTACTTTATAATGGCAGAGATATCGACGGATTCAAGCACGTTGCAAACAACAGTGTCTACTACGCTTGAGACTTCGACCCCAACGGATGTTACTACAGGTATTTGCCAACCTATTTTATTAATAATCTATTTTATATATTAATTTATTATCAAATTAATAGTTATTTATTATTAATTTAATATTTACTTATTAATCTATTTCAAATCGCCAGATTCCTCCACAGAAACGAGCAGTGCTTCTACCACCATAACAACTGGTAAGTAATCTCTTAAGCTTTTTAGTTTTAACTTGGATATATCCATTTGTAATCCTTCAGACTCTTCCACCGCTACACCGCTGAGCACAACTACAGTCTCATCAGATGTGGACGCCAACCAATACTGTTCTCAGTTGGGGACCAAAGGCTACTTTCGAGTTGAGACAGATACAACCTGCCAAAAGTAAGCATTTTAATAATAATAATTTGTAATAATCAATACATTATTATTTTAGGTATGTGTACTGCTACAAATTGTCCAAGGATTACCTAGGTTGGCTATATTATTGCGACATAGGCAAATACTACAACTCGGATACAGAGTCCTGTCAATTGGAAAGACCATCAAACTGCTAATTATTTCCATATATTACCAATTTTATTTATTTATGTATTCATAACAAAAAATAAACAAATTATTCTCTGCCTAGCAACCATCCTAAGCTGTAATCAGTTTATTTTAGATAAAAATCATTCCAGTTGTATTATTTTTATTTTATTTTATTTTCAAGTAAATAATTTACTTATTCAATAAAAAATAACTAATCCCTACTATAATATTTACAAATATTATTAGGCACAACCATCGGGTTTGGCGACACTGCAGTATCCCAAGGATGCATTGAAGTATTGCCCGCTCCTGCAGTTCTTTACCACGCCTCTCAAGAGGCCATCCTTGGCCACATAGCAAAGGACAAAGCTGCAACGAAAATTTCCACTTGAGTTGTTGTTTTTTCTTCTTTATCTTAAACTGTGATGATTACCTGACGCATGTGGAATCGTTTTGGTTATTAATCATCACCGATGTGGTCTCCTCAGCGCAGGCCTCATTTGCACTCCAAGCGTTTGCGCTGCGAGCAGCTAGACAGTAAATCAGCAACTACAAAAGGTAAATTCTATTAACTGAAATACTCGATGGAAATCCTTGATTAGTAGTTACCAGAGATACAATCAGTTTCGGCCACATAATGTCGGTTTAACCTTGGGTCCTCTTTGCACACTGAAACCTTGAGGCATTTGGGGGGGCCTTTAAGTAGCGACTGGGTTTAATCTGAGCAGCATCGTTTATCTCTGCGCTCTTTGTTAATGTAATTAATGTTTATGGGTGTGCCTTAATCTGTGTTTTGTTAGCAACAATATGTATGTACCTATGTCCAAAAGTCTTTTTAGATATGAGCAAATATTCGCATGAAAAAAAGGCTGGGGAGTGTGCATCAGATTGAAGAGCAACAACCCGGGTTTTAAGCTAATGACTCACCTACTAGTGTGTATTTTTGTACCCTTTTACCCTTATAATTTTTTAACATTTTATAAGCCTATCATAATCAATTTTCAAAAATGGAAAACTTATTTTGTTTAATGTCCCTTCGCAGCAGGAGGTTCTTATAATGTTAACAATTTTAAGTAAATTTAAATTCAACTCTTTGAAACCTTCTGAGCAGTTTAATCTCTCCCAATAAAGTCACAAAAAACTCTTGTTACTGTTGTCACTGTAGTTTTTTTATTGGTGAAACGATAAAAGTTTTTAAGATAAACAGGAAATTCTGCGAAAGTATAAAGGCGTTTATGCACAAACATCCGGCTTAATGGAACTGCACAATTTCGAGCTGTCGTCAAAATACATTCCATTCTTGCAAGTCTTGATTAGCCCGATAACTTGTCCATTGTTAAAATAACAATATACGTAACTGCAGGAATTTAATTTATAAGTTATTAGTTTAAGTTAGTTTTGTTTTGTTGCTTACCTTCTGCATGTGGGATCATCCTGATTTCCCATCAAGGTGGTCGCTGTTACTTCGCTGCAGGCTTTTTCTAAGCTCCAAGCCTCTTCAGAGCCCTGGACCTTTAATTCCGAAGCTGGAAGTGCTGTCAGGATATTAACCAGCAGCTAAATTAAGGGAAAATTAACTTAAAATCGTTTTTGAATATATCCTTCTAAACCTCCTACCAATAGTATAATAAGTTTTGGCAGCATGCTTAACTTTGTATAGCTTGACACTCTCTGAAAGTGAAAAGAACCCAAAAATTGGCTTTTATATTGGAGGACCCGCCATCCTAGCTTAGCTTATCTTTGACTTTTTGTGGAATTGCAATAAAAGATTGTGGTTCTTATTTTTATTTAGTGCTTTTATTGGCCAACAATCAAAGTTGAATTTCGAAATTCGTGAGAATTTCTTAATTACGTACAATAATCGGGTTTGGTTCCGACGCAAACTCTTAAAGAGGTGTCATAATATTGGTTTGCCTTGCAATTCTTTATCAAAGCCACGATGGTTCCGTTGGGAATATAACAATATACATAACTGCAGAATATATATACGTTAATAATTATTGATTTGTTTGCGTTTTCTATTTACCTCTTGCAGGTGGGATCGTCTTCGTTGGCAAACATCTCAGTTTTGGTAATATCCGCGCAGGTTGCCTCCTTGGTCCAGGGCACTGCTGTCGTAGTCGTTGTTGTTGTTGTTGTTGTCGTAGTCGTTGTTGTGGTTGTAGTTTCTGCCTCCACGCAACCATCTGGCTTTGCGGTTCCGCAAATCTTAAGGTTGACATCAAAATACCATCCATTCTTGCAAGTATATATTAGCCCCCTAACTTGTCCATTGATGAAAGAACAAGTTACGTAACTGCAGGAATTTAATTTATAGTTATAAGTTATTAGTTTAACTTAGTTTAGTTTTGTTGCTTACCTCCTGCATGTGGGATCATCCTGATTTGCCATTATGGTGGTCGCTGTTACTTCGCTGCAGGCTTTTTCTACGCTCCAAGCATCCTCAGAGCCCTGGATCTTTAATTCCGAAGCTGGCAGTGCTGTCAGGATATTAACTAGCAGCTAAATTAAGGGAAAATTAACTTGATATCTTTATAAATATATCCTTCTAAGCCTCCTACCAATAGTATAATAAGTTTTGGCAGCATGCTTAACATTGTTTAACTTAACACTCTCTGAAAGTGAAAAGAACCCAAAAATTGACTTTTATATTGGAGGACCCGCCCTCCTAGCTTTGCTTATCTTTGAATTTTTGGGGGATTGCAATAAAAGATTGTGGTTTTTATTTTTAGTTAAAGCTTTTATTGGCCAACAATTAATGTTGAATTTCGAAATTCATGAGAATTTCTTAATTATGTACAATAATCGGGTTTGGTTCCGACGCAAACTCTTAAAGAGGTGTCAAAATATTGGTTTGCCTTGCAATTCTTTATCAAAGCCACGATGGTTCCGTTGGGAATATAACAATATACATAACTGCAGAAATTATTTATATACGTTAATAATGATTAGTTTGTTTGCGTTTTCAATTTACCTCTTGCAGGTGGGATCGTCTTCGTTGGCAAACAACTCAGTTTTGGTAATATCCGCGCAGGTTGCCTCCTTGGTCCAGGGCACTGCTGTCGTAGTCGTTGTTGTTGTTGTCGTAGTCGTTGTTGTGGTTGTAGTTTCTGCCTCCACGCAACCATCTGGCTTTGCGGTTCCGCAAATCTTAAGGTTGACATCAAAGAAAGTGTTCTCCTTGCATGTTGTGACCTTCATTGAGTGAACTCCATCGATTACCGAACAGGCTATGTAACTGAAACGGTTTTAATTAGTGGAATTATCTTGTTTTCAAACAAATTTTTTACGTAGTACAGGTGGGGTCATCTTTGTTTTCAAAAAATGTACTCTTAGTGGCTGCCTCGCACAAGTCTTCGACATTAAAAGGAGTTTCAGTTGTCGTTGTTGTAGTTGGTGGCTCCGTTGTGGTTGAATCACACACTGGACTGGCACCGCGGTAGCAAGTGTAAAAGCCATCGGTGCAATAGAAACCCTCGGGACAGGGCAGGAGCTTATACGAAGGCACTCCTGGAAGTGAAATCTTTGTTAGGGGGGTCATCATCCCATGTAACGAACTGTTTTTAGCTAAAGCTTTAAGTTTATTATCAGTTATTAACGTATATTTCTGAACACCAAAGCCCTCGCACTTTCTCCACGATTCCGGCGGATTGATTTATACGAGATACGCTGGAGATAAGTTAGAAAAACCTAGTTTTAAGAAAAAAGCTAAAGAAATAACATTTGCAGGTGAAGGTTGCTCTATAGAGCATTTCTTCTCAGCGCTAAAAGTGCCTAACTTTAAATAATATAGAAATTCTACATAAGTTATAGATAATATTTACGAAAATTAAAATTAAACTGGATCACAACTCACCGAAATATAAAAAAAAGCCCAATGAACCCGTAGAGTTACTTAGCAACCCTCTATTACTTACCATTGAAGCAAACGGAGAAGCTTGTTTCGTTGTGGCAAGCCACATTGCTTTCACTTTGACACTCATTGCAGGCTGCCATAGCATGTTGGGCCAGTAGCTTGATTTTATCAACCAAAAAACACGGATGTGAGTCAGAAAATTCGAGCCGTGGCTTCGTTTGTAGTTACCAGTGGAATTAGTAGCGCCTGCAACATCTTTTTGGTCTTCCGTCGGAGATCATTCTAAAATACTGCGGACGAACAATACACCTTATATATAAAACCTTTAGTTATCTCTCTGGAGAGACTTGCCCAAAAATACGAGATAGTTGAGTTATGTTTGCTAACTTTTATTGCGTTGTTAGGCTCTTTGCGTCAATAAATAGTAAAAGGCTACGTTACGGTAATTTATATATAAAAAAATATATAATATATATTCACAAATTGAAGGCGCGTTTGTTAGCTATTAGGAATACATGGGTAGAATACATGGAAACGGATAAATAAAGTCTTTCCGCTTTGGACGCAACATTGAGATATAGCATAGCTAAGGGTTAACACGTTTAATAGTTGGTTTTGTTGTAGAGTAGGCTTGTGTGTATACTGGATAGTTATGAGTTCGTTGGCCTGGCTGGCCCATAGTCTTCTTCTGTTTATATTGCATAAATACGTAAGTATAGTCTTAAGGCAAATCATAGCGTTTTAAGCAGCACTTTTCAACTTATTACATTGTGTTACTTGGGCTTAAGGCAACATCGATGTTCTAAAAATGCATTCTAAATATAAATTCGTAATTTCTAAAACGAAATAATACTTCCGTCAGCGCAAAATGCATTAATATTCAAGTTCAAATTCAATTTCAAGTTCGTATACTGTTTCTAAGCCCCTAGACGCATCCGTATTCATACCAAATGCTATTGCTCTTGTCCTCGGTCCGCTTCCGCGTTGCCTTGTCATCCTGCAGGGGAGTACTAGTGCTAGCTGCTGGCAGCAAAGGACTCTGATCGCCGCTGGTTGAATTGCCACCAATCGTTGTGTTTATACGATTGTACATGAGAAATGTGGCTGGGCCACTGCTGGCGGAAGTGTCGCTTGTGTTTTGAGGTGGCTCTGGCGCGGAAGCAGTCGTTGCTGGGGGATTGCTACTGCCCGCCGACGATTGTTGCTGCTGCTGCTGGGGGGAGCTTCCATCCGGTAGCTTCTGGTGCTCGTCGATTAGATAAACGGTGCGTCGGGAGCCGGCTGTGCCCAGTGTCAGGCTGCTGCCCGTCACATCTGGCGCTTCAAGGCTGCTATAAAGTTAATTTCATATTAATAATAATAATTAATTTAAGGAGAAGAGAAGCCACAACAATAAGAGGTTCAGGGAGGCAGCAAGTTTTAATGGGAACTCGATTGTTTTTGTTAAACATCTAAAGCTCATTACCCGTGCACGCTATTTCTACGTGAGTTATTCAAATCCGTACGTTTCTGTGCCTGCAGGCTACTGCGCACGGCACCGCCGCGTTGGATCGAGTTGTCCAGCAAGTCCCTGTGGTACAAAAGTGGTGTGTGGTGTGTGGTGTGGTGCATACGTGTTTGGTTGAGTGGTGTATAATACATGTAAATAGAAACGGAGATTGGAGAACCATTACCCCCGTAACACCAGTATATCTATCACTTACCGCTGCAGGCTCTGGCGAAGCGGTATGTTCCGCTGAAGCAGATGCGTATCGGAGGCAATGGAAATGGGCTCCTCGTTGCTATTGTCCGACTCATTGCCTCCAGACTCGGAGCCGATCACAAACTGTGAACTGGTCCGGGCATCATCCACCCAAGAGCGACGATTCTGTAGACAAGGAGCATAGCATTAGGTAAGGTTTAAACTTTCATTTCAAGTAACAAACATTTACAAGTTACTTACTCGACTGGGCACTTTGTTCATCAAATCCGAGCTGGCCTTCTTCACTCTTCTAACCAGACCAATGGCAAAGGGTTTTCTGTAATCAAAAGATACGATTTTAGTAGCTTCCAACTTCCTTTACTACCCCGTGTGTGTGTGCTTCTCACTTTTTGTGGACGGTGACCTCGGTCTTTTTGTAGTGCTCCATGATCTTCTCCTCCAGCTTCTCCTTTTGCCGCTTGAGACTGTGCACGCGTTCGGTGTAGTTCTTCTCCTCCTCGTGGAAGTGCTTCTTGTCCTCAAGGGAAATGGCCAAGAGCTCCTGGTACTGAGAGAGTAACTGCGAGACATTGTCCATCAAAGCCTTGCGCTCCGAGTCCAGATCGGCATTGTTTTGGATCAGCATCTGTGGGGTTAATTTAAGGAGGCAAATATTTTTCGAGATATTTCCTCTTTAGAATGTAGAACTCACCTCGCAGCGTTGCTGAACCTTGGTGTACTCCACCTGGAGATGACGCACTTGGTCGCTCTTGGTGTTCAGCTCGCCTGTCAGCTCCGTGTTGTGCAGCTTGAGACTGGAGTGCTCCATCCGTATCATCTTGTACTGCTCCTGGATGTTCTTGTACTCGTTCTTGAACCTATCGCTGGTAGCAAAGAGATTCCGGAAGTCATCGGTGAGCTTGGAGTGCTCGGTGCGTAGAATAGACAGATCCTCGCTACAGGTCTTCATGTTGTTATTCTGCGTGGTCAGCTCCTCGATGCGTTGCTCCAGAGCCGTCTGCTGTTCGCGGGTGTCGCGCATCTCTTGCCGCAAATCCCTTACCGCCGCCTTCAGCTGCTCTTTGTCCTTGTTCAGGGATTCATATTCCGCCGAGAGCTGATCGTGCAGGCACTGCAATGTCACCTGATCCTGCAGCGCATGCTTGTGCTCCTGCTGCAGTGAATCGATTTCCTTGAGCAGGGTATCCTTCTCCGCCGCCAGCTGAGAGTTGGCCAGCTGCAGGGCCACATGCTGGGTGTTCAGCGATGTAATCTGTGAGCCCAAGGCGGCCACGTCCACGCTGAGACGAGCATTCTCCGTCTGCAGTTGGGTGTTGGAGTCCTTGAGGCGGATCAGCTCCGCAGACTCACGGGCGGGACTGAGACGCACCTTGTGCTCGAATCGCAGCTCCTGAGAGGAGGGTTGGGCTGCCACCGATGCTGCAGGTGGATCAGCTGCTAGCTCAATGTTCTTTTCCACGGTAAAGATCTCCTGGCGGTGGCAGAGCACACACATGTCCGACTTGACGCCACCGCCCTCTCGATCAGGGTCCTCCTCCTCCTCCCGTTGCTGTTCGCGGGTTACATTGAGCATGATCTCGCGCACGGTCTTGAAGGTTTCGGGATTGCGCACCAGCTTCTCCACCACATGCTCTACATTCAGTTCACCAGGCTCTTCGTCGGCCAGGCCCAGCTTCTCCAGATTGTGGCGTACCTTTTTAGTGACCAGCGTTCCGGTGACCAGGTCATTGCGCAGTGTGCTTATCATCTCCTGATCAATATTCCTTTGCGAGACCAGCTCCTGGTTGTGCTTCTCCAACTCCACCAGCTTTAGCTGCAACTGCTCGGCCTCCTCGAGGGTCTTGCTCAGCCTCAGCAGCTCCTTGGCCTGGCTATCCAGTCGGTTTATGCTCTCGTCCAGCTGCACGGACTTTTGTTCGCTGCCCTCTTTCAGCTTGGACACCTCCTTCACCAAGCTGGCATTCTCGCGCTCATAGGTGGAGACCTTGGCCTCAATTTCGTACAGCTTCTGGCGGGTCTGCTCGTACTGCTTGGACTTTTCAGTGAATTGCTCCAGCTCCTTGGATTTGCTCTCGGCGAGCCGTTCCAGATCGTCGGCTCTTCGCTGAATGCTCTCGTTTAGGGTCTGGATGCGCTGCTTCTCCTTGTTTAGGGTCTCCACATGCTGCTCGGCATCGGCTAGCTTCTGGCGATCCGTCTCCCGCTCGAGGCTCTGGCGATCGTAGCTCTTTTGGCGGCTGTCCACGGCATCCTGCAGCTTCTTGTTCTCCTCCAAAGCGTTTTTGAAGACGCCCTCCAGCTCCATATTCTGCTGGGTTAAACGCTGGACATTCTCCTGCATTTGTTCGATCTTCAAGGAGAGCTTCTTCTTCTCCTTCTCCAGCTCTAGCATTTTGCCAGAGGTCTCATGGAAGCTGCTTTCCTTTAGCTGCTCCAAGGCAGCCGTCAGGCGACGATTCTCTAGCTCCAGTTTGAGAGCACGCGTCTGGGCATTGTTGGTGAGCTGTTCGGACAGGCTGTTGTCGCCAGAGTTGCAGTCATCTTCGTTGTCGGAGAAGGACTTGTCCAGCTCCTGTGTGGTATTCAGATTCTTGGCCACCAGCTGCAGCTGAGCATTTTCCTCTAGAAGCTCCTCGAGCTTCGAACGATCCACATCCCTTTCTAGAGCCATATCATTCAGTTTCTGCTTGTACTTAATGATCTCTGACTCCAGGGAGATGGCGTGCTCGGAACGCTTGCGATAGCGTTGCAGCTGCTCCTCAAGCATTTCCCTGGAAGCAAGAAAACAAAGAGATTAATAAATAAAGGAAAAAGCCAAATTGTCATCTAACATACTTTGATTCCAGCAATACGCGGTTATCCTCCCTTAGCTCCTCCACGCGCGACTTGTAGAAATCGGAATCTCCAAGCTTTTCCCGATACTTTTGGACCTCCACCTCCAGGCGATCAGCACGCTCTGCGCGCTCTCTGAGAATGTCCACCTCGTCGCGATAGGCAGAGGCTCGCTTGGCCTCCGTAAACCATTCCTGGCTCTCCTGCCTTAGCTTGTCAAAGCGAGCCTTCTTGTCATCGAGCTCCTCGCGCAGCTCCAAGAGATTCTCTGATTTTTCCTCACTAAAAAATAAATAATTAAAGTTACGGGAACAATGGGAGACACAACATCCTTACAGCTCCTGTCGCAGCTTGCGGTTTTTCGACCTGAGATCCGCACACTCTACGGCCAAGTGATTGCTCTCCGAGTTGGATGAGGACGAGGGCGTGGAGGTTGCCGTTCCGTTGGATGGTGAACGTGGCACACTGACGCCCTGGCCACATTCCACCAGATTATCGCCAGCAGCTAGTTCGGGCTCAACGCAGGCCAGATCGATCCACTTGAGATACATTAGATCCCGCTCCTTGGTGAGGCGCAGGATGTGCGTGTACATGCTCTGCGGTGTCAGCCGTTCCACAGAGTCCTCGGTGAGCACCAGGCTGTGACTGTCCGTCACCTGTTTGATCAAAGCCACAATGGCATGCTGCGTCTCCAGATCCAGCTCCTTGATGCGGGCAATAAACAGTTCCTTGTTGGGACACTGCACGGCAGCGCCGAGCAGCAGTGTGAGAAGCGTCCGCATCTGGTCCAGTCCGCTCCTGCTCTCCGGATGATGGCCCAAAGTGAAGGCATCCGGCAGGACCAGTATGGTTTGACCCAGCTCCTCCTCAAACAAAGCCTTGAGATTCCGTACAATGCACTCGAAATTCTTGGCCCTCGCAATGCTCAGCGACTTGCCACTGAGATCGTTCAGCTCGCTGGGATTGTTCTGCGGCTCCGGATCGATCTGCAGCCAAACACTGTGGATTATGTGGCCATCGAGCAGGGATGTATAGCCTGCGAGTAGCTCCGCTCGCGGCAGGCATGACTCCAGCTGTAATAGAAGAAATTACCAGTTTAAAACCGAAGCCGAATTCCACAAAGAACAACGAAAGAGCGGGCGTGAATATGTATATTTTTCAGCTGGACAAGTCACACACACGAAGCTTATTACACTGCTCCTCCTGCTTCCATGTCGTGGATACCGTAAGCCGTAAGCCGCCGTCTTGAGCAAGTTACAATGACCTTGGTTCTTGCGACTCTGTGAAAGCCACATAACTACCAACAGCTGAGGTCAACGGAATAGCCAAGGGAAGTGGAGTTTGTGGATTAGGCGCTTTTAAAAATGTTTTCTAAATTGTCTGCCAATTTTTGATAATTTTAACGATATAACCCATTTCCGAAAAATAGCTAATAATTATTTTTCTTCTAAAATGGCTAAAACGATTCGGCTGCTGATGGTGATGAAGAATTATATGATTTAAAGGGTGGAAAATGACTCTTTCACAACATTTCAAGCTTCAGACTTAAAATAAAAACCTAATCCTAAAAAAGTAAGAAAAACCTATTTTTATATTCACAATAAATAGAATAAAATGCAAAATTTTAATTTAAAATATTTGGGCAAAATAATAGATCTTAAGGGCGATAATAATTGCCAAGAAGCAATGATAATTTCCATGCCCAAATCGATGTTGTGCTCGACAACACCTGTTCCCATTATGTTGACCTCAACTGTGCATGTGTGTGTGTGTGTCGTGTCCGAGTATGTGAGCAGGTTGTTCTCATGACTGTTTTTTTTTGTTCGCTTTTGTGTTTCCATATGGGCGCATGGGAATCGAACACTTGAATTATTTATGCCAAGCACATAGACCCACTGGCGATGCAAATATCGAGCATGCTTATCCATGGGACAAACAACTCACCCAAGAAACGAGTGCTCCATTTATGAATTCGTCAATTTCCATTGGCGTCGCCGTTGCCGTGCCAGCCATTGTTGTTGTTGTTTCGCTGCGAAGGACGGAAACAGAATATGTAGGTCCTGGTGGTGTGTGCCCGCTGCTGCTGCACCTGTCACAATGCGGCAGCTGATGCACTGCGGCCTTTCCGAATTGCAAACTGCTGCTACTTTATTATTTTCCCAACAAATATTCCGCAGCCTCCCAATAGTCATGCCAAGGACGGGGCATTTCCCGAGTCACCATTAACGCACATACGGAAAATCACAGTTAAATCTACACTAGGAACGGCGGGACAGCACTTTTCGGAATGGGTTTAATAAATACGTTAACTACGAGCACTAAAAGCGGCTACAAAAAATAGCAAAAATCACTTTTGGGAAGACGGCTGGAAAAGTTAAGCATAATTTTTAGTTTGTGCCGGTGATGACACTTCCAACTATCGATACATTTTTGTACATTTTTTACTCCTGTATAATAACTACAATGTAAAATGTATAATTTTATAATTCTACAGGTACTCTAGTAGGTTTCTTTTAATTTTTGTATATTTTTGATTTATTTTATTAGTCGAAATTCAAGGTTTTCATTTTTAATTTTGCCAACAACTATGGGAGAAAGACTGGCTGCTAAACTAGCTAAAATAACGGGGATAACGGCTATAATTAGCTACTGCCTTATCGATACCGATATCGATAAGACACCATTTCGAATGCAACCGAATTCGTTGGAATTTCAGTTTCAAAAGAGTCAGAAAGCTTTCGAAAGACTTTCGAAAGAAAGCGCTAGCTCGCTCGTGTCGTGGATCGGAGGAGGATGCTGGGCTGACGAACGGATTATTCAACGCGCCGCAAAAATGGCAACGCTCGCAAACAAAGCCCAAACGCCACAAAAGTCACATTATTAGGACATATTCGCGTTAAGTTTTGAATAAATCGAGTGTAAAAGTGTTGTTTCCAATTGGCGATACAAAAAACGACGGGTGCCCGAGTGTCCCGACTTAATTTTCGACTGTCTATATATAGATCCTCTGTATAGGCAAGCACAATATTGCAAATAGGTTAAATATCTAACGTCTCGGAATGGGAAATCAGCCGGGAAAGCTGCACACGCATCCGCAGAGCGGTCGCCCCAAGAAGGCAGTTCACTGGAAATCAGCAGGCAAGTATGAACTCCAAATGGAAGTACCCGAGAATCCTCCTAGAATGTAGGCTCTCCCGCAGCATCTAGCGGATTCGGAAGGGGCCAGAGAACGGACACATTCCCACATAGCTGGCTAGCTGCTGGTGGGAGCGCTAGAAATGCTTCTATTTATAGCCACTCGCACACACTCAGTGGTTGCCGTCTTGTCTCCGTCTGTTTGGCCCCAAAAGAAAAAAAACTCACAACGTCAAAGTAATGTTGTCGTCCGAACCACATCGGAAGAACCATTCATTATGTTTGGGAACACAAACGAATGGCATCTTCCGTGTGCATCTTTTTGTTGGGACAAAAAATCTAAGGAATATGGGCTCAGGGGTTTTCAGAAGGACTACGACAAACAATGGACTTCTAACTGAATATAAGGCATATTTTAAAACTTTTTTAACTTAATTTTTCTGTATTTAACTTCAATATTGAAATGTTTTTTATTAAATTTGCTTAAAACTTTTAACTGAAATTAAACATGAAATGTGTTTTGAATAAGATAACGTATCCTTTATCTTGTTTCTCTTAAAAACTCTGACATTTGCTGTTATTTATCTTTCTATTTTCTTAAGGATAAAATTATAATCATGTTTAAATTAGTTTCTTTTATTACCCGAAAACAAATTCTGATTTAATTTATATTTATTTTTCCAACTCCCAAACATCTCTTAACTTTATTAATTTGATTCTATTCTACTCTATTTTATTTAATTTTATTCCTTTATTACCCGTTAATTAAATCCTCCTTTCAGAGCGACCCTCGCCACCCGGTCGACCCATCCTGACGCCACTGGCTCAGCCAGAGCAGCAGCCGGACGTGGTCAATCTGAGGTGGGATCGTCCGCTCCATGACGGCGGCTCTCCCATCACCGGCTACACGGTGGAGCACCGTCGCATGGGCTCCCCGCATTGGGTGCGGGCCACGCCCATTCCCGTGACAGGCTGCGATGTCTGCATCAGTGGCTTGGAACCCGGATGGCGCTATCAGTTCCGCTGCTTCGCTGAGAACATTGTGGGTCGCTCCGATGCCAGCGATCTATCGGATCCGCTGACTGTGACCCTGCAGAGGAATGCCATCACCGTGCCGCGATTCATTGACGAACTGGAGGACATGAATGCCGTGGAGGACGAGCGCATAGAGTTCCGGGTTCGCATCTTAGGCGAGCCGCCACCGGAGATCAATTGGTTTAAGGATGGCTACGAGATCTTTAGCAGTCGCCGCACTAAGATCGTCAACGACAATGAGGCCAGCGTACTGGTGATCCACCAGGTGGCCCTAACGGATGAGGGAGAGATCAAGTGCACGGCCACCAATAGGGCGGGTCATGTGGTTACCAAGGCCCGACTGATGGTTCAGGCTCCGCCTAAGATTCGGCTGCCACGGACTTACGAGGATGGACTGATCGTGGAGGCCGATGAGGTGCTGCGGCTTAAGGTGGGCGTGGCAGGGCAACCACCGCCGGCCATAACGTGGCTCCATGAGGGCGAGATCATCGCCCCAGGTGGACGCTTTGAGGTGAGTTAAGAGGAATACAAAAGTTAAACTTATACCTTATCCTTGCTTTCCTTTCCAGATCACCAACACGGAGAAGAACTCGCTGCTCAAGATCGACAATGTGCTGCGCGAGGATCGCGGCGAGTATATGGTTCGGGCCTGGAACCGACTGGGCGAGGACAGCACCTCCTTTCTGGTCACGGTGACGGCCAGACCCAATCCCCCGGGAGCCCCCAAGCTGAACATGTCCTTTGGCAAGTCGGCAACGCTCTCCTGGACGGCACCCCTCGACGATGGTGGCTGCAAGATCGGCAACTACATCGTTGAGTACTTCCGCGTGGGCTGGAACGTGTGGCTCAAGGCGGCCACCACCAGAGCCCTGGCCACCACGCTGCACGATCTGATCGAGGGATCCGAGTACAAGTTCCGTGTCAAGGCGGAGAATCCCTATGGTCTCAGCGAGCCCTCGGGGGAATCGGAGCTGCTCTTCATACCGGATCCCAAGAGGGGAATAACCAAGCCCAAGTCAGCTACCAGGATAGCTGGAGAAGACAAGGACAAGCAGAAGGGTGAAGCTGGAGCCGCAGTGCAGGTTCCGCCCCGCAGGAAGACACTGTCGCCTCCGCGACCGCAAGCCGATGCCTCTACAGGAATGTCGCCCAAGCAATCGCCCAGCGTGAAGCGGAAACCCAAGCCGCAGCTCATCGATAACGAGCAGCTGCACCACGAGATGTCATATGGTACCTCGGATCAGGCTCTGAAGATGGACGTGCGCAAGAGTCCCTCGCAGAGCAGTGCCGACTTGGCCGTTAAGACCACAACTGTGGGCTCCAATCCCAAGCTTAATCTGACGCTGGTCACCACAACCTTGGCTCCTTTGGAGAAATCGCAGGCACAGCCAAGGTCACCAAAGTCCCCAGTTTCGCCGCCTTTGAAGCTATTCAACATCAAGCCTTCTGGAGCTGCCAAGGATAACCCGAAGCCCAAGGACAAATCACCAGTGCCACCAAGACAACCTCAACCATTGCCCACTCCGCCCAAGGAAAAGCCGGAGAAGGCCTCGCCCAATCGCAAGAGGAGCTTAAGTCCTCCAAACAAGCGTCAACCGGTGCCACTTCGCAAGAGTCCCACACCACCGGAACCCATGAAAGCCACAGCCGCCCTGCTGCGTAGCGCTGAACCCGTCCAGCTGGGAGTCAATCAGAATGTCAGACGCTTCTCCGGACAGACCCTCAGTCCGGCCAGGAATGTGCCCACTCTGGCCCTTGCTGTGGCCTCTGGGGTAAGCGCTGTGATTGGTGAGAAGCTGCCAACCATTGAGATAAGTGCTCCACCCACGCCGCAAGAGGAGGAGCCTCCCATGCGGGAGCCATCGCCATCGCCATCGCCATTGCCTTCTCCAGTGCCAGCTCCGGTGATGTCCCAGCCCATTTCGAGGCGGTCTTCCAGGTCAGCGGATAAACATGATGATGTCCATACCAGCAATGAGTTCATGCTCGTGGTGTTCGATAAGAACAGCAAAGTCAAGGACAAGGACAGTGAGTATATTTATTTTTATATTAACTACTATCCCTGCTCAAAATTACATCCATCTATCTTTCTCACCACCCAGAACAAGATTCCTTTGAGCTGGACCTGGAGGATGCCATCCAGCCGCCGCCCATCTCGATTTCGGCTCCGGATCTGGCCTTCCTGGAGTTCACCAACTTGCATACCACCTTTCCGCTGCGCCGCTCTGTCAGCTCCACGGAACTGCTCTACGAGCGGGCCATGGCTCGCTTCTACGAGGCCGTGGAGCTGGAGCAGGCTTCCAAGTCGCGCAAGACATCGCAAGATAAGCTGGCATCCACTCCAGCTCCGCCACGCGAACCGCCGGCCAATCTGCGCAAGCGTCTTGGCTCCATTTCGGAGGCGGAGCGTGTGTCCTTCGAAAGGAGAGCAGAGCTGCGCCGCCAGTCAGCGGACATGGTGTCCATGGCGCGCAAATGGGACTCAAGGGAGAATGTCAACGATTCGGGCAACCTAATGCGCTCGGGACAGCTGGCCTTGGAGAAGGGAAGGGATCTTGGGGAGTCGCAGGACCAGGAGGAGCTGGAGGAGGAACATTTGACGGAGAGCACGGCTGACGATAGCGAGGATATGGATCTGGACTTTGACGAAGATGAAGCTCTAGACTTGGAGTATCCTTCACAAAAACAGAAGCAACATCAGCAGTTTCAGCAGCAGTCCAGCAACGACCTGGGTTCGGACTATACGGAGAGCACTGCTTCCTCGGAGCAGGACTCCATTGAGAAGTTCAAAATGGAGCTGCTGGCCCGCACTCGCTCGCCCAGTCCCCGGGACTTGGAGACCTACCATCCGCGCACCATGGGCGCTGGCACTTTTACGCCCTACAGGGCACCCACTCCCGAGCAGGCTGCCGTCGTACTCACACGTCCAGTGCCTCTGCCCAGTCCTGATTTCGTGCCCAAGCCCATCTTGAAGCGTTCCTCCAACGAACACGTGGAACAGTCGGCAATGAGTCCCTTGCCGGCAGGGAATGGAAACGAATTTATTGGTGGGGCTGCAGTGCCGCCACCCATCTCCCCCGCTGCCGTCGGCAATCCCAGCACCAGCACCCTCAAGATGGATCTGGCCAAGGGCATCAAGTCGTTCTTCAGTCGCGACAAACGCTCGGCCACTGAGAAAAACACAGAGGCGAACGAGGAGATATCCAATCCGCTGGAGAAGACCAATGCCGCCGCCATTGCCGCGGACTTGGAGGCTAAGCGCAAGGCCAAGGAGGAGGATGAGTTGCGCCGGAAGGAGGAGGAACGCCTTATGGAGGAGGAGGCCCATGCAGCCGTCGATCACTATAGCGATCTGGTGCGGGAGGTTGGCAGCTCACACAGGTATCACACGCCGCTCTACCTCGATCGGGATGAGTTAAAGCGGGCGGCTGCCAAGGCGGCGGCAGAGACCGATGAGGAGGATCTTCTCTCGCACTCGGAGGAGTTAAAGAAACGACTTGCCAGTGGTGGCAGCGGCGATGACTTGTTCCTGGCTCCTCCAGTGGTCCGTGAACGCCGCCTCTCTATATCGGAAAGGGAGCAGCTGGTCCATGTCCGTGATGCAGCCAGCAATCTGGCCATTCATCGATCCCCGGACCAGGCAGAACAGGATCAGGAGGTTGAGCGTGAGGAGCACGTGTCCCAGCACGAGGAATACCTGCCGGATGAGGAGCCAGAGTACCCCACTGTGCTGGTGGTGCCGCCGCCCAAATCAAAGAAGAAAAGCGAATCGGAGACTGAGAGCGTCATGAGCGAGATGGTGGAGGCTCGTCCGGATGCCAGGGGACGGACTCGCCTGGTCAAGGTGAAGCGAGTGATAAGACGGCGTGTTCCCTCCAGCACGCGTTCGCGTGACACCTCTCTAAGCAGACCAGCGCTTCCTACTGGAGCGGAGACATCGGCTTTGGTTCTCTCCACCGCCGACAGGGAACTGCTGGAGAAGACTGCCGCTCTGGCCATTCTTCAGTCGGAGGAGCAGGCCCACGAGAAGGTCCGCTCGGCGCTGAGCTACTCCACCGATCTGGTACTCTTCCTGGTCGCCTGCTATGTGTACTTGTTCAAGGACGCCCGCCTGGTGCTGCCCATTTTGGGTCTGATTATCTACCGGCAACTGGGTGATGCCGTGCGCGGTTGTGTGCCCCAATGGCTGCGTCGCCGGCTAAACGGGAACGAGGGCAGTTAGACAATTGGAGTAGAATCCCATCCTCAATACCCTTTGCTCAATACTCACATGCGTTTATCGGTTAAGTTAGTTTTTATTACATTTACATACGACTTATTTATACGATTTAAGTAAGTAAAGTTGAAGGTATCCATTTATTCATCCATCTATCAGCCACCCATATTGCCTTATTCACACCCATCGAGTACATCATCGTCCCCCTGAAATCTGTATACGTAAATCCTTGGCCAGATCCTTATTTTGTTTTACTTCTTTGTGTTTTTTTGTAGTTTACTTTTGAATTTTTATGATGGAATTTTAGTTCTTTACGTCCTTCTAAATTTGGAATATGAAGACTTCTAGGTAAAAATTTATATGGATTTTGTTTTTTAAGGATTTTAGGGATATACAAGTGTGCCAGGGAAAGTGTCGTAGCTTTAAAATCAATTTAAATTCGGTCCAAAATTGCCATTAGAAATGTCATTGCATATATATGTATTTGTTTACAGTTTTTTCAATTGATTTGAAATCTTTACCACTTTCTGTGACATCTCAGCAATATTTCCCATGAATTCTTAACTTTAATTTAATTGAAATCCTAAAAGACTCTTTTAATATGAAGGAAGGCTTGCATTACTTTCGGAAGCACTCAAATTTCAACTAAGAATTCATAAACAAACTATAAAAAATCTTTTGAGGTATTACCAAAATAAAGAGCATCCAAAAATATATTTAAACCTTTAATCATTAATACAAGAAAGTTATCCAAAAATATATATTTACTTTTAATCAATTCATTAAAATTACAAGAAAGTTATCCAAAAATATATTATCTAATTATTACCCATTGCTTTGCCTAACAATTTCCCCATATTTCGAAATTAATCCCAACGAGAAAATAAGTTTATTTTTTCAAGGACATTATCATAAGATCCTTTATTTCCCCCCGCACACTTAATTTCGCTTTGTGTATGTATGTGGAGCTGGAGCTATGTGAAGTCCTCATGTTATGGAAGTGTTCGTTTGCGCGGTTCTTTGTGGTTTCCATCATCCGGATTGTTGGTGATTCACTTTGAAAATAAATAAATAAAAAGCTTAGCGTGTTATAAATTCGTATATATGTTATGTGGAGAGTGCTTTCTTTGACCAAGTTCTTGGCTTGTTTGCTCATCCGCTGTAGACTTCCGTGGGGGATTTCATAGTGGGTAGAGCTATAAACAGATCGAAGAAGCGCTCTTATCGGGATGTCAACAAGAGATGCTGCTGCGCCAAACGCTATCAGCAGATAATAATCCAGGGGGAAGATATATAAAAGCCTCTGCCAGTTGCGGTTGCCCAACATCTTTTCCCCGTCATGGCTTTCTCTCTGGGCTGTCTCTTCCTGATCACCCTGGCCATAGGATCATCTGTGGCTCTGTGGGCAGCTCCGCAGCCTGATATAGTCACCGGTGGCCTTAATCCTCAGCCCACGCCGCTAGCTACATTGGCTCCACCACCCACCTTGTCCCAGGATCTGGACGAAATCCAGCGCTTGATTCAGTTCAAGCCCATCAATCAGCTTATAGCGCGTTACCTGATCAACGATGACCAGTTTCAGGCCTTCGTGAGGATCATCAATAGCAATGCGGCCTTCATGTCCCGTTGGCGTCTGCGTTCGCAGCCGGAGATCATCTTGTTCCAGCAGTGGGTCGATCAGCAGCTCCTGGCCTCTGGCGGCGCCTTCGAAATGGAGGAGCAAAAACTGAAAGTCACGCTATTCAACCAGTTTCCCTATTGGTCCGGCACAGTTTTCGGTTGGCCAGGATTCCTCAACGAGGCACAGCTCTACTTCCCGCTGTATGCCATCCGAGCTCACATCGATGCCAAGGTGCTGCAGCAGGGCATCTTTGCTCAGTTCTGGGCGCGACTTCAGGGCCTTCAAGTGGTCTACGAACGCTGGTTGGCCTTGGTGGAGACTTCCCAGGTGGTAGCTGAACTCCAGGCGGCTGGCATCGACACGGTACAGTTGGATGGCATCATTCGGGAGCTTTTTGGATGGACTGTGGTCAATGCAACCACAACTGTGGCGCCTGGAACTCCAGTGGCTCCCACTGTCATTCCGGGAGCAGTGATTCCTCCAGTTAATGCTAGTCCTGTGGTTGTCTAGGTTACCTAGACAGGGGGATTATATGATATACGAAATAAAAATGTGGCTAAAGGCCCTGGATTTGTAAATTCCATGAGGAAATTAATTGTTAAATAAAAAATAAAATTTTGTAAGCTTTTTTATAAAAATCAAAGCTTAAAAATTCCATAACTAAGCCAAAAATGCATCAATTTCAATTCGGAAAGCTGTTCTGAGTTAGTTTTAATAAGATTTATAAATCTGTATACTAAATTTAAAATTTTATTTTTTTCAATTTTTGAAAAATTTAATGATGTAACCCCTTTCATTTTTTTGAAAAAATTTTCAAAATTTTTTTTTCAAACAAACATAGCTAGATCAACTCAGCTGTTGATGCTGATCAAGAATATATATGATTTATAGGGTCGGAAATGACTCCTTCCCTGAGTTTCAAGCTTCTGACTGAAAATATAATACCCTGCAAGGGCATTGGGCCAAAAACCTCTATATTTAAAATTTGAAGTACTAACTAGGCAAGATTTTATTTCGTAAGCTGTCCACACTTTCAGGGAGTTATTATTTATAAGAAAATAACTCTTAATTTATAGTTTTTATTATAAAAATTAAAATTATTACGATCCCACGTTATTAAAAAAAACCTTTCCATCACTGTCAATATAGCTACATCGTATATTTGGATGATCTTTACTTAGGACCGAAGTCTTTAACAAACAAATGGGCACTAACTACATCTACGTGGTGAAACGACGGACTGCACATCGTATTCGGGGGAAAAAAAGACGCTCAGAACTTGAGTTTTCCTAGCGTATCGGAGACTTTTTTGGCATTGGCCGGCTTCTTCCTGCTGTCCTTGATGGGCGCCACAGCGGCCTTGGGCTTCTTCACCACCATATCCTTGTGCAGGGTCTTCAGGCTGGCATCCAGCTTCTCCTGCTTGTCCTTGACGGACTCCTTGATCTGGAATTCAAGCTTATGAGTCAAGGCATCTTCTTTTCTAGGTGCCACACTTACCTGCTTGAGCTTGCCCTGGACTTCCTTGGGCTTCTTGCCCTTGCCCTTGCTGGTGTTGGCCACCTTGAACACGTTCTTGGCCTTCTTGGATTGGTTCAGCGGGGTCTTGGGCTTGCTGGCACCCGGAGCCACCTTCTTGTTGTTCGCCTTGTTCCGACCCATCTGAAAATAGGGACAAAAAGGCATTCATTTTACTGGCTGGGAAGCTACAAACTTTATTTATCAAACTTCAAACACATTTCACTTTGCTGGCTGAATTTTGTAAATCAGCCTCAAGCTGATCCTCCTCCTGGGCGCCTCGTTTCCTCGTGAGCTGCTCCTCCTTGGTTGTGGTCAATAGCTGGTGGGATAAGCGAAAGGAAACCCTGTACATGTCCTTGTTGGGAGCCACATTCCTTACAAAGCTAATGCCCTGAAGGAGACTATCATCTAAAGTGGCTCCCAGATGCCTTTCCGCCAGCTCTTGCACCAAGGCTTTGGTGTTTTCGCCCTTGGCAAAGGAGTAAACATGAACGGTAGGATAAACCACATTCCCTGGCAACTCGGCAAGATCCTCCACCTTGTAGAGACCACGAAAGGCGTTCAGGAACTCCACAGCCAAGGCGGGCAGATTCATGGTTACATGAATGGCATACGCAGAAGTGTCTGTTGTGAGCAGACGCTTTAGAAGATCCTCCCGCAACTCCTCCACAATAAACTGTCTGCCATCCTTGTTGAACATTTTGATCTGCCCCAGGCACTTGTTTCTCTTAGCATTGTGCTGCAGCCAGTGGAAGCTCACAGGATTCAGGTCGTTGGCCAAGACATGGCAGCGTTTCTTGGCCGCCGGAACACTAAAAGGACCCACGCCGGCGAAGACGTCGTAGAGAACGTCACCGGAATGCAACAGCTTAACGATCCGCTCGTGCTCCGTGGAGAGACGTGGATTCCAGTACACCTTGGAGAAGTCAAACTCGAAGGGCACGCCGTTCTCCTTGGTCACCACCTGATACTCTGCCTCGCCGCAGATCAGCTCCAGCTGGAAGTTGCGGTAGGTGTTGTCGATGCTCGCCGCTTTGTTGACCACCGTCCGGCAGTTGGGCAGCTTGTCGCGCAGCACCTGGCCGATAAGCTGCTTGTAGGGCAGCAGGTGATCCCTGAGATTCAGGTGGGCTATGTGACCGATGCGGGAGTAGGAGGTGAGACCCTCCTCTTCGGCGGGTAGCACACTCTTTAGGATCTCGCTGGCGCTCCAGTTCTCGTAGCCCAGCTCGAGTTCCGCAAAGGAGAAATGCTCCTTTGTCACTTCCTGCTTCTGTAGCTCTTCAGTGGGCAGGGATTCCCAGTTCTTGACTGGCGTGGGATGCAGTAGGATCTCCCGGGACTGGTCCACAGCACGCACAGGATGCAGGTGCTCCATTTTGAGCAGGAGTTTCTTGACCAACGGCATCACACGCTGCACCTGCGACTCGGGCAGCCGTAATCTGGGCACTTGGACACTCTTCCGGAAGCGGTCCCGCTGCAGCTCTTGCATGCCGCGCACCGCCGAAGGCGGCTGCAGATCCTGGCACTCCATATTCCGAAAGTAATGACGTAAACGAGTGGCTATAAACGTTATTCCTGGTACCTTCAATTGGGCCACCATAAACATCCAAACACGTGTGTTTTTAATTGCTGGGATTTTCAGTGTTTTTCCGGCGCGTAGATGATGCTGCTATGACTTGGAGCTAACCAGCAGTAAGTGGAGCTCTTGGAGTTCCCCTAAATTGCAATCAATCTTTAAATGTACCTCAATAGGTTGCCAAATTATTGGATATATCCACAAGATCCGTAAAAGCCAAACAAACGCAGTGAAAACAGTGTGACCGCCTGCCGACCGTTAAAATATACTAAGTAGGTCAAACGAAAAAGGAAAATACCGAAAAATATCGTTCTGTTTAGAAAATTATAGCAACCGCAACCGAAATTATAGCAAATCTATAAATTTCATAAAAAGGAAGTAAACAATAAAATAATAAACATAAATTAATATGAAAAATTAAATTATATTTATTAAATTTTAGGAGATTGATATTTACTATTATACTTCAGCCAAAAAATTTAATCTCCTTCAAAAACCCTAAAATATAAGAAATTAAAAAATTCCACAGCAATGTAAAATCCCAATTTTAGTTACATTTTATGTTTTATTTAAAAATAAAAAGTCAATTTGGTGATTAATCATTACACAGAATAGCTTTTATAGCATACAAATCATGGACAAGATTCTTTTACAGATCGTTACAAAAATATGTTGTCGTATCTTGTGTCTTTTTATTCAAGCAACTACACATTATATATAATATATCAATCGATGTGCGCGTAGAAATCCTAGGGGCTGAACTTGAATAGATTTACAATTTGTGCAAGTGCATCCAAGGGCTCCTCCTGCTTCAAAATGGACACAGCAGGCAGGTGCCAGTACATATTTGCATAAGTACTACGTACAAAAGCCGTTTTATTATTTAATTTTCGTCGTAGCTGTTGTCCTGGATCGTTTATAACTATCTTTAGCGTGGCAGAAACATACAGTATAACAGTTAAAAACGTGGGGGGAGGGCAAACCGAAAAAAAAAAACATAAACACCGGCGGCACTGAGCAATTTTAGCAAGTTAAGAGTTAGATTAAGGGAAGCCTGGACTCGTTCCACCTGCCTCCGCCGTGTGGAATCCAAATGACATTACTACAATTAAATAAATAAAGGCAAAAACGCTTGCTTAAATTAATTACACCACGGAACTGACATCAAACCGAGCAGGATTATCGCCGGTAGCGCCCCAAGTATGCCCTGCAGTTGGGGCACGAGTGATGCACATCCATGCAGTCATCAATGCAGCAAGGTATCAGGCAGCATCCCAGCCAGCAGCTGCAAAAGGAGAGGGATTAGAATCAGGATAAGATATACCACAAATCAGGGAAAAAAGTCTTTCTCCTAAGACTCACCCAAACAGAGCAATCAAAAATCCAGACAAATAGGCAATCATTCCGGGCTCGGTGCGCGTGGTCGTCTCAATCTCGGCATGACACGACGGACAGATCATGTGTGTCGAGGAGCGGCTAATAGGCACTAAAGTAGTCACTATGGTGGTGTTGGTAGTGGCGGGCGCTACTACGGGCGTGTATGGGCCCACGGGCTTGACGCCGCCCACCGCCTCCTGGTATGATGGCGGCGCCGAAGGTGGCGGCACATAGGTGAACTGCGGCGGAGCACTGCCCGGTTTACTCATTATGGCTTAGGCTTAGGCTGGCGTTACTAAATGCACTTGACGGTTAAGTTGAGGCTGGAAATAAAAAAAAAAATGTTTTATTTTATTATTATTCATATTTTATTTATTTAATTTTTATTATGTATAGGGTTCACACTTCACTCATTTAAGCTTTATTATCAGCACAAATTATAATTCAAATTAAAGGGAATTCTCCGACTGGAAAAACACCGCATGGTTCATACTTATGAATATTAATCGTTCATTAATTCCGCTACAATGAATATCTTTCAACTGTTTTGTTTTGATTTGAATAAATAAATATTTATTATCCTGACGCTACAAGTATAACACTTTTACATTACTGCGGCAGTCACAAAACGATTAACATTACAAATTAATAAAAACTCCTTAATATAAACATGATTTTATATATTCATATTTTATATTATGATGAAATGTATATTTATTTGTATGATTTTTAAAGAATTTAAAACCGTTAACCTGAAAAATAGGTTTAATTTTACACAAAAAAAAACTGTTCAGAAAGGTAAACAACCAGCAGCGAGTGGATTTGATTTAAAAAACGTTGGCTGAAAATAGCACAGAGCCCAATGGCCAGCGTCCACGGCGCTTTTATGTGACTCACATCCACTATGTTCTTTTCTTTTTGGTTTTGGCACGCATCCGAATCTTTTAGAGAACGAAGCGCGATTGCGATTCTCTAGAGATTCATCAAAACATGCTCCAAATAGTTGCAAATCAAGTCAGTACACTCAAAGGAAATTGAGACTATTTTAAATGAAATGGGTTAGAGTTATAGGAGCATATGAAAATATAAACACTTAATACTTAATGACGACCCTTTAAAAATATTTTTAAAGTATGCTCGACTTCTGAATAATTCTTAGAGTTTCCCTCAGTGTATTTTCATTTACATAAATGAGGGGCAGAGCTCAATAATGTGATGGCGGTCACATGGCAATTAGCAATTGAAATTCCAACGAGGGAGTGGAGTACACAGTTCTTCCATCTAACCAATTGGGAGCAACAATCGGAGTTTGTCGCTGGCTTTGTGACTGGAAGCTCTGCGATAAGATATGTGGAAATGGTTTTAACTTGAATATATTTCGACAATTAAACCAGATTGACTGTTTCCATTGACTCATCGGGATGGACAATGACCTGCCCCTCATCCGAACTGCGCCAACTTTCACCATTCACTCGTTCAGGGAGGCGATGATTGCGCTTGCATACAACTTGCTGCTCCATGCGGCGATATCCATAAGTTGCAGGCGGAAGTGCGGAGAACCAGATGCTGGTCTCTCGACTTGGCCAGAACGCCAACAACAAGCGGCTGAAAAGCAGCTGCACTTGGCGGAAATAACTACAGATAGAACACCACAGATACGAGATGCCAAGTGGGCGCTCCCAATGAATCAACTTTGATTCGGTTTTTACTCGTTCAAAGCAAAAGCGCTAATGGAATTAGCATCTGGACGAAGTTTTTCTTAATTTCCACCACTTGACAGACTAATTTTACGCGTAATATATTATTAACGAAATATTATCCATTCTATGTTTCTGCAACCGCAGAGCTTACGTCAGGCGACAAGACTCTGTGCGCGCCTTCATTGTATCTCAAAGCTTGGAAATCTGAATCTTAGCTTGGGAAATGCGATAGCTTTGAGTATTGCTAGGTCTAGCTGAAGTATTTAAATCGTATATCTTGCCACGACGCCATTAACTAACTCACTTAGGCAGCTAAAATGTATTATTTATTTATTTATTCCTAGTGCGACAAGTATCTTATCTATTTTTGGGGTATATTAAGCTAAAGAACGTACTGCAATTTGTTTTGGAAAAGCTTGCGAAAATGTAAACAATTGCACAAATACCCTATCTTATCTGAAGGAAAGCTATGCCAAACAACATCCTAAACTGATCCAGCAAGCTAAAAAATATTTAAATATATTGTTTAACAACTCTCTTCGCCCTAAAACTGATATCACCCTCTGAAAGGGTATAATAAATTAGAATTCAGCTGTGTATGTGAGTAGCGCACAAGGTCTGTCTGCCTGCCTGCCAAAGCTTCTTTCAATCATAAGAGATTTGAAACAAACAAAAAAAATAATAATAATAAAGCGCCTTAATATGTATTTAATTTTAGCATTTGTGTTAATTTTCAGACAGCGAATGGGAATATGTAAATGCCAAGTGAATCAAGTTTTAATCCCGGAGGGTGTTATTTATTTGCCAAATACCACCAAATGGTCGTAAACACAATTAGATAAACCAGAAAAAAAAATAATTGAAGACATTTCATGGCAAATTGAAGGAAAATGTAATGGAAATTGCTTGAAAATTGCTTACAATTACTGGAATTCCAATGGAATGTTTATAATGCTGTTGTTTTCGTTCGAAAAGCTCTGCTGACCTATGGCCTTTTATAAGTCTCAGAAAATACAAACATAAAAATACACATTATTATTTAAAACAACTGATAATGAAAAATTTAGTATTTAATGGTTTATTCTGTAATTGGAATACGCAATTTTTAAGTTCTTTGTAGAAAAATACTTTGTAAAAAACGAAAAAAAGAAACAAAACTAAGTTCAGGAAGCCGAAAATTGTATACCCTGGCTGTTTGCCAAAGGATCCACGCATCGAATCATAAATCAAGCATAACTCTTCCAAAAATGCTTTAAATTCAATTTGGAAAGCTGTTCTTTGCTAGTTTTTAATAGGTTAACAAATCTGTATACTAAGTTTTAAATTTTAAGAAAACAAAATTTTTTGTAATTTTGAGAATTTTAACGATGTAACCCCTTATAAAATTTTCAAAAATTAAAAAAAAAAATTTTTTTAGCTGCCATGCTAGATTGACTCTCCTGTTGATGCTGATCAAGAATATATATGATTTATAGGGTCGGAAATGACTCCTTTACTGTTCAGAAAGCTTTTTACTGAAATAATGATACCCTGCAAAGTACTGTATAACACTGTAGATAAAATATGCATAACCTATGCAGTTCATGGCTAAAGTACGCTGGAACTAGGAAAGTATTATATTAAACTTGCGAAATAGGTCCCAGGTGGGTATTTTCAAGAATGCTTATCCCTGTGCGACCTTGGAGCCGCCCCTTTGAACTGCTTTCTGGAAACAGAACCTGCCCGACATCTCTCATAACGGTGATGATGATGTTTCCAATGATGTGTACATCGCGTGTGCTCTGTGTGCTTGTGTGTGTAATAATCTTCACACCAGATGTTTTTTGGCCGATGCCACAGATGACGTAGTCGCGCCAAAAATAGACGGCGCTCGTGGGCGGGAAGGACGCTCGCGGGGGCGGATGGTGGGGGGACAACAACAAGAGCAGAGGTGTGATGGCGGTTTACAGGTGTGTGTGTGTGTTAGTTAGTCCAAATGAGGCTGCGTCGTGTCGCAATTGTTGATTTCGCAATGAAACCCTTGCACTTTTGAGTTCACTTTACACTTTAAGGACACACCATTCACCACAGTCACAAATACACGCAAACCGAACCAACAGCCAACAGCCAATTTAATTTGCGCTAATTTTTAATGGATATTTTTGTTCGCAACCGCACATGCACACGCACACAGCTACACATACACAGGTATTATATCGTTGAGAAAGATAATTAGATTTATCTAGCCAAGACCGTCGTTTTTCTTTTAGCTGCCCTTTTTTAGGCGTTTTTACGGCCTTGATACACCTGCGCACAGAAATTCTTGTGAAAGCGAGATCGTTACCTCGAATATTTTGAGCGAGAGCGAAACGATTTAATAATAATATAATAATTTTGAGTGTGACCGTGCTCAGTTAGTCTCAAAACGCCCCTAACTGTTTTTACACCAATCGATATATTGCTCCAGATGTATTATCGACAGCGCTAAACAATAATGGCCATCTCCAATAGCAACAAATCAAAATTTACCCCGGAAATTCGGGAATTACTGCCCATCCGAGAGCACAGGTGCGAAAGATGCCCCAATTTGGTGTTCGGCAACCAGAGCCACTACCAGCTGCACCTGCGCCAGCGCCACAAAGTGGTCATACCGCCGGAGCCAAGCGGAAAAGTTACCGAATTCCATTGTCCCGTGGAGAAGTGCATCTATCATGAGGCCACCAAAGGATCACGCAGCTTTAGCAGCCTGCGCCTGCTGCGTCAGCACTACCAGAAGAGCCATCTGGACAAGAAGTACAAATGCGAGGAGTGTGGCGAGAAGTTCCTGCTGCAGCGGCACCTGGAGAAGCACCAATGCTCCGAACACAAGTGTCCCGTCTGCGAGCTGACCTACAACAGCAAGGCGGGTCTGAGAACGCACATGCGACGCAAGAACCATATCTTGGAGGAGGAGGAATCGGAGAAGGTAGCCATACCCTCGTTGGCCACATGGAAGAAGCTGAATCCGCAGCCTGATATGCTTCTCGTGGAGACCCAAATCCCACTTGCAACAGAGATGAGTATTGAGCCTCAGGTGGAGCAGCCAGAAGAGCAAATTCTTTGCTTCCTGCCCATCGTGGACGTTGAGTACTCGAATATGCAGCTGCAGTCACAGAAACTGGACATGGAGACGCAAACGGAGGAGATTGATGACCTGGAGGAAATCAAGAACGAGGTACTGGCGCCCTTGCTGCGAGATATCCAAACCCAAACACCCGATACCCGCGGCGATATAGGAACAATGACGGATGACTTTCCTGATGAGCTGCAGCCGGTGGAAGAGCAGCATCATCAACAGCAGGAGCAGCCAACCGCAGTCCCAGTTGAGAGTAGTTTTGAGCCTCTTTTTGGCTTGCAAACATCTGCCCACATGTACACCCAGACCTGTGACGAGCTCTTCGAGGAGCTGGGGCTGTCGCACATTCAAACCCAAACCCACTGGCCGGATGGCCTTTACAATACGCAGCACACGCAGACCTGTGACGAGATGCTGGATGAACTAGAGTTCCTGGAGAACTTTCAGTCGACGTACACGCAAACCAAGTGGCTGGACTGGCAAGAGAATGGAGAGCAAGGCAGTTAGACACGAAAATATATTTAATTCATAATGAAATTACAAAAATAAGTAATACATTTGCTATAAAGCCATTGATAATACAAAAGGTTTTTGTAAAAATAAGTCACTGTTTTGTTCATTAATCCTAGGCAGACTTTGTGGCGAGGTCAGTCGGTTTTTGTCTGCTCCTACTTGGCCAGGAGCAGCTCGGAGCATTGGAAAAAACAGTAGCTGCAGAAGCACAAGGCCATATAATTACCCAAGCCGCTGAGGTAAGCCCCGCGCATCAAAAAGTCACCAATCTCCTGTCCGCCAATAAAGTAGACATTGGAGAAGGCGGCGGGTATAAAAAGTTGGGTGGCCAAAAGGGCATAGAGCCTCTGGGAGCCCACTTCACCCAGATACCGCTGTGTCCAACGCTGATACCCCGGCATGGATATCAGCGCCTTAAAGAGCTTCTCCGCAGCCAGGCAGAGGAAGTTAAGTATACTCCAGATGAGCACGTAGGTGTAGCAACCATGCCACACGAACACAAAGGCAAAGGTCAAGGCGGTGGCTCCCAGCTTGGCCGCTGGCGAGGAACGCCGGGTGCACAGCTCGGCGTAGATGTGCTGGAAAAGGAATTCGTAGAGTCCCTCATCGAAGTACTTCCACATGTCCGAGTAGAAGTGGATGCGGCCTATGCAGCGTGGTCTCTTCGGAGCCGGAATCCCATCCTGCCGGGCAAAGGCAATCCCCAAGCCGTAGGTGATCACATAGTACAGAAAGAAGAACTGGCCCATGAAGTAGCCGGCGGAGTGTTGCCAGAACACCGAGTCCATCAGCTCCACCATGTGCACGTCCCGCGACATGTAGTGTATATAGAAGTAGTGGAGGGCGCACTGCATCACCAGCCACCAGAACGCACTTCGCAGCACCCCGCCAGCAAAGCCCAGCCAGTCCTGCTGGTCATTCCTTTGCCTGTGGGAGAATCTTTGGTAGCTGATAATGGGTCCATAGGTCAGACAGGGAAAGTACAAGGCATAGCCCAGGTACTGGATGAGGCTGTAGCGCTCCTGGTGATCCTTCTGAGCTGCTATCTTGGTGAGTGCATAGCTGCAGCCTCGCAGCAGGCTCCACGACATGGTGATTATGACCAGGACGTACTCCGAGTAGCCCACACGATCTGTCCACCAGGCATTCTTCTGCATTAAGTTAATGCACAGTATCCAGCCTACGGACAAGAGCCACACTGTGAGCTTGGAGCTGGCCAGGGACACCAGGTAGTAGCTACCAATCAGCAGAGCTAGAACCAAACCCGATGTCCAGTCGATGTTAAAGCCCAGGGCCAAGGCAGACACCACGGCGAAGCCCTGACACTGAAACCGGGGCCACTTCCAACGTATAACTCCCTGAACGACGGCATGGAGTAGGTAGAATGGCCAGAATTTGGCTATGAAGTCTCCAAAGTTCTCTAGTTCGTCGTTGCTGTCATCACGCCGGCGCTCGGCGATGGGATAGAGGCTCCAGCCCTTGGGGAACTGGTACTTGGCCTTTGCAGCTATCTGATCCCGCAGGCCATAGATCTTGCTTAGGCCAATCGCTATATAGGCAATGTAGACGCCAAAATAGACCACTATTTCGCACCGGCTCAGCAGCGATCGCTGCTTAATTTTGGACATTTCTGGACCACCGGACGACTCGGGCACTTCATTCCGGGGGTAAAGATTGTGCTAGAGATGACATACATGTGAAAATATATCGATATAATTTGAAAAATTGCGGGAGAAGGAAAGAATCAATAGAAAAAAGAATCTTATTATCTTAACCTTCAGGAAATTGGTTAAAACAAGAACAAAAACAACCCTAGTTTGGTTTTATTAATTTATTCACAATTATCTAATTATGAAGATGCGAACAGTGGGGCATGCTAATGGTATCTACAAGTAGAGCTATTTCTAAGTAACTACGTCTATTGTAGCTTCTGCTCCGCTATTATTACTGTCATATTGGTTAAGTCAAAGGATTAAAGAACTCGAGCTTTTCTTTTGAAGGACGATGGATATTGATGGGAGAACGCATTCACTTAAAACGCTTAACCTATAGCTCCTTACGGGTGTAGCTTATCAGAGAATCGGTGGCGATATTCTCCCTCTAGTTTAGCACGTCATCGTACTCGTCATGCAGTTCCTTCTTCACCTTCCGATCCTGGTTCGACATCCGTCGCTGCAGATGTCGCCAGAGCGTGCTCTTGGGGATCTCAAACAAATTGGCTGCGTGGTTTTGCGACATGCCCTCGTTGATGCAGGCATGGACCGCCTTGGCTAGCTTGTCGCGCAGCTCGTCCTTTGGTGTCGAGTCCCGACGGCGGCAGGCCACAAAATTTGGCAGGCGGCCCTGGGCCGATAGACGGACCTTGTGACGGTGCAGAGTGGACATTGGTATGCGGAGATCCTGGCTAATGTTCTTCAACGAGTCGCCGTTCTTCAGACGCTCGTAAGCCTCCAGAAGCGCTGGCCTTTCGCGATTACTCCGCATATAGGCGGGATTGGTGCGCACGCGACGCCACAGGACCGTCTTGGAGATGTCAAAGCGGTCGGCAGCCTTTTGCAGGCTCAGTCCCTCGAGGATAACAGCATCCGCTGCTAGATCCAAGGCGTCGTTGATGTCATCCTTTACCTCGCGCTTCAGCGATCCATACTGTTCCTGTCGATGGGGCTTAGGGGGCAGTTGACGCTTGGCGGCCCTTGTATTGTGCGGACGACGTACACGCGACTTTCCGCCGCCGCCCAGCTTACGTGGCTTAATGTCCAGGATGTCCTCCTCGTCCACCAAATCCTCGTGCATGTTGTCATCGTCGTCCATTTCGGCGGCAGCGTTTAGCTCAATTAGAGGATCGGTTGGAGTGTAGTCCTCCTCCATTATCTGTGTGTCTGGCTCTTCGGGCTCGTCGGTGGCATCCTCATCCACATCCTCGTCGCCCAGCTCGGCGTTCTCCTGCGCATTGCCCTGGGTATCTATCTTAGACAAACTCGAGGCGGACTGAGTGATGGTAAAGGTGCCTGTGTTCTCAGTGAGTATAAACTGGCTGCTGTTCGTGTTGCCATCCATGTGCTCGATGGAGTAAGTGATCTTCGGCGCATCATACACGTCTAGGTACTCCAGCGGGCGACTGGGCTCGGCCAGAACTGTGCCCGGCACGGTGACCATCGGGTTCTCGCCCTCTTCCTCCTCCCCCTCGTCCAGCAGCTCGGCCTGGGCGATCTGCAGGCCAGTTATCGACTTGGCCGTCTCCACGGCCAGCGATCCGTTGCCTGCATCAGCACTGGGCGGACTCACGGTGGGATTGCACTCAAAACTGATGGCAGACTTAATGCCCAGAAGGTTGATGGCCTCGAGGAACTCGGACAGGGAGGTGGACGACAGACTCGTCTCGCCCATGTAGATGAACGACATCATACTCTCAAGCAGCTCGCCGCGTATGTCGGGCAGAATGATGGTGGCCTCCTGACCCGGCGGCACGTCCACCAGGATGTTCCGCATCAGGTCGCTGCAGGTGCTTAGCACGAAGAGATGGGCGCGTACCCGGGTGCCGTCCCTGGAGGCCAGGACCACCTCGCAGGTCTGATTGTCATTGCGCAGCGAACGCTGTATCTCCATGAGCGTGGTGGAGTGGCCCATCCACTTCAGATGATTCTGCAAAGTGTTTCCAAGGCCTTGAGTGCACCCGATCTCGGGGAGAACAATTCCGCGTTCCACTTACCATTTTGTTGTGTTTTGTTTTCCCAATTGATTTCCACAGTTCTCTTAAAGTTCGATTCACGCAATTCCAAACGCGACGCGAGGCTAGAATGGCACTGAAACAGGGTTGTCGAGTGCTCGTGGGGTTTTGGTATATTTTTTTCCTATTAGTATAAAGTTAATGGATTTGAATATTTATTTTATAATTAAATAAAGGTTTGTTTAAAACAAAATATTTGAGAAAGAATAATTAAAATTTTTTATGCATGACAATTTGTAACCAGATTTTTTTTTATATAATTATATTTATTAATTTTAAAGCCTGATAATTTTTGGTATTTTTGATGCACTAAAATTTCAACCAGGGTCCCAAATGCGTTCTATAATCACGTTCCGCCAGCCCTGGCAGGCACAACAACAACTCTATTGACATTTTGGCATTACATAAATTGTCAAAAACGAAGTGCAAATTGTTGAATTTCTATTAAACAATTCGTACGAATGGCGGCCTTAATCAGAAATCTGGGTGCCCGGGCCGCTGTTGCCGCTCTGACGGCCAAGCACGGTGGGTAAACCTCGTCGATCCAGAGCTTCAATTGATTTTTTCTTAACCCCCCCAAAAATTTAGTGGTGCCCGCTGCAGGCTCAGCTGCTCTGCGAATGTCCAGCACAGCTCCTGTGGATACCAAGAAGGCGGATAAGCGTAAGTACCGGTTACACTACCTCCTGGAGTTCTCTACATCTCCGATTTCCTTCCCCGACAGCCACTGTCCGCAAGCCAGATGCCGCCGCCCGCACTAGTCTCTCGGATTTCGGGCGCTATGTGGCCGAGTGCCTGCCCAAGTACGTGCAGAAGGTCCAACTGACCGCCGGCGATGAGCTGGAGGTGCTGATCGCTCCGGAGGGCGTGGTGCCGGTGCTGCAGTTCCTCAAGGACCATCACCAGGCCCAGTTCACCAACTTGGTGGATATTGCCGGCGTGGATGTGCCCTGCCGCAAGCACCGCTTCGAGGTGGTCTACAATCTTCTCTCGCTGCGCTACAACTCGCGCGTCCGCGTCAAGACCTACACCGACGAGCTGACACCACTGGACTCTGCCTGCGAGGTGCACAAGGCAGCCAACTGGTACGAACGCGAGATCTGGGACATGTACGGCGTGTTCTTTGCCAACCATCCCGACTTGCGTCGCATCCTCACCGATTATGGCTTCGAAGGACATCCCCAGCGCCGCGACTTTCCGCTTTCCGGCTATGTGGAGCTGCGCTACGATGACGAGAAGAAGCGCGTCGTCTGTGAGCCGCTCGAGTTGGCCCAGGAGTTCAGGAAGTTTGACTTGTCGGCACCCTGGGAGCAGTTCCCCAACTTCCGCAACGCTAATCCCCCATCCGAGGTGGTGCCTCAACAGCCGGCTCCGGCCAAGAAGTAAGCCCGCGACACTTATGCTTCGTTAACTGGTAATTAGATCAATAAAAGGAGGTACGAGATATGTTATTGCCCAAAACAAAAGTGTATTTATTGATATTTTACTCGGTTTTATTTTTCATTAAGCTCAATTTCCACTTTTTTAAATCACATAAACATTAATATTAATGATAAACGAGGACAGAGTGTGCGGGTAAGGGGCTTTCCTTCTGAAGTTTTTTTTTTTTTTTTTTTTATCAGGAAGATGTAATAATTTTTCAGAATTAAATTTCTTTAGTTAAAGATTTAAATTGATCGTAAAATAAAATTTGTTGTAATAAATTAGAAGCCAAGTTAGAATGTTGTGAACCCATTAGGAAAAAAAACTTCTTTTTTGAGACAAATATATTTGATATTTCAGGTTGCTTTCTCGATGTAAAGTTGCAAGTGAATTTAATTGGCTTCAAGTGAATTTATAGAGGCTTTAAAAATATAAAAATAAATATTATATATATTTAAGTGGTAGTCTTATATATTTTTAGAATTTTTCCAAATAAGTTTCATTTCTTTTTGCATTATTAAAACCATTTAAATATTTTATATACATATTTTCAAAAGTAAAAGGATAATAATAATTTCAAAAATAAGTTACGATTTCTTGCATTATTTACCATTTAACCAGACATTCCTTAAATGTTTTAAAAACTAAAATCAGATGTTTCTTCCATTAAATCCATTCGATTTGCTTCTTTCGTCGTCACAAGCATTTATTTTATTTCGTTATCGTTTACAATATATAGTACTTTACACTCAGAGTTAGACCAGCCCCGAGAACCCGATCCAGGGGATCGATGATCCCTATGCGCCTGTCCCATATATCATTTATATGTTACATATAAAACATTTAGTAAAACAATTGTAGTTTCTTGTGGGCCTCTTGACAATTCGTGCGCCTGCGCAGCGGTGCCCGGCAAAATGGTGCTGGGACGTACTTAAGTATAGACCGAGGTCGGGTCGGATTTGGGTGAGGATTAGTTGTTGTTGTAGTCGTAGTTGTACTTGGTGAAAACCTAATCGTAATTCGAGCTTCAGAAGTCGCACCGCTTGGCTGCTGCACCGCCGTCAACGTTATTTTCTTTAATTGTATTTTTTTATGATTTTTTTTTAGTTTGTTTCGTTTTGTTTTGTTTTTTTTTTTTCTTTTTTTTGTACAATAACATACACATATACATATAGGTACATACACATATAAACATAGTTTTACATTTAGCGATTCTACAAAAAAGTCGAGCTACTCCGCGGAGTAGCTCCCAAAGTTTTCTTTTCTTTTTTGCGTACTCTTGGGCACGTCTCAAAAAACAAATCTCCGGCTTTGCATCTTTGCTCCGCCCTTGCCAGTTTCTGTGCTCCTGGATGTCTCCAGGATGCACAGACTGGACAACAAATGAAAATTTCGATGCAGGTTTGATTGATCCCTCGATCAATCGCTCTTCCTGCTGACAAAAAAACAAATTCCACAGACAGCCGACCGCTTATCCGGGTGATCCTTAGGCTTAGGGTCATCCCCTTGGCGGCCGTCCTGCCACAAATACAAATGTGCGGGCTCCAGCTCCTGATGTTGATTATATCGATTCCGTTTTGGTATAAGGCCGAGCCGAGCCCGTTCCACTGCTGCCTGAAACATACGGCGATGCCTTGCCACTGCTACTGCTGGCCGAACCCGATCCCGTGCTGCTGCTGAGCAATTGATTCTCCCCGGATCCTGCCGCTCCGCTTGAACTCGCCGCCGCTGCGGCCGTCTCATTGTCGAGCCGCGCATGGTACTCCTGGAAGCACGGCACAATGCATAAATTCGTCTGGCATTCGGGGCAATGGTATTTCGTTTTGCGTCGCAAAATTCGGCCATGCCCATCGATGGTATTCCAGCAGAAGTTGCAGCCCAGCGCCGGACCCGGCCGGATGACAGGACAATGACTAGAACGCGGATTCTCCAGGGTAATGATCTCCCGTTGGGTCTACCAAAAAATAAAAAGGGTCAGGATGAGTCTTTAACTTCAGTAACATGGAATCCTAAGAGAAACTCACCTGCGGAGATGACACCGATCGCTGCAGCTCCTCGTTCTTGACGCGCAGCGTGGGCAAATGCTCGAATGAACTGCTCATCGTGGCCTGGCCGGGATGTAGATGACTGCCACTCATGGAGCCCGAGGCGGATTTGGAATTGCGCAGCCTCGACCCCCCGCCACCACCGCCCCCATTGGCGGCCTCTCCCTTATTCCGCTCCACAATCTGTATTCGTGCAATGGTCGGCGAGTGTGGGGATCTTCGCTCTGGAGCTCCTCCTTCCGAGCCACCCGCGTAGGTAGGGGAAAAGGACTGCCGACTGCCGCCACTGCTGCTATTATGAAGTCCAGAAGTGGGTGAGGTAACCACGGACACGGCAGCTGCCACCGCCGACGAGGAGCCAGGACTGGCATTCGTGGGTGTGGCCGCCGTTTCGCTGGACACCGCCGGACAGGCTACCACTCTTGTGGGTACCAGGTACTGCGAGGAGCCGGCCGGTGGCGGTGAACCCGAGGCGTAGATGGACTCGGGCAGCGAAATGTGGTGCGGATGGTGGAGTGTCGCCGGTGGTACATAGCTGGCACTGCTCCCCGACAGCGGATGCGAGTATTGGCGGTGCAGCGGAGCATACGGATTTGTGCCAGTGATTCCAGAGCTGGAGCCGGCTATGTGCAGGGTGGACTGGCGGGGCAGCAGCGGATCCGAGTGCTGCTTGATGAGATACGGAGTGCTGGACGGCACGCTGAGCAGGTGTGGCGTGGTGGAGCCCAGGCTGGGCGCTGGCTCCGAGGCATGACGCTCGATCCGCGGCGGCACCGTCAGCAGATGATGGTGATGGTGCTGCTGCTGGTGTGCCGGCGGCTGGTGCTGGTGCAGATGGTGCGATCCCGTGGTGGAATAATCCCTGGCCGTCACACTCGTGGCAGCTCCCGCAGCATTAAATGGATCAAAGTCCAGGGTGGTGGCCGCCGTGTCCGGGGATATTTGGTTCGTAGACGAGATGCTGTCGCTGTCCCGCTTCACCCTCGGCTGGCGGGTGAGCACCCGGTTGCGTTTCGTGCCCATCACCACCGGCGAACTAGGCGTGGCGTCCGGATCGCAATTGTCGCCGCTGCCAACGCCACCGATGCTGAAGGAACGCTCAAAGCTGCCGCTGCCACCGCTGCTGCTGCTGGTGGCAGCCGCCAATGGCGGATGTGACGGATGAGGAGCATGTGCTGGACTCGGTTCTGCAAGAGATTGGGATTGAATTGTAAATTAGAGATTGATTGTTGAAGAAGGTATTCCTGGGCACGGCTATTACTTGGTTTCAGGAGGGCTTTCGGTATACTAGTAGGTTCTCAGAGTTTTTTCTGGATTTTCTGGATTCCCAAGACTAAACCCCTTCCTTTATAATTAATAATTCTTTATTTACAGCTTTCAAATTATTTTTAAGCATCGAATTCGATTTAAAACCCATTATTTTGTAAGCCCTTAAACCTCCCAAGACTGAACCCTTTTCCGTATGAATTTTCCTTTACACAAGTAGCAACCGTGCATTTTTCTAGATTTTCTTTTGTAGAGAAAAGACTTGTGAAAATGAAGTGAAGAGAGGAAAGCAGGGTGGTGGTGGAGTTACGTTGTAGTTTTGAAAGTTTATTCGTTTCGTTTGCACATCGAACTACAGTCTAGAATGTTCGTTCCATCTCGACGATATTCGTCTTGGGGCTCGCATTACGCATTACGGTTTTAGTTGGTATTTTACATGCAACTTATATTACAATCGGTTCGTTTATATGCACTTGCGCTGATTTTAAATAATTTATATATATATTTAACACACATAACTCTAGCGTAGTTATTGGTACTTTTTGCAATTGTAGGAAACAGAGTTAGTTAATATATTTGCTTATTGTTTTTTTCTTTTATTTTTGTTTTCTTTGCTATTTTCGCGTTGTTTCTGTGTCTGTGTGGATCTGTGGACACCCAGAATAGGGGGGACCCTGGGACCTGGTCATGTCATTGTCATCCTTCGTGGTATCGTTTGGTATGTGTGTGTTTGTGGGCGAGTGAGTGTGTGTATTAAAAGTCCATTATCAAAGTTTACGTTACTCTATGACTTCTAACAAATCACGCTTAGTCCTTAGTATGCCTTGACACAATATATATAAAAAGTTCTCTATTTAGTTACAATATTGTATATGGATTTGTATTAAAAACACACACACGCACTATTCGTAATGGTTATCGTATCCGTTTCTGTGTTTTGGTTTCTTCTATTTATTTTTTTGCCTTTAGCTGCAGTCTCCGTTTAGGATTTTTGGGTGGTTACGAGTGTTATCTTTAAGTTTCGATTCTGTATCTTCTTCTGGTAATCCGATTACGCCTCGTCTATATATGTACATGGCTAATATATGTACAAAGTAATCGGTTAAATAAACAAATCAAGATGCCCCTCTAGGATATGTTGTTTGAATTTCGGTAACAAAAGGAAAAGTATGAATATAAAAACCAAAAACCCGTTGAAAAACTAATCTAGAAGTTAGTGGAATTTTGTATAGATTCACAGATACATAAATATATATACATTACATATTGCATCGATACATATATAATATATCATACATGGCTCCTCTTCCCATCTTAGTCTATTGTGGTTTCCCTTTATACTCTCTCTGATCATGATTACTCGATGTTTTTCAAATGTGTTTATTGCTCCACTGTACAGAGAACTTCTCCTGGGAGGAGTACCCCCTTTAGATACTGATATATTTGCTATTGTAACACAAGTGCAGAAGAAGGAGAAACTTATTTCTGAGGCGCCAGAAGGTCCTGCATATACAACAGAGCTCGTAGGACTGGCTCAACCGCTTTGATCACTCTTCTCTTGCAGAGCTACCGACTAGAAACATAATAGGGCTCCAGTTCTCTTTGTTTCTAAGAGAGACGAAATTCAAACATTTTTTAAAGAGAGAGTATGCTGCGAGTGCAAGAGAGAAATGAAAAAAAGCCCCTTCATACCGGGCTTAAGAGAGAATAGGTGAATAGAAGAGGCCAATCTACGATGCTTCTTTGATACCCTTTTCAACGTGAACCAAACCTTACGAGCTCTCTGGTATAAAATGAAATCAAAATTTAATTTAGAGTTCTATAGTTGCCAATGAAATTACACGGGTTCTTATTTAATTAAAATTACAGTTTGAATTTTTGGTTTCGTCCATTGCTTGATTGGATTATGGAACAGATATTCCGCAAGGTTTGATTCCGGCACCACGTTTTGGCTGCAGTTCGCTTTACAAATCATTATGTTGCATGCTTCGGATTAACACTAATATAAAATTGTATAATTTATGTACATTTACAATATTCTTTTACACGTAATATAGCTAAATATATATTCATATATATATATATCGAAGATCTGTACTACCGATTTTGCTTAGTTAACAATCGTAAAAATGTAGGGTTCAAAAACTTTAAGCTTAAAAGGAATTAAGTTCTAAGAAAATTATTACAAGTGCGGCCGGTTCGCCTTCATTCCTTTCCCTTCCGTATCCTCTGATCCTGCTCCGCTTAGCTCAGCTCAGCTCGGCGCAGGTATCCTTTATCCTTTATATCGGATCCTCGCCGACATTATCCTATTGCCACTCTGCCACTCGGTAAAAGCGGTCCGCTATGTACACTATATTTGCTGCCGTTTGCTCTAATACCTGTATATCGATCGATTATGGGGGGTGGTGCCAGGTGTCAGGTGCCAAGGCCAGGCTTACGACTTCTCCAAGTACTGGAGGCCTGCGCTGCCACCGCTGCTCATCGTTGTCGGTGCGGCCACCGTCACAAAGTTGTTGATGAGAAAGCTGTGGGCCATGCCCATGGGCATGGAGACGGGCATGGCTGATATGCTGAGGGGTTCCGTCGTCGTTCCTGGTCCTCCTGCTGGTTCGCTGGCAGCCATCACGGCGGCTGCCTGCAGCAGAGTGGCCGTTCCCGCCGCCTGGCTCGAAATCATCGTATTCTATATCGAGTTAAAGTTAATACTCTGTAGATTCATGGCGGTGGTTGGATTGACATTGATAGTGCCGGCACCCGTTCCCGCACCAGTGCCCGCCCCGCCGCCGGTGGCATCGATGTACCGCTGCCTCGACATCGAGTGCACATTACCCGGCGAGTCCATGTAACGCGGATCGAATAAACTCATAACACCAATAGCCGGATGCGAGTTGCCTGCACCTGGCAGACTTCCAGCTCCACTGCCACCGCCGCCAATGCCCGCGTGATGCGGTGTGCACATGAGGGAGGACGGCGTCGGTGTCTCCGCCTGCGGTGGTATCTGCATGCTAAGCGTTTCGGTGGTATCATCGCCGGGATTCGTCGATGGAGTGGGCGAAGGCGACAGATTCGGCTCCTGCTTGACCACGCGGGCCTTAATGCTCGGCCGCGACACCGGATAGCCACGCTTCTTGTACTCCAGCCACAATGTCCGATTGTTGACGCCATACAGCCGGGCAGCCTTGCAGAAACCAATGCCTCCCGTTCGCACCGCCTCCAGGGCACGGATAAAATTCTCATCGCCCTGCGGATTCACAGATCTTTTGCGCTTCACCACTTGATTGGCTCCCGCTCCCGTGGCGTTGCCGTTGCCAGCATTGGCATTGCCTGCATTACCGCCGCCGCCGGCTGCACCCGTTCCGCACCGTACCGGCGATTGGGTGGGCGTCGGTCCTTGGCTATACACCGATTGCACCATATTTGATTCGTTGGGCGAGGTGGGGGATAGGTTCTGGGCTGCCGTCGCATAGCCACTGACTAGGTTGTTCACGGTGATGATCTGCGACGAATAGGTCTGGCCAGAGGCTGCGGCAGCAGCAGCGGCGGCAGCTGCGGCGGCCTGCTCCTGCTGCTGTTGCTGGTAGTGCAGCTGCTGCAGATGCTGCTGCTGCTGTGTGGCTACCTGCTGCTGCTGCTGCTGGGCCTCGTGCTGTTGCTGGCGCTGCTGGTCGCTATTAGCACCGCCGCCAGCGCTATTGGCACCGCCGCTGCTCTGGCTGCCGGCACCGCCGCTGCCACCGCCACCGCCGTTGCCCAGCAAGTTGGCAGACTGGCAGGCGGGCAGGGAGAAGCGCGGATAATTGGAATCGACAACTGTCCATTGCAGACCTGGGAAGGGGAGAGAGAGAGAGACAGCGTATGAAAGATTGGTACTTTGTACTGTTTGCAGTTCGATGAGAGATCGCTCTCCTAGCTCTAGTCTGGGTCTTAGTCTGCGTCTCAGTATCGGTATCGGTATCGGTCTCGGGGGTCAGCTTATAGTTTTGCAGGTCTTAGATAGGTACATAGATAGGCAGTAGTAGTAGTAGAGGAAAGATTGCTAAGGCTAAATCATTATCATTGGAAACCGCTGTTCTTTGAAAATTCCCACAAAATAATTACAAGAAGAACTAAAAACAAAAAACGCAAAAGTGAACGCAAATCGTAAAATAAAATCAAAGGCTTTAGGTTCTTGGAAGTTTTTGTTTTTTTGTTTTGGACTCTGTGCTAGCTCTCTCCCATTCCCAAGTTCAGGCATTCAGGTTTCTGTTTTTTCAGTTGGTTTTTTGGAATACAATACACAATAAATAGTTGTTAAACATAGAAAATGTTCGGCACTTTTACAAATATTTGCACATTTCATTGCACTTAGTCGGTAAGAAATCGGTAAGATTGGTAATAATATCGGTATTATGCCAAGTTCTCATATATATTTAGCTTTAGCATTCATTTCTCCAAGCGCTGTGTACTGAAATTTGTTTCGAAATGGCACCGTTCGTGTGTGAGCGATATATATATTAATGAAGGATATATAATGAAGGATGAGTTCGTGAGCCTATATCGATGTGGGAATCGAGAGTACACACAGAGGGTGTAGATTGATTCGGATTTATTTGAGAGGTGAGCGGGTGACTGTGAGAGTGCTTAACCCCTGCTTAATCGCACTTATTTTATATATTTTGGATATCGGGTATTTTTTATTTATGTGAGCGATAAATTGATTTTCCATCGATATTTAAATCTATAAAATGAGAGGGGGGTTAAATAGATTTTGTTTTATATAACAGACACATTTTAGTTTTACACATTTTTTAAATATAATCGATTCAAAGAAAATTTAATTAACTTTTATTTTTATTAGTTAAATATTTGTTCTTAATGTTCTTAATAATCCAAATTTTAACATATGAAACTACGATATTTTTGTTTTAAAATTGAGAGCAATATTCTTGTCCCTATATCGTATTTTTTCCCCTCGATATACCTTCTCACCCCTATTTTTTAAGAAAATTCTATACCTATCAATCAATAACCCCAACATTTAGGATGGTTATATTAGGTTTTGACTAAACCGAGGCTAAACAAGACCTGTTGTGTGCTATTTCGTTTTAAAGCTCTCCGAATGGCAAGCTTACTGCACATCCTTCCAAAAATTACACTTTCAAAACCTCCCAGTAGAGTCATCCCTGTGTGCTTGTGGGTTTTTAAAATAAAAATGACAAACGAAATGAAAACAACGATAAAGATCAAGTTATTAGAGCTAATAGAATGAATTCTCCCTACCAGAAATGAGCAATGAGATTTTTGAAATGGTATAAAGGTTTGTGTGTTTTTTTTTGTGTGCGGGCACCGGTAATCTAGCGAGCGACTAAACTTACCCGAGTGAGACGATTGAGAGTTGGGCGCATCGTGCTCCGATGGTGTGGTGGCGCCAGAGATGTCCAGAGGCATCGTTTGATTCACGCCGCCAATATCCACTTCGGGTTTCTGCAGTTAAAGAAAGGTAACATTTAGTTTTGATTGCTCCAATGGGGACAGAGAGGGTGAGGAGGTTAACGTGACCAATTTCATTACAATTTGCATATGTATGTGTCCATGGCCATCGTCCAGATCCGAGTCCTGAGGCTGCTGCTCCAGGTCGGCATTCGCCGATTCCTTTAGCAGCTTGGCCGCGTGCAGCGAATGTCCGGCAAGGCCACCGCCAGCGCCGAAGGACATTTGACTCATCTGGGCGAGACTGAGGCCAGCATTGCCGGTGCCACTGCCCGCGTCCAGAGAGCTGTTGTGGTGCTGCTCCTCGGTATTGTTTCGTTCGCCAGAGCCTGTAAATAAGGTAAAGCATTACTCAATGCTTGCACTCTGGCTAAAAAATAGCAAAAACTTTCGATGACGATGCTTTACCCAATTCCAACTCACCGTTATTCGAGGATTTACGCAGCCGCTTGCGCCTTGTGGCAGGTGATGTGCCGGCGCTCAATGGTGACGGAGTGCGTCGCATTTGATGGTGGTGCGTCTGCCCCGTCTGGGTCTGTCCCTGTTGCTGCTGCTGCTGATGGTGGTGGTGGTGATGATGCTGCTGCGCCTGCGCCTGCTGTTGCGCCGCCTGCTGCTGTGCCGCTTGCTGCTGCGCTTGCTGCTGTGCCGCTTGCTGTTGCGCTTGCTGCTGCAGCTGCTGTTGTTGTTGCTGGTGGTGATGATGCTGCTGCTGCGCCTGCTGTTGCTGCTGCTGGAACTGCTGCGCTTCGCTACTGCTCCAGAGCGAATCGCCGACGCTGCTACTGCCGCTAACCGCTCCCAAGCTGCCAGCCGAGTTCCCGGCTCCTGCACCCACGCCACTGCCGGCACCACCCACCAACTCCGTGCCGTCGCTAGAGGACTTGCTATCAGATTTGGTTAGATTGGCCGGATCCGTGGGCATCTCCGCCAAACCCTTAATCTTCAGCATTTCGGCGGTCTTCAAGATGTGGGGCAGCTGCTCCTGCGACACATTGACCTCGCCATAGTACATAAAATCGACCATAGTTTTCAAGTCATCGTACTGCACGTCCTTGAGGATAACAATGGGATGTTGGCACGGATTTGTGGTGAACAAAGCCTGCGGGGGAAGCAAAGGGATTAGTTATGAGTACTGCGTGCCATGGGATCCCCAAGCTCACCTGAAAGTACGAACTGCATGCGGACAGGACTATTTTGTGCGCCTGCAGTTGCCGTCCCTCGGCGGCCAGCGTGACGTCCACCAAGGTGCCATTGTGCAGAAGGGAGGAACACACCGAGATAAAGTTCGGCTGGTGGTTGTTCCAGCGCAGGCAGAACTGCTGCACCGACATGATTGTGCTGGGTGCTTCTTAGATTCCTCTCTGCCGCTCCTGATCCCGATCTCAATCTGCAACGCTGGCGGCTGACGCCGACGTCGACAGCGACGCCACCTTCTCCTCCTCCGGCGCCTCTGCCTCCTCTATCTGGCGGGGCAGCAATTTAATTCACACTGATAACACTTTTTATCGCCTCCCGTCGTCCGTCGGCGCTTTTTTGCCGCTCTATTGATTTCTTTATATTAATTTTTTTTCCTTTTGTTTTTGTTTTTCTCTTGTTGCTTTTCTTGTTTGTTTTTGGCTTAATTAATATTTATGAGCAGTATTCTTCTTCGGGGGCGCCTTCATAGGTGTGTGAGTGTGTGTATTGTCGGGGGTTCGGGGTTCCAAAGGGGAAGGGTGACGACTTCTATGCCGCACGCATCGCGAGCCACTGCAAAAAAACGAAGGAATGGTATTATGGTGTTGGTGACTCGAAAATAAATCAAACAATTATCGAAATGTGCTCAATGGTTACAGAAATCACTTTGTTGTGCTCTCCGTCGCTCCCGCTCCTTCTGCTGCTGCTCCTGCTCCCTCTCTCGCACTCCCGCTTTCTTCGTTTTCACCGTTTCTTCTGTATCACAGCTGCGCGCTGCTTACAAAAACCACAAACAACAACAGCGGGAGCAACAACAACAACGCTGCGTGTGTATGTAATTATACAGTCGCGAAAACGACGAAACGCACGCACACACAACACACACACACATTTACTCATCCACAGGGGTACTTGTTTTTGTTGCTACTGCTGTGGCTGATGCGCTGGCTCTGGCCAAAGTTTTATTTTTGATAAACCGAGAACGTAACGAAACCGAATAGCTTTGTGTATTAGCGCTGTAGCGCTTTAGACCTTGAATTTTCTTTGATTCTTATGACGTAATTATCACGTCCGCGCCTGGCCCCACTCTAGCCCCCATCCTACTCCACTCTGCCGCCCCTCCACGAACCTCTCTCACTCTCTCACCCACACAGACGACGACAGCCGGCCGACGTACTAATCGCTGCTTCGTTTATTCATCGTATCGATATTTTCAGTGGCATTTATTTATGTGATGTCGCGCGTTATTTTCGTATAGGATAGGCATAAAACTGATACACAAACTGGCGCTCCGCCACATGTTTTTCTTTCACTCGCTTTTCCCTCTGCGCCAGTCTTGTTTATGGGCAAAAAGATTAACTATTTTTTTTGTGGTAGGTTTTTGCTGTTGCATTTTTTTTGCAGAAAGAAAACAGAGAAAAACAAAATGGCGCGCGCCTTTCGAAACATTCGGGAGGAAAACAACACCAAAAAACAGGCGCACTGAACCAATTTTAATTCACTTGGTCGCCGGATCGGTTGCGCTATATGTTTTTCCACTTTTTACATAATTTCCCTCGTTATTTGTTGGCGAAAAATGTAGTTGAAAATTCTTACGTTTTACTTCTTTATTCCTCTATTACTCTGGAAAGCAGTGTGACCAAAGCGCGGAGGACAGAAGATACCAAACGGCTTGAATGATATATACTGAAATATTATAAAATATCAAAATAACAATATATTTTGTATTTTTAAATAAGGGACTTTATTCTTAATATTATTATTATTTTTAAAACTTAAATAATGACATATATATTTGCACAGAACAAAAAATATGGTGAAATTTATTAAAAAGAGTTGTCAGGTTGACATTTGAGAAATATCGATAACAAGACATCTCGTAATATTTTTCGTCGCTTTCTACGATTTTTTTCAAGAAAATCGAAGGTGAAAATACATTAGAAAACAAGGTTTGGATGGTTTAAGGCCAGGAAAAACGGAAAATAAAGAAATAATTAGTAACCATTCCGGCTTTCTGCGCCCCATCCGGCAGCACTGCTGAACCGGTCAACCTTCCTAGCGTTGTGGTAAAATATCGCTGGTCACACTACATTTTCCACTAGCTATAGGAAACAAAACACCGAAAACTTTTTAAAACCATTAGCATTTGATATAGCGTAATGGAAGAACTACGCAAGCATTTATCTTCGGTAAACGTGCCCTGCGGCTCCGGGTCGGGCAGCCCACCGATTTACAAGGATGAGTGCGTCTACTCCTATGACAACCCAGAGACGCCCACCGGCCTGTACGTTTGCCTGCACAGCTTCCTGGGCTTCGGCGAGGCCTATGTGCGTGAGTACGCCAGCAAGACCGGCCACAAGGTCTTCCTCCACATCCGCCGCGTGAAGACTCCCAAGGAGGGTGAGGGCGTCGATGCCGAATGCAATCCAGAGGAGGAGGCGGGGCCGGAACGAAAGATCACCCGGCTAGCCATTGGCGTGGAGGGTGGCTACAATGAGTCAGACATGGCCAAGAAATATGAGATCAAGGACACGTACAGCATTGTTGTAGCCCCCCAGCTGGACAAGAAGCTGCCCTATCCAGATCCCGAGCTGCCCATGCGCGTCACCCAGGCGGTGGAGGCGATTCTGGCCGCAGATTCGGCCATTGCCAAGCTGGAGAAGGCCACTTTGATGGGTGAGTAGTGACTGCGTTGCTTATACATATATATATTATTTACTTATTTCATATAAATAAGCATAGATATTTCTTAAATAAAATTAAGAACAAAGAAAAGTACCTTTTTTTTTGGTTAATAAAAAATGTCAAGTCATCCAGGGCAAAAATATATAAAATATTACAAAAAATTATGAAATAATTATGCAAACTAAGATGAATAATATATTATAATATGTTTTTAAGTTGGTCTTTAAAAATCCAATGAATTTCTTGATTTTTCCTCATGTTTCCCTCTACTTCCTCTCTTTCACCACAGGCACCTGGGATGGTGAAGTGCGCCAGGCATCGAAATATGCCGAGAACTTGCAGCAGCTGGACAATGGCAAGAAGATACCGCCCGCCGGCTGGCAGTGCGAGAAGTGTGATCTGACCAACAACCTCTGGCTGAATCTGACTGATGGCTCCATCATGTGCGGACGCAAGTTCTTCGACGGCAGTGGTGGCAACGACCATGCCGTGGAGCACTATCGCGTCACAGGCTATCCGCTGGCCGTGAAATTGGGTACCATCACTGCTGATGGCAAATCGGATGTGTTCTCATATCCGGAGGATGACATGGTGCTCGATCCACAATTGGAGCGGCATCTGTCCCATTTTGGCATCAACATGGCCGCGATGAAGAAGAGCGAAAAGTCAATGGTGGAGCTGGAACTGGACATCAACCAGCGAATCGGCGAGTGGTCTGCACTGACGGAGAGCGAGAGCGAGCTACAGCCACTGGCCGGACCGGGATACACGGGCATGCGCAACCTCGGCAACTCGTGCTACATCAACAGCGTGATGCAGGTGCTCTTCGTCATACCCGATTTCCTTCAGCGATTCGTGGGCACTGGAGCTGAACGCTACTTCAACGAGTTCCCCAGCGACCCGGCCAATGATTTCAATATCCAAATGGCCAAGCTGGGCACCGGCCTGCAGTCCGGCAAGTACAGCAGCGTAGCGGAGAACACCCTGGATACCGATAACTCCACGGGCATTTCCCCAGCCATGTTCAAGAACATTGTGGGCAAGAACCATCCCGATTTCAGTACCAAACAGCAGCAAGATGCCAACGATTTCTACCTACATTTGCTCACCCTGCTGGACAGGAATTCGCGCAACCAAACCAACCCGGCTGATGCGCTCAAGTTCCTGCTGGAGGATCGTGTTGAGTGTTTGGCCAGTCGCAAGGTGAAGTACAAGACGCGCGAGGAGTACAGCTTCCGGTTGCCCATTCCGCTGGAGAAGGCAACAAACTTGGATGAGGTACGCGAGTACCAGGAGCGAGAGAAGGCGGCACGCGAGTCGGGCCAGCGGCTGGTGGAACGGGACATTGTCAGGCACAAGGTGCCGCTGCAGGCCTGCCTGGAGCGCTTCTTTGCCCCGGAGCTGATCGAGCAGTTCTACTCCACGGCCATCGAAGGCAAGACCAATGCCAGGAAGCTCACTCGTCTCGCTACTATGCCCGATTGCCTGATGATTCACTTGGGCAAGTTCACGTTGGGCGACGACTGGGTGCCCAAGAAGTTGGACGTATCCGTGGACATGCCCGATGAGCTGGATCTGAGCAATTGGCGTTCGGCCGGCGGCCTGCAGGCTGGTGAAGAGGCCCTGCCGGAGGCGGCTACCGAAGAGGTGAAGTTCGCCTTTGACGAGGCCGTCATGTCCGAGCTGCTCACCATGGGCTTCCCAACGGAGGCCTGTAAGCGGGCTTGCTTCCACACGAAGAACAGCGGCTTGGAAGCCGCCTCCAACTGGCTGATGGAGCACATTGCCGACGAGGACATTTCGGAGCCTTTTGTGGTGCCCAATAATCGCATAGGCGACTGTGCCGCCGATCAGTTTGTGGCCAATCCGGAGAGTCTGGCCATGCTGATGAGCATGGGCTTTGACGAGCGGCAGGCTGTGGCAGCCTTGAAGGCCACCGATGGCAATGTGGAGCGTGCCACCGACTGGATCTTCTCGCATGCCGACTCCATCGGCTTTGAGGATGTCCCGCCACCCGTTTCGGCTCCAACTGCTGCGGCCGCGACTAGTTCGGGGCCCAACAAGAGCAACTATCGCGATGGCGGGGGCAAGTATCGCCTGGTGGCCTTCATCTCGCACATGGGCACCTCCGCCCAGGTGGGCCACTATGTCTGTCACATCCGCAAGCAAGGCGAGTGGGTCATCTACAACGACAGCAAGGTGGCCAAGTCACAGAACCCGCCCAAGGATCTTGGTTATCTGTATCTCTACATGCGCGACGAGTAGCCTCTGCCAGCCGCCCGATCTCAGGCCCATCCCATATACGCCAGTCCCCCCAAAAACCTAATATTATGCGCCCTTTAAAAATGGAAATTAAGAAAATAAAATACAAATATATTGTGCTACACAAAGGTTGGTTGTTTTTGGGGATATGACAATGAAGAGGTGATTCATTCATCTCTATAAAACGGAATCTTTCAATTACAGAAATGATTCATGTTCTCATGAAATAGATTCTGCCCTGATGAGCAATTAAAAATTAAATAAAAATACAAATACAAGCTCATACGTTTTAATAAAGTCCGACTTTATTCACGTTTCTTGGCGTCACTCGACTGCTTTGGAATGGTAACCAGCTCCTGGATGATTTCGTTAAGCCGATCGGCAAATGCCTGGAAGGAGAACTTCTGCTGCACTCGCTTATGACCCTGGTCGCCCATCTTTAAGCGGAGGGGTTCATCACGGAATAGCTGGAGCATGGCGGCGCCAAAGCTCTTTTCCTGCTTCTCGCACAGGAAACCCGTCGAGGTGTTCACCACAGTTTCCGTGGGTCCGCCGCTATTCAGAGCCACCACTGGCTTTGAGCAGTACATGCCCTCCAGTGGCACAATGCCAAAGTGCTCATTTTCGGGCGTGTAGAGCAGACAGTGGGCGGCAAAGAGCAGGCGGCATTTCTCCTCATCCGTGGGGGATTGTAGCAACACCACATTATCCTGCAGTTTCAGCTTCTCGGTGAGTTGCTCCAGCTCGGCAAAGTGTTCGACATTCTCCAGGCATCGGGTATCGTAGCCACCGGCGATGATCAGGCGGCAGCGCTTGAAATCCGAAGCGGGCAGCGTATCACCAAGGAGTCTCAGGGAATGCAGGGCCAAGGCATGGTTCTTCTTTCGCTCGTACCTATTGATGTCCAGGTAGATGAAGGCGTTGCGAGGCACGCGCGGATGCACAGGCTGCTGCTCGTCCAGCAGGGCGGCCCGCTGCTCCAGCTTCTTCTCCATCTGATCAAAGTATTGCGTGTGGAGCGAGGGATACAGCACGTCCGGCACAGTGCTCAGCCGCCGAAAAGTGTCCTGGAAGACGCGTAGCGTGAACTTGGAGTTCACCAGCACCTTGTCAGCCAGCCCGATGGTGTGCTCCTCCAGCCAGTTGATGGGCATCCGGTAAAGGCTTTTCAGCATACCCTCCCTGGAGCTAAGCAGCTGATCCGGAAAGTGGCAGTAGAACAGGACACGTGGACGATGTCTGGCCAGTCGCAGAATTGGAATGCACACGGAGATCAGGTCGCAGACCACCACATCCACCTGCTCCCGCTGTGGCATGAAGAAGCTGGCATAGAAGGCGGCATAGAGCATCCTTAAGTAAGCACAAATAGCGTAGAATCTTCCGAAAAGCCTGCGTGGCAGCCAGTCGCCCACGACGTGGACGGGAAAGCTCCCGTCCGCCGTCTCCTTGAAGCAGTGCGTACTGTCATGGTGATTGGTCAGAAAGCTGACCTGGTGACCGCGTTCCTTGAGCGCCAGGGCGGCATCCACCACCAGGCGCTCGGCTCCTCCGATGCCCAAATCAGGATGAAGGAACAGAACGCGAACCATAGCTAGGATCGATCTTGAATACGGGAATTTCTGGAAACAAAATACAGGAACTGGGCACAACCCTCTAAAGTATCCTATAATCAGGATGTTTGCATTCTTTTAAGGTTTTTTCTTGTTAATAACTTTTAAATATTTATATTCTTCAGCTGACTCGCCGAAAGTGTGACCGTAGTCGACTAAAAATGTTAGATTCAAGCACTGGCTGGACTCTTTTCCGTTACATTTTAAATTTAATGTAGTTAATGATAAATTAATTGATTTTTTAAGTTCAAAAATAATTAAATAAATAGATTTTAGAGTGAATTACGAAAAGTATAAATGTATTAAGAGTTTATGCTCTTTGAAAGTTGTATTTATTAATCCAGAACCTCTCAGAACCCTAAGACTTGATAATGAGAATTCATACAAAATCTATTACCCATAATCACTCATTTTAGCTCCGGCTATTATTTATAATTAAAAATTATAATTCCTGCAATCTGCGACAGCCCTGACATGCCCATCCTCCGCCTGGCAACCCTAGAAGCCACTCGCGCAGCTGGCAACCCTAGAACACATGTTGACAGCGCCCGCTTTTGTCGTTTTTTAGCCCCAAATCAACTTTGGTGTTTGCAACGAACGCATTAAATTTTCGTGGAACTGAAGAATCCCAGCCAGAATTTTGATAGTGCAGCAGCAGGTGCTCCCAGTGCTCCACCCACATGTGGCCGACCATTCCGAACCAGCCATAGGCATGCGAGCCGCCTAAAAAGAAACCGCCGCCTCTCCACCAGCCTTTCGCAGAGTCGCCGTCGATGTTGTTGTGTTTTCAATATCGCCTTCGCCTTCTCATTGCTGCCTCCGAAATAGTAAAATAATCATCATTAAAGCGCGCGCCGAGCAAATATACAGCAGCGAATAATCCGTGTGTGCGCGCCTCAATTTAGTCCGGGTTTCAGCGAGGCAACAACAATACACAAAAAAAAAAAAAAACACCCGGGTGACGACCAACACTGAAAGAAATACCAAGTGAGAAGGAAAGAACGAATAACGGAAAGCCACAACGTTCTCCGGCGTTTCCATTCCCAAAACAAACATCATACGAAAAGCTAAAGCCACGTAGCCGCAACGTTGCCACCACCACCGCCGCCAAGATGCCCAAAATCCACGTGAAGAAGCCCCTGGCGGGCCTGGTCATACGGAATCGAGCCCACAAGAAGAGCAGTATCTTCACGGTGAGTACTTCACGGGCGCAGCGGGGACTCGGGCTCCAAGCGCCGCACAATGCGATATCGCTTATCTTGGGGGGTGATTCAGCTAACGGGCGGCGGCGTGTGCTCCAACGGCGATTGGGCATTAGTTTTAGGCGTAATCGACGTCCATCAGACGATTTGGGGAGCGTTTGGGTCATGACAACTACGTATGCCAAGCAGCACGATACGTTACTGTGTGTATTTGTTTATTTATACAGTTGGCTTTGGTTTTTCCCCCAGGGATTTCAAGTATTCTAAAGTAGTTTTCTAAGCTACTTGGATTATTATAGCACTGTTTGGCCGGGAAATTAGCTTTTAATGGATTATTATGAAAAGTAGAATAATATTTCTTTATATTATATGTTCTATATTACTTATAAATGTTCATGTGCGAAGCATTCTTCACCAAGAACTAGGGTATGGAGAGAATTTCCAAAAGAACTTGTTCCTAATATTTTGTATAAATTCCAGAGTTTGTTATGTATCCGTTATATTTACTTAATGTTAATAACTTTTTAAGGATCGCTTATATTGGATTTAAGCATGAAAGAAACTATTTAAAAACAGTCGTAACTAATTGACTTGTGTACGAAATGTACCTATTACCTGGAACCTGTTAGATGTACCTGGTTCTCTGAGTAAACTTTGTTCTAGGTACAATTTATTTTAATTATTTAGAAACTGTTTAATATTATATCTGTTAAAGGAATAATATTATATTTTATCTGATACAAAAGATTATGAGGTTCACTTTTATAAAAATAAACTCCATTTGTTTTCTGTGTAGTTAGCAGTTTATGAACCCCAAAATGGTTAACAAAAAAATATGTGTGGTACCCTTCCCATTGCTAATGACTAACAAAGCTAGTAAATTTCATATAGGGAAGGTGGAACATCAGGCGAGTTCTACTTATCGCCGATAAAATCACGATATAGAGTTCTAAGCAATTGCTAGGTTTATATTTTTATTTTGGGGGAAAACCTTGCTATATCTAAAAATCATAATATTATTAGGTATTTCCTTAAAGCTCTGCACCGAAAACAAAGTGCTGTAAAGGCATAAAAACGCGCCTGATAAGAATGAAAGTGATGGCGGCTCCACCACTGCTCTCCAGTTTCATATCCACGTTCCCCCGCCGGTCCCATAAGTGTGTCACTATAACTATGTCGTAATCAATTCAACATCGCCGCTGACCTCCAGATGAACACCACTTGTGCGACGGCGGCTGACTTTCGATTTCGTGGAGAAGCTGTTCTGTGGGTTCTCTGGCTTCTGGTTCTTCGGCTTTCTGCCTGTCGAGTTTCTCGGCTTTCTTGTTTTATTTTTGGGCGGGAGCATTGAACTGGCCTTTTGTGTTTACCTCTGCTGCCTCTCGCCTCTTGTTATTGCCCCACTAATGATGATCGCCCATCTGGACGGCAAATCAGTGTGTGTTGTTGGCAGCGCGTGTAAATATTACATTAGTCGCAATTACTACATTTCCACCTTCACCCTCTGGCAATGTGAAATTAGGAGTAGCCCAGGTGGGGAAAAAAGTAACCCTGAGCTCCCACACCCATTCCGAGTGGCATTTGCTCATGCTCAACATCCTTTTAACGCGGTCATGCATATTTAAGGTCATGATAATTAGTCGAAAAAAAAAGGAAAATGGAAAAGGAGTTTGTAGACTGCCTGCCGCCACCTTAAAGCCGCCCTAATTTTTAATTAAAGAGATTTCAACAGTCGAGAGGAAAGCCCTCGGCGCCTGCGCCATGCTTCCATTCTCAATTTCTCAGCCTATAATATTATATATTACCCATTAACTTGGTTAATTAAGGGTCTCGCCGCGAAAATTTCATATTTGAAGTTGTTTTGTGACCTTGCCTAGCCGCTAATTATACTGCACAAGCCAGCCATTAGAGGATATGTCGCCCAGGAGATTTAAGCCAACAAAGTTTCCACTTTTTCTATGCTTTCTAGAAATTCTAGGAATTAATTTTTAATTAAGAGTTGCTGTCATTATTTAAGAGAAATTAAGTAAGAATAAAGTGTAAATATAAGCTGACATTAAAAGGTTATTCAAAATAAGAGCTTATTTTATTTATAAGAATATATTTATGGTAGCATTTGTTTAAATATTTTTGTTAAACAAAATCCTTACTCAGAAAAAGAAAATTCCGTTTACAAATGGATCACTAAGAACGAGTCTGTTAATTTATAAATTTTATAGACATATTATCGGTGTTTTTAAAAAACAAATATCGATTTTATATCAAAGTTATTATTCCCTTGACATGCAAAATTATATTTTAAATTATCGATTTGTGAAGTCTTCAAACTCAATTTTATAAAATATAAAAATTCTCAAAGAAATTTCGCGTCAAAACTCTTGAAATATTTTTCACAACAACCACAATTATTTACATAAAATTGCTTTTTAAATGTTTGTTGGTCATGTTTCTCCCAAAGGACTTGGCACCATTTCTTTTGCAGTGCACTAGTTACTGTGGCCCAGTCATTTGGTGATTTCCCCAGCAAAACGTTTGCCATTTCGGTTTTTCTTTGGACTTTTCATTAAGGGACATTTTTGGGAAATGTTCCCGAAAGCTTTTCTCAGTGAATCGAACAGGAAAAGCTATTTTCATTCATAAAACCTAGCAATAAGGCGCAGAAGCGAACAGGTGCCAAAGGGAAAGACAAGTAAAGTCACCAATGAATCGCAATGAGAGAGCGTGGAAAGTCCCAGCGAGCAAAAGCTCTGGCGCTGGCTCTCTAGGAAAATGCGTTTGCCGGGAAAAACAGCAACAATGGCGAATAAAAAATATATCCCTCTGGTAATTGTTGTGGGAAATTTCTTAGTAAAAGCGAGAAAGCAGGTTTGTGGAGCAAATCGAAGACGAAAGTGAAATAATCGAAAGTAAATGTGGGAAGAGGAGGAATACTCCTAATCCCTTTAAAATGGATGAAGAAAGGCTTTCAAAATACGTAATAAAATATCCCATATACACATATATAAATGATGTTTTGGTAGAAAAATAAGATTTTATTCTATTTCATATTACTTTAATTTAATTTACTTAAATCAGGAGACTTGTGGGAAATTCCTGAGAGCGTGGCAATTGCTGAAAATACCAAAAAGAAAAGCTTTGAAAGCTTTGCAGAGGAAAAACTGCATGCAAAAGAAAATGCCTTTGTGGCGAGTGAAAAACACACAGACGCTTTTCCAGCTGAGTACGGCGCAGCATGTGGAAAAGCGCACAACGTTGCGCACATTTTGTCGCGCTGTGTACGAATAAAAAGAAAAAACTAAACAATTTCCACGCGTTTTCCTTACACATTCGTGTCGATTTCTGTTGTTAATTAAAGCCAGCCGACCTAACATGTGCAATTAAATCGAGCCTTGTATAAACAAAAACCAAAGAAGAAAATATAATAAAAAAAAAGAGAAACACAGAGCATTTTCCGAAATAAATTCCATGAAAAGTGTGTGTGTTGTGAGTGAATCAGAAAATGTAAATCAAGCGCGGAGAACGAAAAACTGAACTTGAAATGCTTCTCGATTTTTGCTTTTGCTTTCAGTTAGTCAGTATTTTCACTTACAGGCTTTCCACCCACGGAAAACTGTCCTGTCGTTACGCAAAACAGTAATGAAAACTGTACCCACACTCTTGTTTATATTTCCCGTCTTTGTTAATCTGTATTTTCATGAGATCAGACAATATGTATCTCCATGTTGTTGGTTTTTCCTTTGCTCAAGTGTGTAGGTGAATTTTCCCCCTCCAAAAAGAAAAACAGAGCAGCCAGCCTCTCGTGTTACTGATTTTCCTTTGTTCTTCTTTTGGCTGCCTGACGCACAGCACAAAATCAAAAAAAAAAAAGGAAAGGAAAAATGGAAATGAAAGCGAAAATGAAAGCGAGAGGGGCTTTTCCCCTGCTTTCCTTGAAGAAGGTCACGACGTCCTTTCGTTGATCCTGCCGCCCCCTTAATTTCACTTGTCCAGTATTATTCGTATTCCTGTTTAATGTTCTGAGAATTTCGCATAATTTTGTACGTATTTAGCGCTCGTAAAATGCGTTTTTTTATGACCACCGATGATGATGATGATGGGCGGACTTCTCGTTTAATGCTAAAAGCCATCAAATAATTCTCTCAGTAGGGGCAAGAGACATGCAACAATCAGATTTGCAGTCTTAATTTATCATTTTCTTAAGTAGAGAGAAAGAGAGAGCCCTGCATAATTTGCCAAGGGGAAAACAACATCTCAATTCTCAGCCAGGGACAACCCACTTTTATTTGTCTAACCAAATATATGTATTTTTTTTGCCACCCAAAGTTCAACAAACTTTAGCTGGCGCAGAAAAATTTCCACGACACTTTCTTGCGAGCAGGAAAAAGTCTGTTCTGCCACGCATAAATTTCCATCCTCATTCCCATCCTTTCTCCCTCCTAAAATCCTGCTAGGATTGAGGTTCTTGGCTAAAACCTATCAATTATGGCCTGAACTTCGCTCAAGTGCGGAGACATCGTTCTTATGAAACGCCCTTAGATAACACACTGCCGCCATATCCATAAATTATTCAGCCATTCCGTTGGCTTTGTTTTGGAGGAGCAGCCATTGTTGGAGTGGCTTCATTGTCACAAGGAGTATGGCGTATGAAGTATAGAGTTATACCGCAGTGGGTATATAGTGTCAACTGCAGCGCCATCACACAATCTAAAATGTATTCTGCACTAAACAAAAGACCGGCACTACAGTAAACTCTTTAAACTTTACTGGGAATAAATTAGGAACAAGAAATTTAGCTTAAAAACTATCAAGCAATATCCACATTTTCCCCTTATAATATATAAAAATATTTTTTAAATTCTAATACACAGCAAAAGCGAATTATCTAAGCACAAGAAATGGCTTGAATGTTATTCGCTTGAGGCTCTCTTGGCTGCAAGCCAAGCTTCCCATCAGGCTTAATTTCCGTTGTCTCTTTATGCAAATTAACTGCACGACTTCCGCTGATGATGCAGTCCTGCCGTGTTTCCCCGTATCCGGCTGCGGTTGTTGCTGCTTCTACTTTTGTGTCAACACTTTTTGGGCAACAGTTCAAGAATCATAAATTTATTAAAATTGCCCGTGTTTGCAGTCGTCAGGCCTTCCGTGTTTACCGTGTCTGGCTTGGCAAGGTCAGCTGGGTGCTCGGAATCGAATTTAGTTTCGGATCGGGTTAGCCTTTCGTGAGGATTTTAATTCGTTTTTGCTTTGGTTTTGGGTGCATCATCATCATCGTCATTGCAGCTAATCAATAAGCAACACCATGGGCTCCTCTTTTATTCATCTGAACATGGGACCCTCTGCTTTTTTGGTTTACTCTGCGAATTTTCCATTATCTCACATCGGGTTGTCCAGTAAAATCAATAAAGGGTACACACATAAATCATGCGGCAGGCAGTCTACTGCGGTCAGGCTTTGGTGTCCTGCGTTGGCTGGGTTTATCCTGATTTAGTGGCCTTAACTAGGTGAATGTAGGGGAGGAAGATTTCATGTTGGGAACATAAAACCAGGACATGGGAATCTAGGAAAGCCATAAAAAATAATAGTTTGCTGAATGGGATTTTTTTTAGTTGGTTTTTACTTTACTTAGTCGAAAGTTAATACGAAAAAGCTTTAGAATAAATGAATAAAATTAAGGATTTATATTTATATATAGACTATATATAAACCATACTTAATTTTCCTATATATCTATAACAAAAAATCAATAAAATCGATTAAGAACAGCGCGCTTATGATCGTATTGGATGTCCTAAGCCCTTGGGGGTTCCCTTTTCCTGGGCCTTGCCTGCCGCTACTGTCCCAAAGTCCCAAGCAATCTGAACCAATTTTGTCGCTGCAGCCGTCGCAGCTTGACACTTTCTGGCCAAACGTTGTTGACAAACTATTTTTAATATTGAAAGGCGGCAGCTGTGTGTGTATGGGTGAGCACATTACGTATACGTAATATAGAAATACGTATCCGCAACGTTGCACGCGCTGCAGCATCATCCCTTCTCTCTGTACCCGTTTCTTCCTCCTATTTTTTTTTCTTCTTTGCTCTGCTCTTGCACTCACATGACCTTGGTTCTTGTTGTCATCTTGTGCGAGGGAATGCTCTCCATTAGCCACCGAGTGTAGTCGTCAGAAGGTCCATTTTTCATGGCGGGCCTGACATTTGGCACATCAAGCTTAGAATCCATCGTTGGTCGATGGTTGTGCACACACACACACGTGCTAGTTTTTCATTTCACTTGAAAGCTGTAATAGCTTGAGCTCTGTTTTGCCATAAAGTTTGTGGAATTATTTTAATACTTGCTTATGGTGAGGAATTTATGGCCTTTGCTGGTTTCTAACCAGCAAAACATTCTAAATATTGGAGAAATATATAAGCAAACCCACTTAAAGTCTTTGAATAATTATTAAATTTATGAATTTAGAGTCGAAACAATACGGGTAATCTTTTGCCATATCTTAATTAACATTTAAAACCCTCACAGGGGGTGGCCTCTTTCCCAAAAAAGCTTACCCCTGAATTGCCTGATTTGCAAAAGTAATTATATTTGTGTGTATTTAATACCAGCATCACTCAAATTTCAAATCCTCAGGATAGGAAAATTCCGTGGGCTATGAGTCTCCGGTTTATTGTTTCCATTTTAACATTGCTGCGAGCAACTCGGAGGAGTGCCTCACCCCGCCTCCGGAATGTGTCACCTGATTGATTTGTGCGCCCCGTCAGGTTGGCCAGGGAGTATTTTTAATTAAAATTGCGACAGTCTTTCTTTCGGCAAGGTAAAAGCAGCCGCGTTTTCAAGACTTCAACGTCAAATACCTACAAGACGCCCACGAGCGATAATCTTTGACTTGAAATAAGCAGCAGGAGCAGGTGGATAAACAGAAGCAAGAGAAGGAGAGGGAACCAAAGAAGGAAAAGGAACCCAAGAAGGAGAAGGAGAAGGAACAGGAGCAGGAGATGGTGTAGGAGCAAACTTCTGGGCGCCAATGCTTGCGTCCTTGGTGTCTTGGGCTTTGCCCTACTTTTCAATAAGCCACAACAATGGAGTTTCTGCCAGTTATTGGCCATTGTCTGGTTGTCTTGGTGGTCGTGGCATTATTGAGAAATCCAAATCGAAATCCAGAGCGACGCCGCCACGTGCGCTAAACTCCCGCAAATGAGAAAGGGTACCCATACCTCAGTTTCCAGCAAAAAAAAAAACTAAGAACAAAAAATTCAATCTAAAAAATTTGAATAAATTTCGTGACATTTTCCTTTTTGAAAAAAAAAAAATATTCAAATTCGTTTACCAATTTTTACACCGTAAAATATTAGTTAAGGGGCTTGTAACTTTTTGTTAGAAATATTAATATATTGAAAAAAAAATAGCTTTAATTGTAATATATTATTTCATCCGAAATTGTAAGAAAATTAGACAAGTAGATTAAAATTAAAATTTATTTATTTTCGTTTCAAAGTTTTTTTTACAAATATTTTCTCCGAGTGTATTTAAGTGCATTTCCACTGCACTCTCATAAAGTTGGACTGGGTCACGGAATTTTGAGGGCTCCGGAATATTTGATCAGGCCACCGCCAGAGCCAACGACTGGTGGCCCCCAACTTGACCTTGGGCAGGCAGGCTTTCCTCTCTTTATATATATATATTTAAATTTTGCGTGTCCGCAAAAACACATGAAGATTAATTAGAAGAAAAAAATATATAAGCAAATTCGCACAAAATCCATTTGAGGGCACACGTAATGTTGTCCCCTTTAGACGTTAGCTCAGATCCCATTTTTAGCCGGTTTTTCAATTTGACATTGCCCAGCCCATTGCGCCCATTGCCCATTGCTGGTCTCCCCTGTTCCCTGTGTGTGACATTAATGAAAGGAAAACATGGAAATGTATTTTCCAGCATGTCTCTTGCCAAATCGTTACGCCATCGCGGACTTGTTGTCTGTTATTTTTCCCATTTTTATTCTCCATTTATATGTAGCCTGGCTTTGCCCCCAAAAACGGATGCGCCTGTCCGTCCGGCAGTTTTCCCTTTTCCATTTCTGCCTTTGCCTTTCAGCCACTTCTGTCAAGGTCACTCCTAATGCCTTTTGATGCGACACATGCATGTGAATCCATCCACATCCGTGGGCAGCAGCTACTCCTCCTTCTCTTTCTTCTGACGCCTTTTGTTCTGATGATTGGCTTGGCAGCCACTGTTTCCTGTTGAAAAACACCAACAGGCTGTACCCGGCTGCAACAGGATTGGATTTCTGCCTTCGTCTCCGTCTTCACGCGCTATCTTTAGTCCAGATTTAAATGAAAATTACAATTTTTTGGCCTGCACTTGACCCGTTTGCGGAATGGCCTGCTCTGGCTGCCTGCCCATGATTTATGCACCAAGTTTGGGTCGGTTTAAATGGGTTTTATCTAACTAATTCCACGCACAGCGGTCGACTCAGCCGGCCGGAGGTTTATGCGGTTCAAGTTTAGCGAAAAAAAACATAATAAGGGGTCACAATTGCTGTTTTTTAGGCTTAATTCGCTTTATGGAATTTGTATACTTTAAACAATTTCTTACTCACTTTTTGGACCATACATCGTTCCTGTTTTATATCAGGTATACATGTTATCTCAAGAACAAACTCTACTCATCTTTCCTTAATTTCATTTTGGCCTCGTCATCTGGTTATTTGTTAAGCCAAGACAAGTAGTAGTCAGAGCATAATTGCCTCCGGAGAGATAACAATCAATTCTCCGTTCCACGACGAGTGAATGGTCTGCCAAAAGGTTTCCATTGTACCGGAGGCCGACCGCCGCTGCTCATTTACTTACTTTTAGCGAGAAAACTTTCATCATCGCCGTTGTCAAGCTCATCTATTTGATATGTGCGACAATTACTTTTGGGCTTTTTTTTTATTGCTCCCGAGCACTGAGCTCGGAGGAGCACCATGTAGTCGTTATAGTGAGCGATATGCTGTGCTCTGACGGTTAATAGAATTGTCCACATCCGAAAGTGTTGAAACTTTTTCAATCGCCAAATAATGGCTATTTAACGGGGGACGTTTGGAGAGCAATAAATTTATATTGACTATTTAAATACCCTAGCTTTTCAAATTGGTTGGTGTTGGTTTTAAAAGGAGGTAGTTATGGGGCTTGTACCTTGTTTTATCCATAATTTTTAAGGGAAAATGTTATATATTTTATTTCTCATCTACCTATTCCATTTCTCAGACACCCAAATGCAATGTTGTTATGGGATTTTCATTGTGATTAAAATGTTAACTTATGAACAAAATACTTAAGGGTATAACGACAGTCGTTGCACCCGGTTGCCATCTCTTTTTGCCTTTAAACTATCTCTCTCGGTGTGGCTCTTCCTAAGCAACCTCCACAGCAGGTGGACATGTGCGTTGTTGCTCTCTCTCTTCCGAGCTTCCGCTCGCTGGAGAACCGAACCGAGTGCGCTCGCTCCACCGATCCGAACCTATGTCATCCGGTGGCTACAGTTTTGTCAGTGAGTCGCGCTCGTCGGAAGGCAACAGAACATTGCTTGGGTATTTCCCCCAGAGTTCGTCTAGTATCATACGAGAAAGTCAGATGTTGGGAGATGTTTTAATTTATGTTCGGAAAAATTGTATGTGATTTTTTTTCGGTTGTTGTTTTGATTAAAAATTTGGACCAGCGTGGCGCGGAGATTGAAGTGCGTGTAAATTGCTGTGATTCCCGAGTTCTCAAAAGCCAAAGAGTTGGAGTTTGTGAGTGTGATTCTGTCCAGGCCCGGTATTCCCAGTTAAATCCTCTCCAATTGCCGTACATCTCCAGGCAAACCCGATGTTTAACTCGATTTATACTATATATATTTCCCTTGGTTGTGCGTAGCTTTGATTCGCTTCACTTGCTAGTTGGCTGTTAATGTTGATCGATCTATTTTCGAGCCCCTCACAATACTTGTGGCTTCAATTAGCACCGCATTGTTAAAATCGCCACAAAGCTAATGGCACTAAGTGCGGGTTTAAATTGGCTTTTAACGCGATCTTTACCTTTTTCTGGGCCAAGTAAATAATGGATAACAGATTTGGAGTGTATGTAAAGCCATGGCATACTTTTTGGAGTCTGGCTCCCCGAAGAAAATCATTTCTAGTTTATTTTGTAGAGTTTTTTTGCAGCAGAAAAGTAAATATTCTGTATAACAAGAGTGTGGACTTACAGTTTAACGTATTTAAATGAAAATGTATAAAGTTTTAAATGCTGAGAATTCAGAAACTTAAAGTAGATCTTCTCAGGCCTATAATTTACTTCTTGGAGTTGTAATGTATTTTATAAGACCTCAGAAAGCAAGCTATAGTATTATACAAATTTAAAGCTTAATTACAATTAACATGGCTGCCCTAATATTATGTGATCAGCTTTTTAACAAGTGATGTCTAATTGCTAGATTCCGGTTATTAATTAATTATCAACCCGTAACTTCGTCATACACTTAGCTTTATAGGTTTTTTAGATATTATTTTCCCCTTTAAGGAAGCCACCCTGTAGACAGCTGATAGCAAAGGCAAATCGCGCGAGTTTCGAGTGAAAATTCTATGAATAAACGACGGTAACTTTAATTACAGTCAGAAAAGTACCTGAAAACTGCATTGAAACTGAACGGAAGTATCGTGTTTAACACGAAATGATAAGATAAAATCGACTTCGATCGGCGAGATAACCAGAGTAAAGAGGAGCACGATCCCGATCAAAAGCACATATATTGCACTCCCCAGTCACATTCAGCCCATGTCCGTGGATTCGTGGCCATGGAAACTAGTGTAGAGACAGCCAAGGAGTCAAGGACAGCAGCATCAATTAGAGGAGCCACAGCAAGAGGAGATTAGAGGCGGATTAAGGAGATCATGCGCAGCGGTCGAAACTATGTCCAGCGGCAGAGCGAGACGCTGGAGAGCAGCAGCTTCGAGCTGGAGGATCATGACGATGCCAAGGACGAGCATGGGGAGCCAGACGATCACGAGGAGGAGGAGCAACGGCAGTCATCGGACACGGTGAGCACGCACAGCAGCAGCTCTACCACGCCCACAACAGCGGATGTGGCAGATGTGGAGACCATAAGCTCCCTGCCCCTTTCGCCGCCCGGCTTTGGGGGCAGCCAGCTGGTGAAGCGTCACTCGCCGTTGAAGGACCAGCAGCAGCAGCAGAAGCAGCAGCGGCAGCTACAGCAGGCGGACAACAAAAGCAGCAGCTCCAGCTCCAGCTCCAGTTCGAGCCAGCAGCCGGACGATGTGCCCACGGTAAGTGGGTGCAATCTGCAATCGGGCTCTTCACCTAATGCCTCCTCCTCTTCCACGACACCGCAGACGTCGCGCTACGCAGCTGCAGCGGCACATCCCAGCGCCGCCTTTGCAGAAACGGCGGTCACCTCCTCCTCTGGAACTGCGGGAGCTGCCCACAGGCGCACACATTCGGCGGCCTCCTACATCTCGATGAGATCGCAGGTCGGATCAGAGCCACCGCCGGAACGACCCAAGCGGAATCGCTTCTTTGAGTGGCTGCGCGTCGCCTGCAACATTTGTTGCTGCAAGGTTGGTTTTCCCTGTGGGACAGGTTGGATCTTTAGGGAAATCATTTGGGATTTATAATTTTAATATTATAAAATGAAGTCCAAAGGTTTGCTAGAGGATAAGTAATGATTCTCCAGACATTGTGTCGTCCTTTGAATTTAAACGAAGTCATTGTTGGTTTTTGAAGAGAATTGAATTTTATTACTTGCAATTCCACGAAATTTGAATTTAAATTGACTGAATGAACGGAATGGTTGCCAGTCAATTGAAAGGTGAAAATAAATTTCATGATTTACTACCATATGAAAAAAGGAACCTAATATATATGTTTATATAGTATATACAAAGAGTACAATTGGTAAATTGTTGTATTTGTGAACTTGAATCATACGTACAATTTCAAATATTACAAATTAACTAAAAATATAATCATAACAAATATGATTTTCTTTAAAGTTATTTATGAATTGGTGAACCTTATTCATATTTAATAGGAAATATTGTGAGCATATATTTATTACAAAAATTGTTCTCTGTAAATTTAAAGTCCTTAGAATTGGTGAATTGTTTGTTTGAACATAATCTTAAGTATTATATTAGGAGCATATCATTATTAATATTAGTAAACTAACTTTATCATCCACATATTGGTGAATTTTTGAACTCGAATCATCTAAAGAATTCCTTATTACACCCTTGCATAGGTTATATATTATTTACTAAACTAATTCATGAATAACTTTGCATTCAATATAATTAAGTCGATTTTTATCTTAACTACCATCAACGATTAGAATTATTCTTTATTTATTTACCAGACTGGGCTTCAGTTTGGCTTATTTTCCTCCAATCAATTTGATCTCTCCAATATCAAAAATGAAAGCTTTCTGATTTGTTTAAATTAAATCCCCGAGTTTCATTTTTTTTTTTATTTATTGATGCGCGACAAAAAACAAATCAGTTGACGGCATTCCGAAAACCATTGCCCACCCGCCACCCGCCATCACCGCCGCCGCCGCCTCGAGTGACATTGGGGCAGTTAACGAGCTCAAACAATTTTGCATTTAGTACAATTTATTTTTAGCTGAGACCGCGTATCAAATGTTTACAAATAAAGCTAAAGCCCAGGCAGCAACTGAAGGGTTAATGTGGCACAGTAGTTTGCGCCTTATCCAACGATGACGCACTCTCTAGCGCTGGGTGCGTCGCCTTTTCGTTTCCTCTGTGGGCTTAGCGCATCCTGCAATTATCCAATGACATTGCTCTTTACTTAGTCTGATATCTAATCCGTATGCCATTAATAATTCATCCTCTAATTTATCCACAGAGTTCCGGAATCGGAGAGCCGAGTGTTCATCATGCGCTGGTTGTGATATTTCTAGAGTTCTTCGCCTGGGGTCTGCTTACGATGCCCATTATATCGGTGAGTAGAAAAGCCAAGAAGCGATTTTCCAGTTTCCCATTTATATTAACTTGATATTCTTTAAAACAGACCCTCAACCAGACCTTTCCGGATCACACATTCCTGATGAACGGCCTGGTCATGGGCATTAAGGGCATCCTCTCGTTCCTGTCGGCGCCGCTGATTGGCGCTTTGTCGGACATCTGGGGCCGAAAATTTTTCCTATTAGTCACAGTATTCTTCACCTGCCTGCCCATACCACTGATGTCCATCAATACGTGGTGGTTCTTTGCCATGATCTCAATAAGCGGCGCCTTTGCCGTCACCTTCTCGGTGGTATTTGCCTATGTGGCGGATGTCACCACGCCGGAGGAGCGATCCAAGGCATATGGCCTGGCCTCGGCCACCTTTGCCGCCAGTCTGGTCATCTCACCAGCATTGGGCAATGCTTTAATGGAGATGTACGGCGACACGCTGGTCGTGGCCCTCTCCACGGCCATTGCGCTGCTCGATGTGTTCTTCATTCTTGTTGCAGTGCCGGAGAGTCTATCGGAGAAGATGCGTCCAGCCAGCTGGGGTGCGCCCATCAGCTGGGAGCAGGCGGATCCTTTTCTGGTATGTCTTGGCCTCGAATTTGTAAAGTTATCTATTTTGAAATGTTTATGGTATTATCTTTTAGGCTTTGCGCAAAGTGGGCACAGACAAGACAGTGCTAATGCTCTGCCTCACGGTTTTGCTGTCGTATCTTCCTGAAGCCGGCGAGTACTCCTGCATGTTTGTCTATCTGAAGCTCAAAATGGGCTTCAACTATGTGGAGGTATCTGTTTTTATAGCCATTGTGGGCATTCTTAGCATAACGGTGCAAGTGACCCTCGGCTCCTTCATGCAGTAAGTGATTGTAAATCTAAATCTGAATCGGAAACTAAAACTTTTTAATTCTTTTCTGCAGAGTGTTTGGAGCCAAGCGCACGATCATTGTGGGCCTAGCCCTGGAAATCGTGCAGCTGCTGTGGTATGGCTTTGGCAGTCAAAAGTGGTGAGTTTATAAATATTCCGGTGGAGTTTATACAACTTTTTTATATATAATACTCTCTCCTTAATCCTTCCAGGATGATGTGGTCGGCTGGCGTTGTGGCTGCCCTGGGCTCCCTCACGTATCCGGCCATCAGCGCTTTTGTGTCGCTCTATGCAGCTCCCGAGAGTCAAGGTAGGCAGCTTTGGTTTGTTTTACTTGCTTTTCTTTACTAATTAAATCTCATTTTCCTTTTGCAGGCGCTGTCCAGGGCATGATCACGGGCATGCGGGGCCTGTGCAATGGCCTAGGACCGGCTGTGTTTGGGGTGATCTTTTACCTGTTCAATGTGGACCTGAACGATGATCACGATGCCCATGCCAAGACCAGTGGCAGCCGGACTACAAATGTGGAGAAGATATCACAGCATGTGCCGGGTCCGCCGTTTGTCTTTGGCGCCTTGTGCGTCTTCTGTGCCATAATTGTGGCGGCGTTCATTCCGGAGGGCCAGACCAGCCAGTTGGAGAAGAAACGTAAGCAGCAGCAGCAGGTTTCATTCGCAAATCCATTGCTCCTTTAATAACATTCAGTCATGAATAAAAAGGATTCTATGATTCTATGCTATATGATGACAATTTTCGTTCTTATAATCCTTTGCAGGTGGCTCTCTCGACGTGCAGTACGAGATTGAGACGGGCCACAAGGCGCCCAGCTCTTTGGCGCCGCTCATTCGCTCCGATTCGCTGGCGCAACTGTAGTGGGCTCCATCGTAGTCGTCCTAACCAACACAACCCGTAAACCGTAAACCCATAACAGCTGGTGGCTATAGAGATACGTTTAAGCAGAGTTAAGGAGTTAAGAGTTTTTTGTAACTGTAAACAAAACAAATGCTGTAACTAGTTTGGCTTTAGTTTCCGAGTCTAACATTAATTGTAGTTGAGCCCGAGAAGAGATGTTATTGTTTGTTCTAACATTAGTTTCCACCTCAGCCCAAGTATATAGATATATATAGATTTCGTAATTTATATTTATTATTGCGATAAGTAACGTAACAACACATAGTCACTTATTACATATTGGATATATTGGCCCTTGCTTGCCGGCTTTCCCTGTTCGGTTCTCTTCGGGCTGGGGATTACACATCACAGCAGATAGCTTTGCAACAACAACAACAACAACAAAATAACTGCCAAACAAACAAAAGTAACGAAAGAGAGAAAAATTTGTAATTGTAATTCGTAATCTTCAGCAGCAGTTTTCAAGAACATTTCCAGTTGAGCTTATCACTTGCTATCGCCGCCGTATCTTTCCGTTCCGTCACCGTTTTTAGTTACCACACACAAATTAGGAAAGAAGAGATAAAGGAATCCAAATAAACTGAATACCAAGCTTTACTTTGAAAATTGTAGTGATTTAAAGTCTAAAAACTCTAAAAAAAAAGAAGCAAGAATTGAAAACTTACACTGAAACGACGAGAGTCAAGCTAGGCGACTTCAATTAAAAAAATATATTAAAAAAAAAAGAAAACCAAGAAACCACATAAAATATATGTATATATATATAGAGATATGTATATCGTAATGTTTTTAATTTAGCTAAATGCGATTATAGCGCCGCCTCCTCCCGATCATCATAGTTTTTTATTTTGATAAAAACAAAACAGAAGAGCCAGTGCATAGCCTTTGTCACAAAAAGTCAATGCTTGAACGTACATATATATAGGGACATATAGCCTGTGTGAGTGTGTATGACCGCGCTGCGGTAATCAAAAGTTATATTTTTTGAAGTTGCTAACTAACAACCGTGTAAAGTAGTTGCCCCAACTCGCAGACAGACCTATGGACGTGCACAGCCGGGCATACACATCGCACATATCCGTGCGAGAGAGGATCAGGAGCAGCAGTAAGAGTTGGAGTCGGAGTTAGATGAGAGACAGTATACAACAAGAAAACTGAATCCAAATTTCGATTGTAAATTATTTAACGTGTAATTTAGTGTTTTAAACGAAACCAAAATAAAACAACATTGTTTAATGAAACGCTAGTACAATGAAGTGCGAAAGTCTTTTTGAATAAAGGTTATAAGTGAGTATAAATGCATCAAATGAAGCTCTCATTTTTAATTAAATTTATAATTTCATTTTTTTTTTTTGGGAAACTGAAGAACATTTTTTATTTTTAAGCTTCTCAAATATAACAAAAAGTACACCAAAGGTATTTTTTTCTGTTATTTTTTTATTTATGTTGGTGGAAAATGTCCGAGGCACCTAAGTTTAAATTTAAAAATTATTTAAAATTTAAAAATGCCTCAAAAATAATTTTACATTTTGGTTTGTGTCTTTTCTTTGGCTTTTAAAAATAGTTGCACATAAAAAACAAAGCTTTTGAAACATTTTTCATAACGTTTTTCTAGCCTATCGATATATATTATCGGCCTATCGATGACGGTGGCATATTTCAGCTGGTCAACCTGCGGTCACACTGCACAGAACTCTTTGAAATGTGAAATTTTCGGTCGGATGAAATCTGGTGGAAAAATATAAAGGTGAATATCCGAGGCTGAATGAAGTCTGCCTTCGCGTGACAGAAATTCGATTCGACACGCCTACTATGGCCTGATAAAAAGTGTTAAACACGAAGAAACCCCCGTGAATGCAAAGCCAAGCACAAAGAGGCAAGAATGTTTCGGAAGGGCGGAGGAGTGTACACAAAGTGAATACATACAAATATAATCGTTCCACATGCAACATAAAATACATAGTCGTGCGCGAGTGTGTGTGTCTGCAATTGTTCGATTAAAAAGCGAGTAAATAAATACCGTTACTTTGCGGGGTTTCCCAATAAAAATGTGGAAAATGTGAAAAAGAAAAGAAAAACTGCAATTTGGGCCAGCAAAGGGCCACTGGAAGCTGTGTGCGTGTGGAAAAACTTCGGGGAAAACTCGCAGTGACCTCAATTCAATTTGATATTCCTTAAAATCCGAAATTCTCTCATGTTTTGATTTATCTGTTAATACTTTCCGAATATAGTTTTCTCATGTCATAACTCGACAGGAATTTTACACGAAACATAGCCCAGACTTAGACAATCCAAATAGTTTTTAGCAATTACCAACTGCAATCCGGTTTGCATTTTTTTAAACTGTTAGACCAAATTTACAAATTTGTATGGTGGGACCGCCAAAACTTAGTCAGCAAACATCTTAATTGTGAGATCTTGGATACAGATACTGAAGATATACTGTGCTCCCCTTGCAGCAGCAGCAGCAGCAGCATCTGTGCCTGTTCTGGAATAGCACGGCTAATTGGATTTGGTGGCACTGCATCATCTCCAGAAGGAATTCAGAGGCAAAAGAAGACCACCAGGAGGAGGAGGAACAGCACCCAAACCCAAGCCAGCTTAATTGGCTTAGGCGACGGTTGTTGTTGTTGTCGGCCCTCACTGTCAATGTTGGTGAGTGTGTGTGCATATGTTTAAAGAGATATATGAGAGTATATACATAAGTGATCCAGAGTGCCAGCTCATTTAGTTTTGTTTATATCAATTTACCGAGTTATTCAATTGTCGGTGTCGAATTAGTAACTTTATCCGCCCTTCCTGTGTTCTCTGGGAGTCTCTGTGTATCCACATTACCTACAATTCTCACCTGAGAGACGGCATGCATAATTAATCTGATGCACTGCCCTCACTGCACCGCGATACAGGCAAAAAAAAAGCCTCTATATATGTTTCCAATTAAAAAAAATTATATTTACAAAGATTTCGAAGAGCAAAATACATTATAAAGTGGAAAATAAGTTCATTTTAAAATTTAATGTGCAAAGAAATATATAGGATAATATACAAAAATATATAAATAAAATAGTATAGACAAATTATGTACAAATTGAAATAAATACACAGAGATACCTTGCAAACTACTTATTGAGCTCGTATCTTTCCTTAAAAAATGGATTGGTTTCCCATAATGTCACATGTTGTGTATAATGTTTAAATGGAAACAACCACGAGTTGTTTAATCATTTTTGCATGTGGCTAGACACTCAAGATACACACTACACCACCGCAGATACGGATACATCCCTGACCTGCGTGGCTTTGAGATACAGATGCGAGTGCCAGACTGCGAGTACATATGCGTGTGTGGTTCAAAACGACACCCAGCCGAGTCGAGTGTGTTAAACTACATGTATTTATAGAGTTTATAGAGACTCTTGGACCAAATCCCAGCTACACACACTTTAGGAACTCCAAAAATAATAAGCAGCATATTAGTTTCCAGCTGATTAAGCAAATACATAAGCAAATAAATAACATTTATAACCGTATTAAAAAGAAAAAACCATCATTATTGTCAAATAAAAGTATTAGTATATAAAAAAGAACTTAATAACACCTTTCCAATCTAAAAACCGGCTTTCAAGAAACTAATTAAAAGAACAACTTGAAAAAATAAGCTTCAAACTTTAAGAATTTGCAACCGGTTGAGCGTATTTTACGAGTTTACTTTATAGACCCCAAACAAACATTAGCTTTTTGCCTAGAACGATAACTTGATAAGCCTCAATTGTCTATATACTATGGGATAACAAGGCAGGAGATTACAGACCCCATTAAAAAGATTCATTAAATAAATATTATAGAAAAACATAAAAGAGATTTAGTTCTGTAGCAAACCAATATCTGATTGAATTTGCAAAAAAACCTGCTTAACCTACAGGCTTATTAACCAAATACGAGTATACTAGACCTCTTAAATCCCTAGATAAACCCAAAAATAGGTTCAAGTTTATCTAAAACTTGCCATATGATAAGTCCAGACACAAACAATTGGATAATAAAAACACGAGAGATACTGAAAGCTGGTAGATTAGTTTTCACCCAAGCAAATACTCTGACTCAACCGAGGAATAGAGTAGGTTTATATGACGACAGAGAAGAGATTCATGTGATACATGGTCTATAGATATAGCCACAGGGCACGTATCTGAGTTTCTGCCAGTGTATTATGGCTTCCGTGTCGTTCGTTCATCAGAGAGTAACATATATGCACATAGCTACTTCTCGATCGTCCCCACCCCTTTGGCTACTGCTCATTTCCGCCCTTCGAAAGGCCTTTCCTTCGTCTTCGTCTACACTCCATTACTGCAGTGCCCGACTTCCTTTGTTTGGACTCGCTCGGTCTTCATCTAAAGAAGTTCACTTTGTATCTGTGTTGTGTGATTAGCCCATTTCTGCGGTTTTATATACCGGGGAGTGAGTCACACGGCCGGCGAAACGAGTTTCTCGCCTTGGCACGGCACGACTTCACTCCACTCCATCTCCATGGCATCGTCAAGACAGGGCAACCTGTTCTGCTCTCTTGCAATATTACTTGTATCTTTTTTGCCTCGAACCACACGCCGCGTCGTCCATGGACGCCGTGGTTGTGGATGCGAACCACTGCCGGTTGTTCCAAATTTATTGTCGCCCGAGATGAAGGCGGAGGCGTAGAGAGATTGGATGCGATCAGGCCGCGAAGTGTGTGCGTTCTCAATTAAATAAGTCGGGGGAATTAGTTGGTTAAACGAGTGGCAGTTTACTTTAAAAGAAGATTTTCATTCACACTCCTGCCACTTGGAGCTAAAATTATCAAGAAATTGTGTCTGCTTCAGATTGTTATTATTTTTTTATTTATAATCATATTAATACTTTTTCTATGGGGGGAGGAGGAGGAGGTTTCTCCCCTCTGTAGCTGATTTTGTTTTTGTCAGCTGGTCTTATCTCTCAGTATTCTTTTTATTCTGATTCACTCATGATTTGAATTGAGTTCTAGGTTTCTCAATCAATAAATAATGGAAATGCTTTGTCAACTGATTATTCATCTGTACTTTTTGATGTCATAAGTATTTTAGCAGCAAGGGTCATTGCAGCCTCTATCTTTACGGAAATTTTGTTTCTTTCCACTGGTATTTTTAATAGATTTACTGAGAAATAAATAAAGAAATAAATTATATGTTCCAAGATTCTTAAGAATTATATTTAAAGCTTATCGCTTGCTATTCGTGTTTGTTTACTGTAACTCTAAAAACAAGTGACATCTCTTTTAGGAACAACCTTAATCTTTAAGCTTTAATAGTCATCTTAAGTCATAGTTTTTCTCACAACTAATAAAGTCACCAAGCTTCAATGCTAGCCTTGTCATTGTTTTACTTATCGTAGATTTTGTTGAGGTATTAAGTTTAATAAGTACCCGAAAACCAAAGGTGTTGGCTTGACATTTTCAAATCTCATGTGAATGTTTCTAAATATTTATTTAGCAGTCAGCAGCTTTCGGAATTGGCATTGATTGCAACTCGCTATAAGATGGTGGGGGTTGGAAATTGTTTTATTATTAATTCAACCTTCACATTCGCTTTTAATTCTTTTGTTTATACAATCGGTAAGCTAAAGTCGCCGTTGAGTTGTGTTATTATTATTCTGCTTTTCTGCTGATTTAGCCAACAGTACCGGGCACCTTGCACTTGGCGCTTCCGCAGATACAGTGGTTACTCCTTGCCTGTGACCCACTGGGGGTATCTGCATCTCTAGATAAGTTTTGTTTAACTTTGTCAACTTTCTCTTGTTGCCAAAAAAAAAAAACCTGCCCAAGTCAATCAGGTAGATGGGATACAGGCGAAACCCATTGAATTTCAAGAAATGGATTGTTGCCTTTGTTAGGAAGGGGACTTTGACTCACATTACCCAAAAAAGGGAAACTTTATTACGCTATGCCAGACACAAAGGGTATATTGTATTCGAGTTCCAGCATGTAACACGGCTTGTTAAGGCACTTGGATGTGAATTTGAGTCCACATGGATTATTTGAGTCATTATATCAATTTTACAATTACGCCCTGGCCTCTTTTTTTGTTGTGCTGCAAATTAACTAAAGAATTCCCGGTACTGGCAGCATTTTATTACCTGTTTATGATTATTACTTTGTTTTTTTTGGGGCTTTTTCCAGGCATTTTCATAAATCTAAATAAGAATTTTATTAGAAGGCATGCACATTATTGTGTAGCGTGGAATTCTTACTTATTTTAGTTGTTTATTTACAGCAGATGTGCAGGGCATTTTTCCTTGAAATTATGGAAAGTTTTAAGATTCTAAAAAAGAAAACATCAAACATTATAGGAAATATTATTCTATCTTTACTTATTTATTGATTTATGCATAATTTAATTATATATTTCCCACTGTTCCTAAGTGAACTCTAGCCTGAATTAAGGGCATATTGCGTGTGGCCTTGCCGGGCCATTGCCTATCCCGCCCACTGTTCCAAGCGAGTGCAGCATCAGAGGGCGATGATTGCTGCTCCTTTGGTCCTTGGTCCTTGCTCCCTGCAACGATCCCAGGCGCATGCGTCGGTCTCAGCCTGCCAAAAGCCGAGGCTGCAAATTGTTTTGTTTTCCTTACAATTGCTGAGGAGACGACCTCTGGCGATGGTTGGTTTTATCCAGCATTTCGCGATTGTTTGCTCATTACCATGGGCAAATGCTTTGACTTTTCGTGGTAAACCACACACACAAGAAGGAGAGCTCCTCGCAGCAGGACACGAATCCTGAACGCCGCATGTCAAGGCCGTTCAAAGGCTGGACCACTCCGGCGAATACAGAATTTTCTGCACAGCAGCAGCGGCAGTACAGCGTGAGCAACGCGCCTCTCGCTTCCAGCTTTCAGTTTAGTTTGCTCTCGGCCTCAGACAACGCTGCGTATACGCAATCGACACCGCACACACAGCACACTCCAAACAAATCCATACATCGGAGTGTGTTTGGCCATCCATATTAAAGCCCTGTTAGCAGGTGCGGGGCCAACAAGGCGTCTATTTTTACACCACATATCATCACATCGTCAGCTAGTGCCATCGTCAACACCCAGTAATCCAGCTCTTTCCGGAAAGTAAGCATTGCAACAAAAAGAAAAATACGAAAAAAAAAATGGGCCTCGGAAGGGACACTGAGAGATAAGCGCGGCGGAAAATGCAGTGCTCCAAATGTATATTTCCATACAGCTGTGCTCAAAATAATAGTGATGACCTTTTATTATGCGGCAAATAAAAAATGATTACTTAAAGAATTCAAATAAAACAACTTCACAAAAATTGAAGCTATAGTGTTAAAGAAAAGGGTGACAGACTTCGGTATAAATGTTTATATTTTCCCCTATGAGAACATTTTAGTAACTAAAATTTGGAGGCTTGCTGTATTCTTTGCTTCTGCTTCTGCTGTCGCTGATGTTTGCCACTGTTCGCTGTTGCGACATATTCTATACAGTGTTTCGAGGGCCGGGGCACAAAACGGGGAGGCTTTAAAGCATAACATGAAATAAAGCCACGGACATGGAAAGCCGTTGAGCTTGGCCCTTCGCCTTCCCTGTGTCCAGTTCGGTTCAGTTTCCCCCAGAGTTCATTAAACCTTTCGATTTCTTTGTCTATGTTTATATATGCCTTTTGCCAAGACAGTCGATGAGTGTAACTGCTGCTGCTGCTTGTTGCTCGCCCCGATGCCCATAAATTTACAGTTTCGAGCTGAGCAGAGTATCAAATGAGCACACTCATTGTCTTGATCGTGATAAATAACACTGGTACCCGGCACTGGTGTATATAGTATAAATATAAGCAAATAACTTTCTGAGAATTAAATACATACATATCTGTAAAAACCCAGAGTTTAAAGCAAAGTTTTTATGAGTAACTTTAGCAAGTAATATGTGCGATTTTGCAGTTTGATTTTATAATAGATTGCTTTTTTGACTTAGTTATAATTAGAGGTTTACGCCGATGGTTAAAGGCATCGGCGGCGGCGTAGAGGTCAAAATGACTCGGCGGCGGCGGCGTAGTAGTCAGAAAGAACCGGCGGCGGCGGCGCGTCAAATAAGGCAAAAAGGCCATTTTAATGAGTTATTTTTTTTTTTTTAAGTTTTATAAAGAACAATGACACTGAAGGCCGCGCTGAAGCTGCGCCGATGCCGCACCAGCGGCGCGCCGCGGCGCGCCGTTATTTTCATAATTTGGCGGCGGCGCGTCAAATAAGGCAAAAATCGGCGGCGGCGGCGGCGTGGCGCGGCGGCGTATATGTCTAGTTATAATATCTTAAACCTTGATTTGTAAAAAAAGCTCATGAAATTATGGATGAATTGTAATATTCTTTTGAGGGTATTATAATTTCAGGTAAAAGTATTTTTAGCCTATTTTTATAGCCTTCTAGATAAATCAAACTTCAGCGTGGCCACAGTTAAAAACCCTTTCCTTTTTCTTTTTTAAATTAAAAAATAAATAAATATGACAAAATTTTGGCATTAAATAATTCGTTTTAAACGTATTAAATTATTTATATTTTAGAATTTACCTTTAAATAATCTTTATACCAATTTTTTCTCTGTAAGATAAAAGAATCTGATTGAATCGATAACAGCGGTAATGCCAATTGTTTAACAAGATAATTTATAGCAAATACAGAAGCCGATAAGTGAAAGAATGTCATGTTTAAACTTATCAGAGTATTTGTGATAAGGAGAATAATATTTGCAGTTCAAAATGTTTACCTAAAAAAGCAAAATAAATATTATTGAGAAAGGTCTTTAAAATACTTGAAATCCCAGTAGATTCTTAGAAATAGTCATAGAAGAAAACACTAGCTAAGAAAATGAGAGCTGCTTACATTTAACTTTGTGTTTGAAATGATCTTCACCGTTCAGTGATCCCAACCAAAAGTGATGTGCTCTGACGCAATACTGATAAAAAGTTAAAAGATAATTTAAACAAACAAATATTGCCGCAGGCTTACAAATGCAAACCTTTTTCTGTTAGAACATTAAACATTTCACAAAACGAGCCTCGTTTTTGCCGGCACTGTGTTCATCGCCTCGGTGGCGCAGTTGGCAGCGCGTAAGTCTCATAATCTTAAGGTCGTGAGTTCGAGCCTCACCCGGGGCATGTATTCTTTTTTGTTATTCTTTTCTTTTTTTGTATTACCTAAACGTTATTTTTCTATTTTACTTTAAGTTATTTAATATTGGGGTAATTATGCAAGTGCATGCACGCAATGCTTAGTGGGTGACTCATGATATTCCCTCCCCTCAAAAGCATTCAACCAAAGCCAAAGGTAAACCCTAGGACTAACCACCACCTAGACGGAGGAAAGAAAATACCTGCCCGTTCATATGGGCAAGTTGCCAGCGACAAAGCTCAGCTCTCCTCGAACTGCAGCCAGTCCTTTGTAAAATTGCATTCGGGTAGAGCTAGCTAATGCCTCAGCCCATAGTCATCATCTTCTCCGGGGCTTGTCTCTTTATTGACCTTAATTGATGTCAAGTGGATGTGAGTGCTCCATGAGAGGGAGCAGGAGGGAGTGTTCTATGGAACCAATCCTATATCTATTAACCCATCTGCCTGGACGAACCACACCAAGAAATGAATAATATTCTTTATTGCCCCTGCTACGCACTTATTATTGGCCCAGGACATGCCACGGTCACATTAGGGGTGTGAGCTCCGCTCCTGAATCATTTTGTTGTCTCCATTAAAAGCTGGGAGTCATTAAAGATTAAAGATTAATATGTTAAGTGTCTAAAGATAACTATTTCCATATCAATTTTATTGCAAGTCCTAGTGTTATGGCCAGAAGTCAGAGCAGTTGTAGCTAGAATAGGAATATTATATTTATATTAATCAATTTATTGCGATTAAAGATAATCCTATATTAAACAATTAACCGAATTTTTTTTACAGGACAAGGTAGTGTGAAATGGGTGTGAATTTCTACACCAAAAGGATCAAGAATACAAGCAGCTTCAAGTGTTAGAAAATTTTAAGGGGACAGTCCTGCAGACCGGAGATTTCTCCTGTTCCTCCCCCATCCCCCCAAAAGATGAATTCCACAATGGAATCTCCAACCACAAAGCCGATGCGTTCCAAAAAGCGACGACTGCGTCGAAGGCGCCAGATCGCCTATTTGGCCATATGTGGTATAAGTGTGGCCATTTTTGCCATTGCACTGGCCACGCTCATTAAGCCAGCTGCCGGTCAAGATGATGCTCCACCTGAGGAGGGTTCACCACCAGACGAAGGAGCGGGTTCACCACCAGATGAAGGAACGGGTGCAGCAGGTGGTGAACCACCAGCAGATGGAGCACCGGCTGATGCACCAGGAACTTCAGGGCAGGGTGACTCAAACAAACCGCCGTCGTCTCTTAATGGACCGTGGCGTGAAGGTTACTCGGGCGATGGCACCACCCACGAACAGATTGGTCAACCTCATTGGGCGCCCGTAGAGTACACACCTTACCGGCCAACGACGAACTATTCCGAAGATCCGCCACAGCCCACATCGGCCATGAACCCCATCTATAACTTTACGCACTTTATATTCGACAAGGTGCTGTACACCAATAGTAGCTTTCCGCCAGGTGAGTGAAGTACTATCAGGTTTTTGAGATATGAAGTCTCAAAAGTCTTCACATTTAACCTGATTTTTTTTTGTGACTGTTTGCAGGATATATTACGATAAAGGATGGGAACACGCTGCAACTGGGACCGAAAGTAATAACCAATGATTGGCGGGATCTGTTGGCTCATTATTGGTTGGTTTTCATTTGGATTCTCCTACTGCTGATACTGATCATTATCGTACCGTTTATTGCGTAAGTAGTATAGCCAATATCCCACTGCTTTCTATGACTATATAATTTTGGATTATTCCTATGCTTAGAGTTTGCTATTGCTGTTTCTGTTGTTGCAAACGCTGTCGCCAGGGCTGTCCGCCTTGCACCAGCAAACAGGATGCCCAAAGGCGCTTCTGCTGCGGCATATGTCTCCTGCTCCTTATGATTGGACTGATGTGAGTGGCGCTCTCTAATCTATCTTCTTGGACCAATTTAAAGCTAAAGTTTGTTCTGTCTTCTTTAGCTTTGGCATCATCATTGCCTTTGTTACCAACAAAATGCTGGATGACGGTTTCAATGAGACCGACAATACAATGAAACGCGGCGGCGAGGATACCTGCACCTATCTGAAGGATGTGTCCGCTCATGTCAACCATTTGATGGTATACAACTACGAGGAACTCGAGACCCATGTTTCCGATCAGCTAACACGTAAGAATTTTATAGATTCCACGTTCTTGGTGCCCAGCTAACATACTTCTTTTGACATTCAGATGCCCCAAATCACATATTTTTGGATTTAACCGACACATCACAGAGTTCTTCATTGGCCGAGCTGGAACGGGTACTGGATAACATGCCAGAGGCCCTAATTCTAATGAAGCAGGTTGAGAAGATGCAAAAGGATCTGCTCTTCTTTGGCTCACAGTTGAGAGACGGTAGAAAATAAGCTGTTAGAATGCATCGTCTTCAAGTCTAATATTCCTCGATTTTCAGGCGTCCGCGGCATGAAACGTGATATCAACTTTGCCGTGGCCAATCTCTGTCAGGTGCAGATATGCCAGAAGTTCCTCGTCAGCAGCGATATCGAGCGTATTGATGCCTCGCCGTGTCTGCACTTTGATGGGGTATACATAAAGCCCTATCCACATTACTTAACTTTATATAATGTTATGTGTGTTCTTTTTAGCTACCCAATACCGGAGAATATATTGCTGGCATGCAGAAGGTCATTGACACGGATTATAGCGCGATAGCCAAGAGAGGCCTCGTTCGTTTGAGCGAGATCAAGGGAATGATTGAGAAGCAAATGGCATTTATGGTGCCGCCCATTATGCGTGATCTTAGCAAGGGCAAGGCTGTCTTTCAGCAGCAGGCCACCACTGTTCGCAATGTTGTCGACGCCGTGCTGAGTGATATACATCAGAAGACAGCGAGTTCGGCCAAGTCCTTTGATGATGTTTACACGAGATTTGGCCCGGATCGCAGCCTAATTAGCCTGCTTGTTGTGTTGATCATTTTTCTGGTAAGCAAAGGGTCTCTTCCAAAAAAAGCAAGTGGTTTTATCACCATCCCTTCCTTTATTCATTAGATTTTGTTCATATTGGTTTGGGCTTTGCTTTGCGGCTGCTTTGGACGACGACGCAGTGGTTATGGCGACGAGTGCTGCAGCAAGTCCACCGGCGCCACTTGCCTCCTAATGTAAGTGGATGAACACATGAGCACAACTATAACAACATAACACCTTTTCTTTTTGTTTTATTCCTTCCGCAGAGCCATCATGATCATATTCTGCGTTTTTTCATTCATTTGCCTCGTTGGTCTGTTTTACTTTGTTATTGGAATGGTGACCTATCAGGGCGCCTGTGCCCCATTGCGGGATCTCCAGAGCAACTCGATATTCCGGCAGCTGGATGCTGCCATTGATGTGAATCGCTATTTGCCGGCTATGGCAAAAGCAAATTCCGATGGTGACACGCCGCCAATGAAAATGTCGAGTGCTTTGAGTTCGTGCAACGCCAACGAGACTGTGTTTGCGATGATGCGAAAGCATAACATCTACGATGTCAGCGAAATGACGCGCCACAAGGTGATTTCCCAGGATAAAAGTACGGCTCGCATCTTCGACGAAGATCTGTCGCAAGTGAAACTGCTTGAAACGCAGGATCGTGATAAGCTGAACCAATTGGCCGACAACAAGCTGGGCGAGTATCATAGCTCCCTGTACACGCCCAGTCTGTGCACCAAATTCACTCCTATGAACCTCATTGCTCTCTCCGAGCAGCTGTCGACCCTTTCCAATGATCTCGAGTATCCTGCCTATGGTTGGGCGAAGGTCTCGTTTTGGAATGAGGGCCTCAACGCTAAGGCTTTCCACCGCAACTTTGTGCCGAAGTTGACCAATCTTGTGGACAAGATGAAGGCCAATTTAAAGAAGATCGACGAGTTGATTGCGTACAACAATCATGACTTTGGCACCTCCATCAAGATGCTCACTGCGACGGTTGTCACCTCCGAGCAATTTATACAGACGCGCGGCAAGGACTACATCAATACGCTGGGCTCTAGTCTGACGTGGAGTATCGAGGAGGAAATAGATAACTATGTACGAATGGTCACGCGGGAGGCTGAAGAGAATGTGGGACACTGCGCGCCACTGGGTTATATTTACCGGCGTGGCGTTGATCTGATCTGTCACCGTTTGGTTGATCCAATTGTGAGTGTTTTCTTACTTTCACTTGTAATTAATTATTAATTATTATATTTCCATTAGAATGGCTACTGGGTGGGCATCTTGCTCTGCGCTCTTCTCTTCCTACCCATCCTCTATGTGGCCCATCGCCTGATGTGCCTATACAAGAAGATCTATCCGTATCTAGCTACCGTGGGAGTTCCCGTCGAGGGCGGGTAAGTGGTTCTCTTTATCATCTCCCTCCCGTACATTCCATTCGCTTTAAGCACCGACCTAAACCCTAAGCTGTCCCATGTGCACTGCTGCATCGCAAAATTTCGGCCATTCCACGCCAAGTTTCGGCATTGGCCGTATTGGCCGCGGGGGTGGCGGTGGCATAACAATTCAGTTTGAGGAAACTGAGGAGGTCGCCGAGCACAAGGAGGTAGTCGAAGCCGACGCCGAAACTGAGGCTGAAGTCGAAGCCGTGGCCGAAGACGATGACAAGGTTGAAATCACCTCGGAGTACGAGGTGCCCGTCCCGATGGAAGCTACTAGCAAGACAAAGCAAGACTAATGCCTAATTCACTGCTGCCTGAATGCCATTGTGTTAATGTATTTAAAATTTTACGCATGCATCGAAATAACAAAAAAAAAAATAATAAAATAAGAAATGTATTTCCGTTTTAAATCATGTAATCAACAGAAAATTAAACCTCTATTCGTTCTTCTCATTTCACTTCTAACCAAAAAAACAACCTCATCCTCCACCATGCAGCAGCGACTATCTTTACGACGCTTATAGTGAGCGTGAGCGTGAGCATGTTCCATTGGCAAAGTAAGCGAATCATTCCGTTGCATCCACAGCCATTCTGTGTGCCAATTGACCAGCAGCAGCAGACATTAATGTTCCCCCCTCTTTACCCATTCCCTCGCCCATGCAGTGTACCCAAGAAGCGACGCAAGGCCTATGAGCGGCGGCATCGGGAGCAGCAGGAATACTATGAGGACGCTTCGCCCAGTGTGTCGCGGGGAAATCGCTCTGGTGGTGACCGCGGCGGCGGCGGAGGTGGCGGAAGCGGCGATGGCGCTCCAGGTAGTAGCAGCATGCGCTACAACGACATGGCACCAACGTAAGTGTCCCCTGAATCCCAGCATGGCTTCTTCTTCCTATTTATAGTAGCTTACAAACAGACTGTCATAACTTGTAAAGGATAATATAATATAACAAACAGTAAAGCAGTATGAAAATATTATAAAATATTGAAAAACTGTACGGAAAACTTTTTATCATAAAATAAAAAGAATAGGCTTTAAATCCAGAGGTCAAAAAGGCATTAAACTCAAATCGGAAAAATGTTCTTTGTTAGTTCTTATGAAGTGCATTCTACATTTTAAATTTTAACAAATAACTCCTTTACTGCTTCTGACTGAAATTACAATACTCTCAAAGAGTATTAATATTTTAATATTTATCTATAATTTTTTGTACCCTTGCCCGAAATAATTACTAGTTATGATGGTCATCTACAATTTAGCAAGCCTTAAACAAATTAACTATAGAACATGCCCCATAGAGGCCTAACACTGACCAAGAGATTCGCCGCTATTGCATCCAGTTTTCCTTGCGTTCATTTGGACCTCGCTGCTAAAAGTTGCTAAAACGCTAATTTTATTTAATTTTGTTTAATTTAGCACTAAAGGTGTGGCCTCCAATGGCGGCACACGGCCAAAGGCATTGGCGGCAGATGGTTTCTTTTAGGCAAATAGCCCCTCGGTTCATCCGGTAATATAAGCTAGTCAGAGAACAGAGATTAAATCGGTGTGCTTACCCCAGTCTCGATTCAAGAGTGCCCTCCTCTGATTGTGGTTCCCCTCTTAATTCTGTTTACCTTGAGCTAAAGCTGTGCTTAAAAAAGAAAACATTAGTTCAGTTTCCTTTTAAATGCGATATATAAAACGGAAAAACGCGACATCAGCATCAATTCAACAAAGAAAATATGGTGTAATTTGGTTAACATTTAAGTTATATTTTATGTATTGTTTTTAAAGCTTTTTGATATGATTTTAAACTCAAACTGTACAACCTGGCTTTGCTTTGTGTTCTTGTTTCTCTTCGCCTTTGCTCCAAAGTCACAGACACTCACTGGAGGTAGCGATTCCCTACCCTTCAAAGTACACATCCTGACCCAAAACTAAACTGATTAAACATTCGTAACTAATCTGTTTCTGTGTTGTGCGTGTCGCCGCACTATAAATATCTAATTATATATGTTAATTATGTTAATATTATTCTTATTAATGTATTTTATATCAAAACTCCACAGGCACTGGGATCACGAGCCGCCGCGCTACCACAATCCGCCAGCAGCGCCGCCATCCTCGGAGTACGAGCGTCCGCCACCCTACTATTACCCCGGGGCATCCGAGCAGGACTAGAGAGTAAAGGAATGAGTTGAGAGGTGGCAACATGGATGACGATTATGATTTGAACCCAAACCCTCACCTATCCCCCTTACACTGAGACTGTACTTTTAGTTAAAAAGCGTAAACAAAAGCATAACTGAAATTATATAATTTAATTAAGTAGTACTGTAGCATCACAAATGTGTTATATATAAATATTTGCCATTGACCTACAGAGGGTAATGATAAGTGCGAAACTCTGAAGTTCTCTCAAATATCATTTCATAATTTTGTATGTACTTTGAAAATGTTGCCAAAAGACGACGACGATGATGACGACGAGCACTTAGACGTGGACAGAATCAATAGATGAACGCATTAAATGGTAAAGAGATGCAAAGACGACCATCTATGTAGAGAAGGTCGAGCGGCACAGGCGTCGGATCTGATGAGTCAACCTTGAAGGATTTGGGCATTCGCCGGGCCGCACGGCTGCTGAAGCTTTAAGGAATCTCATAATTTTATTATGCACGACGAGGAAAAAAAGAAAGCAAATATCTAGCAAGCAAGCAAAACTACATAAATAACCGATCAAAAAAGAACACTCCATGGAATCTGTAGAACTTCCAGCAAATCAAAACCGACGAAAAATGGAAAAGCAAAACAAGAAAGAAAAAAATATTTGATCAATACCAAAACTGCCATTTTAATTTAGAAAAAGAGTGCAGTACCGAGGAGTTGAGAGTTATTCAATGCATTTAATGTATTAATTTTAGAAAGAAAATTGAAAACATAAAAACATAAAAAAAACCAACACGCAACTCTCATTGATACCAATTCAAATGCAAACAAATAAACTGGAAAATAATACGGATACCAGCAAGTATCCTTAACACGTTGTCATAGTTTAGTAAGTGAAAACCAAAAGCATGAGATACAAAATCTAAGAAAGCAACCCCGTAAGCATTTAAACGTTTCCCCAATTGTATTGTCTAGGACCTAAGGCAACCTAAACCATACAGGAGCATATTGTACGGATTACACACAAAAATTACATACATTTTAGTATTATTATTATTATTATAAATAAGCGTGTATGTTGTATTTTACGTACATTAAATGATTTCCGCTTAAGTCTAAAATAAAGTCAACTAACCAATGTATCAATATATTGCCCCGTGCAAGTAAAGAAATTATCACCTAAGATCCTCAAGAAGAAAACACACAAGAAAACCAAAAACTGAAAACCCAAGCCAGTTGCCAGTCAATCATCGGGCTCCGTTGATGGTTGTCTCTGTTGTTTGCAAACATTTATGTCAATAAACTTCAAGTGGTTTTATGTAAGTCTCGAAATTCTCTTTAACTCTCTTCGAAATCTTTCTCACAGAAATTTTAAGGAGAAATGTTGCCTTGGTGGCTGAACGGAGGAGGGCACTCCAAAAAGCCTTTGAACGGTGTCCCATCGTATACAGGACGATAGCAATACACTTATCCAATGGGATAGCATTCCTATAATTTTTTGTTTGTTTTGCAAATTTTGTTTCGAAAAACAACCATAATTTTGTAATTCGGTATAGATCAAGTATTCGTTATGGGTTGCAATTCTTTGACGATGCTTTACTTGGTGACAATGGACCCTCCTTAGTAATCGCATTGTCCATCTTCATGAGCTTCTCTGCCAAGTCTTCCAAACAGGCAAGTATCGCGATGGTTTAGCTCTAAATCGCTATTTAAGATATAAAGATCTTTGTGGAAGTATTGCCTATCCAATGGTGAATGGGGATTGCGATAGATGTAGCTTCAAATTTAAATTGAATTTCCTTTATTCTCCAGAACGCCTTGTGGTTCTGGCTTTTACCCTTCGCACTGATGCTTCTGCCCGCCCTCTGCTGCAGTCATTATCTGAGATGTTACTGCCGGTGTTGTAGGAATGTTTGCGAGGTCCCCTGCGCTGCTCTATGCGCTCCGCGACTTCCTGCGCGGCTTCCTGTGCGGCCCCATGTGCTGCCCCCTGCGCGTCACCTTGTGCAGCCCCCTGCGCGTCACCTTGTGCAGCCCCCTGCGCTTCCCCCTGTGTGAACCCCTGCTGCACACTGCCAATGGAATTCCCAGACTGCACCCACTGCAGATATTTGCCAGTGATAGATGAAACGAATGTGGATCAATTAAATTTCAATATGCATTTATGAAACTGGTTAATAAATTAAAACAAAACATATCAGTTAAATTTTTGTTTGTTTTGTCCAGAAAACATTTTAGATTGACCCGGCTGTTGTTGCTTTTGTAGGATCGAAAATCCCCCACTGTTTCCAAACTTCTGATTACAATTACTGTACCCAGCAAAATTGTAGATACAAAAAATATCTAATAATAAACATTATACTTATAGGAGTAAAGAAAAGTTGTGTATAAATATGAATTTTGGATTTTAATTAAATGTACAAATAAACCAATTTTTTAGGGAATTAAAGGTGTTATATTTGAACATAGTTGCTTTTAAAAATCTCTCAGCATACCATATTATGGAATATTACAATTATTAATTATTTAGTCATTAAATTTAACTGTAAACAAGGAAGAAAGCTAACTTTGGCCAGCCAAAGTTTGTATACCCTTGCAGGAAACAATTAAAATATATCATAACTAAGCCAAAAATGCATTAATTTCGATTCGGAAAGCAGTTTTGTGTTAGTTTTTATTAATTTAAAAAAACTGCATACCAAATTTAAAATTTTAAGAAATCAAAATTTTTTGTCATTTTTGAGAATTTTAATGATGTAACCCCTTATGATTTTTCGCAAAAATGGCAAAAAAATCGATTTCTTCCGGACATGTCTAGAAAGATTCGCATGTTAAAGCTGATCAAGAATATATATGGTTTATGGGGTCGGAAATGATTCCTTGACTTGGAAAAATATTATTTTGTATTATAAAATCTGATTTTTTATATAAAAAAACTTCTTGATTTTTTCTAAAATTAAAAATATCATAACTCGGCCAAAAGAGCATTAATTTTAAATCGGAAAACTGTTCTGTGCAAGAACAGAACTAATGCAGTAAATAAATCTGCATACTTCTATTAAAAATTTTGAAAATTCAATTTTTTATCAAAATCAAAAATTTTAATGATGTAACCCCTTATAAAATTTGGCAAAAATGGTCAAAAAATCGATTTCTTCCGGACATGTCTAGAAAGATTCCCCTGTTGATGCTGATCAAGAATATATATGGTTTATGGGGTCGGAAACGTCTCCTTCACTGCGTTGCAAAGGGTATAAAAATAAAGTTTCATAAGTAAACTAAATTCAAAACACATTTCTAACACTTTTCAGAAACGAACGCCAGTAGATGATAGATATTAAAAAAAACAAACAACCACAAAAATGCTTGAGATTGGTTTCTCAATGATCCTGCCCATCGGCCACTGCCACAGACAGTGGGAGTCAACGGGCATGAGTGTGTACAATAGGAGTAAGGATACTTCTCCTGGATGCTGTTCTTCGGACTGACTGACGCAGCTGCAGCAATCCTGGTGTCCGCTGCATAGGTTACTAATTCTGGGTTTAGTTTTTGTCCAGATTATTAACCAAGAGCTTTTGTCTTAGCTGGCGTTTCTATTGCAGCACCGTTTCCATGAAGCGTCCAACCCCACAGCCGCCGTATGTTCTCCAAAAGCCACCACCACGCATAGGGCTCCGTTTAGCTTTAACTTCTTTAACATTTAAATGTTTATTAAAAACCGAATTATTATATGCTATGTATATAAAACTTTTATATATCTCCTTTTATTTTCTTCTATTAATTTAACCAGAATGGCTTGATTCTTAATGATTGGAAACTGCAAGGATGCCGAAGCTAGCTTCCTTTTTTGTTTTGTTTTTTTTTAATCACACCAAAATACTCCCTGATTTCTAAATCAGATTTGTTTATAAAAAAATATTCAATTAAATGAAATCAGTAACTGGAATTAGAGTTTATGGAATCCCCGCTACTCCCTAGCTTGGAGTTAACCATGATTGGGGGCCAGTCGAACGAGTTTCGAATCTCTCCAGAATACAAACTCAAGGCCAAGGAAGAAGATTCCAGCTATGATCTTATCTTATCTCTGCCGCATGTCGTCACTGGCTCCTTGGTTTCCGATTCTAAGCAAGTGCCCAAGAGCTACATTTCCCAAGATGGTAACGATATTGGGGTCAAGGCGGAGAATGATGATTGGAAAGATTACCTGGTCAATCAGGACGTGCTGAAGGTATTGATACCCCTGCTATTGCTGCTCTTTCTAGCTGTGCCAATCGTGGGGTGAGCTTTGCTCTGGGGTTTTTTTTTTAAGGTTTTAAGAAGCAGCTTCCCCTCTTAGAATCATTTATGCCTGCTTTTGTTCGCGATGCAAGAATTACGGAAGAGCCAGCAAGGAAAGGCGTTACTGCTGTGGCATTCTTCTGGCCATTTCGGCATTTCTTATGCTGTAAGTCTATAAAACATCGTAACTGTAGCTAATCTGGCTGATTGAGCATTAGTATATTTCTCATTTTTGCCATATTGGCAGCCACTCAGTTGTACAAGAGCCTGGATAAATCTAGACACTGTCAGTTCTCGAACAACTTTAGCCGGACGAAGGAGAATGGCATTTTCCATTCAAACTTCGAGCACATGCGTCGTCTGTATGAGACCGACTACAAGCATTTGTTGGGGCGGATCGAAGCTCAGTCCAATGCCACACTAGCAATGGTTCACGCCGAGGCCATCAAGGATCTGAGCGAGGTGCTTAAGAATATGCACTTAACAAAGTTGATTTTAGAGGAGTTCCAGAATGAGTTGCCCGTAGCTAAGAGGTTGGCTATTAGGTTTCGGGATGGTGAGAAGCTTTTGGTTTTTTTTTGAAGGATTAACTATTATGAGATCTCTTAATCCTCGGCAGCGTTGCATGCTGTCAAGCTAAATCTTAAGAAATTTCTCACCTTGCAGTGCAACCAACAGGAGTGCGGAGATTTCTACAGAGACAATGAGATCAGATTGATTGACGAGGGGTGTCTGCACTTTGATAGAGTAAGTTCATTTAAGGCTACTTAAAATAAACGTAAAAGGATTAAAATGAAACAACTGTAAAAGATTCCCCAAACGGAGGACTTCATCAAGTCAATTAATCAAATTCTGGCAAGTAAGTTTGTCAACTATCCGCTAATGGCTGCCCAGCAAATCGCAACTGCGTACAGGAATCACACTGACTACCTGCTGGACACATTTACAAAGGATCTCCATAAAGGCGGTTAGCAGCAAAATACTATGCAAATATCATTTTAAATCTCCCAAAGTCCACCCTCAGCCGACAAGCTGCAGGAGAAGTACGAAGCATCATTGGTAGAACTCAAAGTAAAAACGGTAAAGACGGCAAAGGCGACTCCTCCTTCTCCCGCAGATGCTCTGCGTCGGAAACTGGGACCGTCGTGGTATGGAAGCACACTGGGAATGCTCTTGTTGCTTATGCTTTTGCCCATCCTCCTGCTTATTGCTCTTGGCGTGGGCCTCTTCAATCCGAATGTAGCCAGTGTGCTGCTCTGTGCATTCATCAGCGCCGTGTTCATTCTCTTCTCGATTGCTCTTATCCTGGTGCTCTTCTACCTGGTCCACGGATTTTTGACTTACAACATTTTCTGTGCTGGGTAAGTTTTTCTAGCAGATCCAAGCTAAAATAAACCTTCATGTACTGTTGTAGAAAAAACCACCAGGTGCCCAAAAAGACGATCAATCCGACTTTTTATTCACCTGAGTTAAGATCTGGAGATGTGTTGCAGCGGTGCGTCGGTAAAGAGAGCTTGTACGGTGACTTGGGCCTGAAGGAGCTCTATGTCCATATGAAGAAGGGTGTCCGGGAATCTTTTGAGAAGTTAGAGGGCGCTCCCATACTTGGTTATCTAAGTTCCATTAACTTCCAGGCGGCGGCCGTGGACCGGGAGCTCTTGGGGAATAAGCTCTTTAGCTACAACAGCTCAGAATTCACCCAACATATATGCCGGGAGCTGGTGCCAGAGCCCAAGCCGGGTCCTCTTCTGGAGCTAATCAGTAAACTGGGCAACCTGACTAGGAGCGTGGGATCGCCTCCATTTTTGGTAAACCAGACCATTAGGCTGCGAGTAGCTCACAAGAAACTGGGGCAACCGCTAACCGATATCATTCAGCGACTGCTGGGTAAACTAGAGCAGCTGGATCATTTGCTATCTGGCGGAAATGAAAGCTTTGCCAGGTACATGAGCCATCTTCTGGAAAAGATTAAAAAGTTCTTACGCCGCGATGCCAAGAAGGTATCCGAAGAGTTGGCCCAAAATATTAGTTGTTTCGTTAATTTT